CCAATTTTTATCCTCTTCGTTGAGATGAGCAGCTAATTCCTTGTCTGTTGATATTTGTTTTACCCATTGTACATATAATTCAATCATATATTTAACTAAAGAATAAAGGCTGATGAAAAAAATATTTTCATTCTTCTCATGTGTCCCTTTAAATTCAATTAAGGCCTTAATACTAACTACAGATTGAACTGATGACATACTTGAGAGAGGAGTGGTTTTGGAGCTTGAAGATGACACCAGTTCCTTATATTGAGTGTTACTGATTTTGGCTTTGTCTTTCGCTTGGATATCAAGTAACTTTTTCCGTACTACTCGCAACTTTCGTTTTGTCACTTTTTTTCTTTGATTTGTCTCTTCACTCGATGAAGAAGCATCACTTTGCGAATAATCATCGTCCTCCCAATCCATTTCATCATCGTCATTTGAGCTTGTTTGTAGAGCTACACTACTGCTTACAGGTTCTTCTTGTGAGATTGTTGATGTTGTTTCATTAATTGCTTCACTTGATTGATGTTCTTCATATTCATCAAAATTTTCATCGATTTCAGAACTAATTTCAGATGAAACAGGATCATCGAGATCATTTGGGTAATCATTAATGGCAATAGGGTTTGTTTTTTCTTGTTTGTTTAGATACATTTCGATATATGAGTCATATTCTGGTATTTTTTTGTTTGTGACTAATTTTCGAACTTTCGTGTCAATGTCATCATAATCCTTTCGTTTGCTTAATGTTCGATAAACAATATCGGGAAACATGTCAATCAATAGATCGAAAAATTCAGAGAAATTTGAAATTCCATTATTATACAGCAAAAGTTCGATTCCGCAAAGTAATGATCCGAGCTTGCTTTTTGTATATTGAGATTTGTCTTGTTCAATCATACTTTTGGTTGTTTTTTCACTGCCTTTTTTACATGTCAACAACAACTTCCCATTAGATTTCGTCTCTTTTTCGAATTGATGAAATTCTTTCTGCATCTTGTCAATAGATGGATTTGCAATATTAAAATGTAATGAGTTACATATCGCAAAACTCTTGTTCTTTAATTTAATAACAGCATCTCCTTGGAGCTTATACTGAGAGAAATTGAGATCAGCATTATCAATAATATTTTTCAATTTGTTTTCTGTGCTCGGTGGTCTTCCTCGCTTTTGTTTTATGCGAGTGAAGCCATCGACAAAAGTAATTGTTGTATTTTGTTGTGTGTTTGAATGTTGGTTTGATTGATTGGTTTCATGTTGTGAAGGTTGAGATGATAATGTGTTCGGATTGTCAAGGTTATGTTGGGTTGTGGAGAAATTATGAGAAGATTGTGTGATGTATTGCTGATTGAATTGTGGATAATAGGATTGATGATTTTGAAATAAATGTTCACATCCTCCATATTGAATAGGGATATTCTGATAGCTCATTGAATTGGATTGGTTTGGTTGTATTAGATCTTCATAAATTCTTTCGAAAGATAGTGTGGATGTTCTTGGTGAATCAAATTGAAAAGATCCCGGATTAATGCTACTGAAACCAGTAGATGACGATGATTGCACATTGAAAGAAGATAATGGAGAGGAACACCATATGTGGTGATTTTGATTTGAAAGTCCATATGATTGACCTTCAAAAAAGTTGTTGTTAGATGTGGTTTGGTTTGTGGATGGTGATGAAAAGTTCCAATTTGATGACATTTTTTGTGATTTAGAGTATTGAGGATTGAATTCAATTGTTTTATTGTACAAACTCGAATTCTTTGTCAAACTTGAACGATGTCCACACTTGATTAGTTTCCACATTACATGTGAGAGAAATGTATACAATTTTCATCTTGTGTTTCGTAATCTTCTTTCCGAATTTACGTGTAAGACGTGAGTGAGTAATTTCCAACTCAGACCAATGCTTGCATTTGTCTAAAGGAGGAACACTGTCAGTAAATCTGAATTGAATGCACTTCTGTCTCTTCTTTAGGCCATTCCACAAAATGTCTTGATACCATTGGTAATATTTAGCCTTTGTTCCCCTCAGAGCAAGATAAAACACGTTTGGGTTGCAACATCCAACCGTTTCATGGCTGATGGAGTTTGAACATCTCATCTGTAGATGTTGATAAATAATATTTCTTGCACATTTGGCGAACTGTTCCCATATAATTCCATAAATTTGTTTCTTCTCATCTGGTACTTCTTTAAAGGAATTATATTTTGGTACAAATTCAAACAGTCCTTTCTCTAAAGTGAATTGATATTCCTTGTGAGTGTCTTCAGCAGCTTCATCTGTGGTTCTTGATTTTCGTTTTTTGCTCTGTTGGGAAATATTGTCATCATCACATTTGTTGTTTGGTGTTATCGTACATTGTGTCTCATCAACAATACCAGAGAAGCTGCTTGTGCTAGGCAATAGACAGCAAGGTGGAAATGACATAGTTTCGTCTGTGAAGATCCATTCCTGAACAAGTTAAGCAAACACATTGCAACAAATTTGAAACATACTGTAGAGGTAGTAGTTATTACTGGTGATGATGGCTGAGAAGTGTTCATCTCGATGCTTGATGATGAAGGAATCTTGAAATGTGTTACTACTGAATAATGGACAAACATAATACTTACATTGTTCGTACTCTGGTTCGTTGTGGATTGGCTATCCAATGCTGGTGATTCATAGGCCTTGATATAATTGAGATCAATACAAGGTGAACGATATTCACTAGTACTTACGTGATTACTATTTGTTTCGCAACTCGAATCACAATCAGAAACACCAAGCTGAGGTAAAGATTAGTGTCGGTGTTGAAATTGTTGTTTGATGTTGTTGTTGTTGTGGTAATATGGATAATCAATTACTTACACAGTATAGAGGCACAGTACCCTCTTCAATGACCACTAATTCAGCTTCCATGTTGTTGTGTGTTGTTGGTGTGTTTTTTTGTGTGAGAAGCAGAAAACAACACCACAGACCAATCACTCCATTTTTTTTGACTCCGGGACTTACTAAAACGAGCCGAATTTTTTCTTCGTCAGTTTTTGCACTTTACGCTCAGGCGTAGTTTGTGGTGATATTGCAATTTTTATATATAATAATACTGAGTTTGATGAGATGATGTCTTCACTTTCAAAAAAACCCAAGAAATCCTCATTTCCAAAACGCTCTGGAAATTACTATCCAGATGCAATCAAATTATTAGCTGTGTGCTTGGATGGGCGATTTCTTCCACCCCTCTTTCAACAATTCTTTACTTCAATAAAATAGATAATTGAAATGATCATTGAAATCAATTCTTCTCAATTTTACTCCGTCATTTGTCTCATTGTTTCATTATGGCTAGTTTGGAAATCCAGTTTACCGCTTTACTGAAAACCAGTAAAAAAAGTTTTGCAACCTGAAATTACAATGAGATTCCTTTTCACTGTGGAATCACTGGCTTTGCAAAGGCTTTAAAAAATTGTAATTGGACCTACAACGGACGAGCGGGAGTGAATAGCTTTGAAAAACTCAAGAGTTTCTCTTGAACCACCAATAACAAAAAAATGGTTCCACAACATCCATCAAATTCTGTGTTAGACTCACTCAACTCATCGACCAGCAAATCTCCAGTTTTTTTTGCGAGTGAAGACTCCATCTCATCAAACTCAGTATTGCAATTTTTATATATAATAATACTGAGTTTGATGAGATGATGTCTTCACTCTCAAAAAAAACCATCATGGTAAGCCTTTCCGGTATCCATAAGGCTCTAGTGGAGCTCAAAGACTATGCTAAAAAGTCTGACGACCGCCAACAGGAGTGAATGTAATGCAGTTTCTACTACTTTCGTTGGTGTGTGTGAGGTATGGATAACAATCCCGATCTTAAAGAGGGGCTTTTAGAATTCCTGCTCTTTTAGATTTAGGATCTTCTTTGGCTAAATACCTATTCGTCTGCCTACTCTATGGAACAAACTCATTCCCAATAGATTTTAGAAACTAACTGTTTTTTGGCCTCAAATAAGAGAACGACCTGATTTACCACAAGCTCTGTGGAAAAATCCTAACAACGACAACAAATAATGATTTTGAACCTGAGACATTGCATGACATGGAAACATGGATCTTGGTTATTCTCAATATTGTTTGCCTCATTGATTTTTAATCCAAGTAGAACAACAAGTACATTCTTACTGCAATTCACATGTTTTTCGTTGTTGCGTGAGGGCAACATGCAACTGTGCACAGCTCCTCAAACCATACAAGACACTGTTACAAGCCACCTCCAATACTGTTCTATCTTGTGCATATTCATAAACACCAGTGACATGAGGAAAGTTCAATAATGTACGAGAAATTTGATTCTCAAACTCGTTGGCAGTATAAATATCTGAGAACACGAGAACAATGGGAGAAAAAGGATATTGTAACATCACCCGACGTAAGTAAGGTAATAACTCAACGGTTTCCAATGTGTCAAGATTGATCTCTGACTTGATTTCTTTCAATTTCATAGAATCAAATAAAAATATCACTGCATCACTGAAATAAAGAGCATCGCGATTCTTCCACAATTCATTCAAATTCTCTTCAATTTTCTCACAATAATTTCCTTCTTTGACTGCTAAGGGACTGATCTTGAAACTGTCATTCCAAACCAAAATAGGCGCAGTTATACGAAATGTTCCAAGTACATGTGCGAGTATTTTTAATCTATCAAAAAATCATGCTATTTATCCTTCCTCTTGAATCTAAATTCAACACATCTCGAATCTCTGAAATATTTCAACAACAATGAAATAGTACGAAAAAACAACAAAAAAATCATTTCGTTCACATTGTGAAGGAGTGTGTTCCCGCTACAGAGAGAGACTGCGTGTGCGTTCGTTTCATTCAACAACAACCCCGTACCAGTCCACTCTTCATCATCATCCGAGAATTCTATTTAAATTATCATCACAGATTCTAATCATCATCATCAACGTTTCATTTATTGAACTTGGCATCCCTAAGAAGATTTTACTCATTCCTTATCATCCTATACCATGTTATTCTTTCAAAATGAATATTGTCATAGGCATCATCATCATTCCTCTATTATTATTTCTTCTGTAAGGCTTTACGGACAACGTACAACTACTTCTCTGTTACTGCTTCATCTTCTTCTCCTCTTATATACATCCTTACTACTCGTAGTATTATCCTGCCCCTTTCCTTCAGTACAAGCCTCATCATCCTCTTCACCTCTTCATCGATTTATTGGATGTTCCTATGAAAAGATCATGAACCTCCCAACTCATCCAAGCAATAACACCCTCATTACACAACGTATCAATATTACCGATCATTTTGAAGACTTTACAGATCTTCCTTTCGGATTTGGCTGTGATGAAATACAATTCCCGACTGAAATTTCATCCTACCCGTTTTCAACCTCGAATATGGAACAAGGTTTGCATGATATTTACTCGCCCGTACAGGCCTCTTCGAATACCATGGATTTATGTTCCATGTTTCCAGAGAATACAAGTTGTGTTGAAACATTTTGTGGAGTTAATTCGACCAAGTGGAATGCTCAAGATTCGTATCAATTGGCGAATTTTTGTCAATATTGCAAAAAGGCGAAGGATTTTGTTCAATTTCACAAAATTGTGGCCGGATTGGAAAATTATGATAACTCTTCATGGACGGCGTGTCCTGCGTTTAAGAAGTTTCCTTCTGCGTTTTTGTGTCGAAACGTTCAAATTGGATTACCCATCTATTTCATGGATCGATATTTTATAAGATTAAGAACTCCATTCATGTGCTATTGTTACAAGTTTGATCAATACTCTACAACATGTGAAGAGAGTTTGTTATTTACATTGAAATTTGATAGTGCCAAGTTGGGAATTCTGTTAACTCTCTCTGTTCCTCTATTTATTGCCATCATGTCCTTAATTGTTTTCCCCGAATGTTTAAGTTTTAGATATCAAAAACCAACATCTATTTCCATCAAGTCCATTATACTCATGACAGCCAGTGCTGTATGTATTGTAGTAGCAAGTGGTCTCTCCTATCTACCATCATTTAATGATTCAAATAATTTAATGTACTTGTTGGAAAATTTGACATTGAGCTTGAACGTATTTTTCACATATTATACCATCATACCGGTCATGCTCATGTTTGATCGAGTTTACATGTATTTAAAAACTGGAGAGAAGAAGAATTGGACACTTTTCAAAGGCTTGTCCTATGTTTCTGTTATTGTGAACACACTTTGCATGATTTATATTGTTGCATCTTTTATTTATCAAATTTCAGCACATACCATGGAATTGAATCCACCTATGAGGATTGTATTTGGAGTGGGTTATGTGGCATATGCCCTTCCATGGTTTTGTAATCTTGCTCTATTTTTACTAGTGTCCTACAAACTTGGATGTGTATTGAAAGAGAAGACCAATATTTCATTTTTCAAAACCAAGGTATGTGAAATGGCTTCTTCTTTCCAAACTTGTTCAATTATTTATGTGCATGTATGATCACAATATTGACGTGTATGTTCACATTCATGTACTTCCACACATTTAATGACAATAGTACTTTTATCAATTCATGCTGCTCAGTGCACTGACATTGTTGGCCCTCATATCTTGTTTAATGAGTTTTTTATATACTCAATTCGGTGTCACATCCATACATTTCATTGTATCGTATTATACTGAATTTGCAGCACATTGTTTCAATATTTCATCCTTGCTGGCCGTGGTGATGATTTTATTTGATAAGGACAAATTTTGGGAATGTTATCCTTGCCTCAAGAGAATTTCTTTCAGGACAAAGAGAAGAGACGAGGAAGAAGCGTCCTCTAGCTTGATTGCCAATACAAGTGGAAATAGCAAAGTGCAACCTTCTGAGGGCTCTGCGGGTATGAGTGATTTGACGACTCCCTATAATTCTTCGGCAACGTATTACAAGTCCTTACATTCTGAAGAATCTACTAATGTGAGCATGTAAAAAGCACTCGATTGATTTGGCATGATAGAAATGATCGAATTTCTGGACGGACCCATGATTGAACAGTCATGATTTCTTGTTGTTGGCTGAACTCGCGTCGTGATGTCAATGAAAGTGGTCTCAAATTTTTTATGTGAAAACCACAATAAACAGCCCCAGTATTTGGTAATTCCTTCGCAGATTCGAAATTTTGTTGTTACTTTTCATTACCTGTTCTTCCTAACCAGTGACAAGAATACATTACTTTCTTGAATCCGTCCACGGCGGAAGAAAGATAATAAGGGAGAGACTTCAAAACGGCAATTACACGCCTCTGAAATTGCAACCTGGTCTAGCCCGTTCATCTTGACGACTCTTTTGTTGTTTAGACAGGGACTGCATTGACAATGAACGGCAGTTGCTTGAGAGTCCTAATGGGTTTTTATGATACATGTTACTTATTCTTGGGTTTTGAGCTGCTTGAAAAATTGGAGATCAATGATTTTGATCTTCCTTTCCTTAGTGGGATAGGTGGTGACGGTTTTGATTCCTCATCTTGCAAAAGTTTAATGTCGGAATCCATTTCCAAAAAGTGTTCAGCTGCAGTCACCGATGAGACACTTCCCAACGTCTCTTTCATTTGCTTAATGTTATGTTCAATCTTTTGCTTCATTTCTGAAAAATCCTGAACGTCCTTACATTCGCTTTCCAAGTAATTGAGACGATGCTTCCATTCACAGAGCATGTTGACCGTTTTTTCTCCCAATGTTGTCACATACCACTTGACATCCTTGTCACTCGCCTTGGAGAGAATATTGGGATCGAGCTCGTCGGGGAAGTCTCGTTTATCGCTTATAAATTCGAGAATTTCCTGCTCATTTAAAATACATCGGGTGTTGTAAGCTCGAACATGTGTCGAAAACTCTTTCATGTGCTCTTGAAATTGTGGATCTTTTTTAAGTTCTTTCCTTTGATCCTGTATTTCTGCAAAGGATGAAACAAGCCTATCGAAGGAGGGCTTCTTTGAGGCAGGAGAGGAAGTGGAGGTCACAAGGGAAGATCCACTGTTCGTAACTGCTTCCCCATTTCGAGGTGATGAAATTCCACTCATACCAGTAGATATTCTTGCCGACATGAGACGTGGGGAGCTTTGCATCTGTGAAAACTGTTCCATTTCTTTCATGGCCTGCTCGTTCTCTCCGAAAATGTTGTTGAAGTCCTTCTCTCCCTTAGAACGCAGAGAGTGGTGATGAACGAGAATGGGCAGGCGTTCTGAATGTTCTTTTGGAGAGGACCCATCATTGGTTGAATCCATGAGCTCAGAATCACTCTTTGAAATATGTAAATGATGGGGATGCAAGTGCGTATTATAATTTCGAGGCGATAAATTATTGGCATTGCTGCTGCCATTTCCCTCGTTGTGTGAAACCACAATCGGCGATGGAGACCCAGTAGAATTTGTTGATCCAGGAGTTCCATTCATTGCAAACGAGTTTCTCCTATTCAATAACCTCGAAAGTTTCTTGTTATCAGGAGTGGTATTGGAAGTGGGATTTTCTAAATCAATTCTCATTCTCGTTCGACCATGCAACTCAAGCGACGGATTGGGCGAAATAGGCGAGCCTGTTGTCGATAATTGTTCCATGACCAAACCAAAGGAGCCTGAAGAGCGTTTTCGATTCACGATTGAGGGCGTTACTACAGCCGATGCTATGAGCTGTTCGCGTGGACTCGAAACTGAGTGAACAGAACTACTCTCCACGCTTGATTGGGAAGATGGAGAAGAGGGAGAGACTCCTCCGTCATTCTCTGCAGCGCCATTCGATGAAGCATTGGAGAATGAGGTTGCCATCGTCGATGTATTCATATAGAGAGGAGGAAGAGAAGAGCTTCGAGGTGGAGGAACAAGGGGTGGAAGTGAGGTGGTTATTGAGGGCGAAGTCGTAGTCGTTACAGCATTGGATGAGGGTGAAGACGGTGTATGGAACATGACCACCGATGGGCTTGGTTTTGTTGCTCCTCCTCGTGGAGAATTGTTCATGTTCTTGAAAGAAATCATTCCATGAGGAGAGGTGGGTGAAGTTGAGGATGAAGGAGATTGAGGAGAAGAGGATGTTGTTGTTGTTGTCTTAAGAGCGGATGGAGAGCTAATGATCAGGCTTGATCCTGCAATACTGTGATGCTTATTCTTTCGGATGATCATGTTGGATTCACTGCTTTTTCGTTCCATTGAGGAAGGATGGTTCAACATGGAGAGCCTTCGAGCCAGAGGTCGAGAAGGAGGAATGGGTGAACCGTTATTATTCAAACCACCAGTACTACTACTACTCTCCATAGTGCTCAGGTCAGAGGATGAAGGCTCCATGATCATCATTGATGCGGAATAATGAGAGTGTTACTGGAGAGCGTTCTTACGTGGGAGCGCCGCGGTTTTTTTTAACTTGGGATTGCTGTACCTTCGTTGGGTGTGCGTAAGGCGTTACCTCTATTTCACACACCAATCAACAACAAGATTTGATGGATTCATGAGAGACCTATTAATGATCAATCATTTATAACCAAAGATGATGTGTACATGTGTCAAGCCCAAAGATCAATGCCACCTTGCTTATTGAAGCTTACCATTCTCCCAATGAGTATTAATTAATCCCTTAACGATGGCCCATCCTCTATGACCTATGAGTGGATTCTCCATTTCACTGAATTCGTCAGCCAAACGGTGAGCAGCGAGACCGGTTGGAATGTTGGATTCCTTCGAGTTCTTCAAAATTCGAGTAGCAATCACATAGACCGAGTTGTCCCATTCTCGTCCGAAATGCTTCAAAATGGCCTCATCATTATGCACATGTCCAAAACATTCGTTGGCGCAATTAACAATACCCTATATAGGAAACGAAATGATTTCGAGAAAAAGGTGAATCATCGTGTTCATGGAAATGTAACAATGTGAATGAATGGTTCAATTAAAAATGGCGAAAACATGCACGTGCATGTGAAACAGAAACCCTTGTATAAATATGGCTAATATAAAACCCGACACAACTTACCATACGGTTGTTCAAATAATCTGGAACGTAGATAATTCCGCGATCCTTAATCATGTAATCATGCTCGACAGGATCCAAAAGTTGGTTATTGGCAGCACCACAAACAATCTTGCAATTAAGCAATGGGATAGTGGTCGAATTGATAATACCACCCAATGCAGATGGTGCGAAAATATCACAAGGCTCAGAGAAGACGCTCAAATCATTTGGAGCCACCACTCGCCATTCAATGTTGTTGGCATTCTTGAATTGTTCCTTTCTCTTTTCAATCAAGTTCTTATCAATGTCAGTTGCAACAATTTTGCCGACATTTCTCTTGAGCAATTCTTCAATGATGAAACTAGCGACGTTACCTGCTCCTTGAACAACGACTTTCTTACCAGCCAAATCTCCCAAACCAAGGAAAGCTATTATAGTCATGATATCATTGGTCCATACATCATTCAAGTTATCAATTTGTTTCAAATCATATCGTATCCATGCATGGTCATTATAAACTTACCAACTGCTGCTTCCATTCCACAAACGGTTCCAATTGCAGTTGAGTGGGAAGGGTTTCCTGAGCCTCCAATTTCGCTTGAAATACAGCTTACGAAACGTGTTTTCTATGGGAATAGTAGAATCGTTTTGTGTTGTGCATAGGAATGCATGAAGAATTCGTATTGTATTCATGTGAAATGTGGTGTGAGTAATCTTCATGGAATCAATAAATACTTACGGTATGCATTCTGTCACAATCGATAGTAGTCAAACCGACGTCTTCAGCACCATAGTAAGCACCTTTCAAAGAAGACAAAAATTGTCCATACTCGGAAAAGACAACATCTCTGAAGGAGTCTGAGCTGTAATTGATGGAAGTATTGTCAGTTTTTTGAATTAAACCTTTTCCACCACCTTTGTGTCATGAAAGCACAAATTCAAATTGAATGCATTCAAAATTGTGAAGGTTTAAATGATGAAAATTAATGAAATAATGAATCATCGAAGTATATTTCACAATAACGGTGGCGATGATGGGATGGCATGATAGGGATTTGATTGTGATTAATTCATCATCATGAAGAAGAATAATTTCAGTAGTAGTAAAATTATAGATACCCCGAAAATTTCACACACAAAGATGACAATCAAAATAATGATTGAAATTTTCCACAACACCGCAAACATTCACGTTACTTACCCCACCACAAACCAGCCAAAGCATTCTTTCTTGTCATTCCCAAGCTCAATCTCAATCCATCTCTCACATAGTCCTCCATAGAGTTATATTTCCACAAACGAACACCACCATGAGGAATACCTCTATTGCTCTTATGCAAGAATGCACCGAACAACAAATTGGACTTTGGACCAACTTGGAAGAAGCAAGCCTCATGCTTCAAGAAATCTCTCTTGTCATTGGTAATGAACTCACCCAACTCGGCAAACAATGGATGAGAAGTAATGGTCTTGTTTTCCTTGGCATCATACACCACATATCCTCTTTGAATTCCGGCCTTTTGCATTTCCTCTTGAAATTTCTCTGGACTCAAAGCACTCACTCGGTTAGGTGCTGATATAACCGATGATTTGGTGGAGAAACATCTTTTAGATGATGAGCTCATCATCATCATTAATGCAGAGGAAGAAGGCTTGCAAGAAGAAGCAACAACCACAGATTGGAGAGACTTCATATTTTTTCAAAAACGGTTTTTTGAACGTTACATCGGAGTTGTTTTTGGTGTGTTGAAAAAAATTGAAGATACCAAGTAAGGATGATTGGAGGAGTAAGGGTTCATAGACTACTGTGGACATGTTAGATTTATGTAATATATTTGATGACTGGATTGAATTTTGAGAGAGTGGAATGTGTGTTTGATTACATTTCAAAGGTGCACACTTGACGGAGTATTTTTACGAAATTTCATAATTTAAAAAAAAATGAACGAATGGTCTGCGTCCTCTTCGGAACATGATGAAACGCAACCACACATTCCCGAAAATGTTTCCAACAACCTTGGTGCCATGACGAAAACTTTGGAATTATCTAAACCTTCAACATCTCATTCATTGGATTTAAAGGTTCAAAACAACTCGAATAATTTTTTAACCAATAACCCTCCGAATGATTTGGACGAAGATGAGAGTGGTCGAGTCATGGAGAGAACAAAATATTCAAAACTCTTTTCGTGGATGTATTTCTATTTTGGAAAATTTAGAAGGTCACCTTCGGAAATGAGAGCTTGGTTTTTGAGAGCAGCCAAGCTAATTGCTGTATTTTTGTTTTCTCAAATAATTTCGGCCTTATTGACAAGTACAGGAATTTTTAGTACATTTTTGACTGATCGAGTTCATGTCAATTTACCTACTTTACAAAATGCTCTTTCTTATTTAACATTATTAATTTTTTACATGCCACTCCTATTGGTGCACAAAGTTTGTTATCCAACTGTGACAATTACGACAAGGAAATTTCGAAAAATGAGACGAAAAACTCTAACAACTAGTTGTGAACATTCTAAGGAAAGGATGACAATGGGTGGCCACGTAACACTTCATGAATCATCTCATCATGATAACATTTTGAATGGAAATGACTCTTCGTCGTATGAAATGTCACAAAAGAGACTGACCGAACAAAGTCGATTGCTCTCTCCAGTGTCATCTTTTGCACAATTGGATTCCATAAATTCCTCTAGTGGTCAAAATGAAGAGGTGCCGTCTTCAAGTACCCACCTCAATACCGAACATTCACAATTACATCCATCTTTCTCACACAATATTCAATCAGAATTGAATTTAAACACTTCACAAGCAACATTTACTTCTCAACAAGTCCATCATCAAAAGAATTATTCTCAAAAAGTTTCTCAACTTGTACATGATCCGACTCTCGAAGAAAATCCAATTTGTGACAATGATTATCAACATGACGAAGAAGAGCTCCATCATTGTCTTTTCAAATACGTCAAACGATGCTTCACTTTCACACGATGGAACATGAAACCATGGAAATACTTTTTCTTTGCGTTGGCAGATGTTGAGGCCAATTTTTTCGTGGTCAAAGCGTATCAATACACGACTATCACTTCAGTCATGCTGTTGGATTGTTTCACCATTCCTTGTGTCATGATATTGAGCGCTCTATTTTTGAATCGAAGCTATCGATGGACTCACATTGTTGGTGTATTGATTTGTTTGGGAGGATTGGCATTACTTGTGTTAAGTGATTATTTGAGTCATATTGAAAAACAGCAAGATGAAAATTCGAGTAATGATCGACCATGGTATCATGTATTAATTGGTGATGCCTTTTGTATTATTGGCTCTGCTTGTTATGCGATTAGTAACGTGGCACAGGAATATGCTGTGAAAACGGAGGAACATTTTACTGAACTTGTGGAAAAAGAGGAGGAGGAACATTCTGAGGAGACAAGCCCACCATTAACTACAGCAACAACGATTGCCACAGGTGCCTCCATAACATCGAATAATGAAGGCTCATCACCAAATGACGATATACAACAGCAACAGGAGGCAAATAATTTGACCAAAGTGTTTCATGTTCAGGACGTTGTTGTGAACGATTCTCAAAAGAAACCTTTGAAAAAAATCAAACTCACTGAAAATGATTGTGTGATTGAATATTTGGCCATGATGGGACTTTTCGGAACCTTTATTGCAACCATTCAGCTATTAATATTCGAATTGCAAGATATTAAGAATACGGATTGGAATTCAAGATCTGTGTTCTTTATGGGCGGCTTTGCTGCTTCCATGTTTTTGATTTATACACTTGTGCCACACTTGTTGAGGTGGAGCAGTGCTACTTTCATGAACTTATCATTCTTAACAAGTGACATATTTGCAGTCATTTCGAGTATTTTCCTATTTGGACAAACTATTAATTTCCTTTACTATATTGCCTACTTTATTATTGCCATTGGTTTAGTCTTTTACAATATCTTCCAGGAGGGAGAGCGAAAATCGAAAAGCTTAACCAGCAGACTGAAAGCTCTGTTTCTGAAATGTCGTACCAAGATTAGATGAAAAAATTTGTGGTATCAGAATATTCATCATCAAAACTGCTTGAAGATGAAGAGGACGAAGTTTCATCAGACGTTTCATCGTCATGTTCTGCACTATGGTCAACTCGATGCTCCACACAGTGAGCACCTAAATAAACATTAAAGTAACATGTTTCCATTCGAATTCGATATAACCTTTCACTAAATTCTCTAACATATCCATTCGATAAAAGAGCCTCCAATATGAAGCGTTCATTGTCTTGCAAATAATCATCTGCAAATTGTAATGCAGCACCATTTTGTCTGACTGCAGCCAACACAAGTTCTTCATCATGCTCGAATTCTTCAAAACCAACATTTTGCAAAACGAATCCATTCACCTTCACTGCTTGCAAGAAAAACTCTCTATCTTGTCGTAGGGATCGAGCAGCAAGTGCCATTGCGTGTCTATTAACCTTTATAGCTTTCAGCAAGAAGTGCTTTTGGCAAAATAGGCTCTTATTTGCTATTCTTATTTCTCTATTATTTTGTTTCATCGCAGATAATAGTACAATTTCTTCATCTTGTTGTAAAGAAGGAGATATAAATCGTAATGGCTTACCACCATGATTGACTGCTGTTAGTACAACATCTCTATCATTGCGTAACTCGTCGGAAGCGTATGGAAATAATTCTCCATTTCTTTTCACAGCTTCCAACATGATTTGCTTGTCTCCTCGTAGTCTTTCAGAAATATATTTCACTGCATCAACATTTTGTGGAATGATTGTTGACAATATAAATTCTTTATCATCTTTCAACGAATCTGACGCAAAGGACAATGCACCTGCAAAATTTCTGGTCGCTGCTGCTACCACTTCTTTGTCGTTCTTCAAGTTAGGTGAAGCATATTTCAATGAACATGCATCAGATGAAACAAATTTCATTATCATTTCTTTGTTGTCCCAATCGATTGTTTCAATTTCTGGATGAACAATCTTTAAAGCTGTCTCCATAACATTTTGGTGCTTGCGAACGGTTGCACTTGCCCATCGCAGTGCTTTGGAATTTACTTTTAAGGCCTCCAAGTGAAAATCTCTACTCTGCGTTTCACAATAACGTAAGACTTCTTCATTTCGTTCAATTGCTTTCAGTAAAAAGTCTGTATCCCTTTTTAAACTATTAGTGGCATATAGTATGGCTTTGGCACAACTTTCAATTGCTTTCAATACAATCTCACAGTCGCTTCGTAACATTTTTCGAGCGAATTGCAGAGCCTCACCGTTTTGACACACAGCAGTCCACACAATATCTCGATTACTCTTCAATTCACGTTGCGCATGGCATAACTCTGCTCCCTGTAGTTGGACCACTTGCTTTACAAAGTCTGTATTTTCTTTTAAGGCTTTTGTAGCCATCTTCAATCCATATCCATACTTTTTAATATGATCCAAAATAAAATTGGGGTCGTACATAAATTCAATCGGAAAGAAGTCCTTGTATTGTTGTTCTCGAGCATTTAACCATTTCACGGCTCCAATTTGTTGATTTGTAAATTTGTCTTTCAATAGAAATTCCAATCTCCGAATCGTTGATTTGTTTGGTTCCGATTGAGACCAATTTGAAAAATCACATAAAATTACAGTAGTCCACGAGTTCATCAGATCATTTTCATCATTAATAGTTGATAATTTTTTCTTTTTGTTTGTGATTGGCTGTACATTCCATGAATGACGATCGTCATCATTACGGTTCTTTTTGTATTGTTCATCTCGTTTGGGCATTTTTTTTTGTAAAATTAATAATTCCATCTTTTGAGGTCGTTAAATTCTTAATTATTATTTTTTACTTTGAGTTAAAGATTTTGCAATACAACACATGTATTAATAATTTTAATAATTATTACTGATTAATTATTTCAATGATCAACCTCAAAAAAAAATGCAAAGAGATGACGACGATCGAAATTCTGCTGCTGTCCCGAACAATAACCAGAATAACAATCGGAAATATTTGGCCATCATGGTCATGGTCCAACTCTTCTTGTACATGTATTTTCAAATTAGACAGCAACAACAACAGCAAGAACAACAGAAATTGATCACTTCGGAATCAAATATGAATGATCATATTTCATCATCAACGACCACCACATTATTTCGGACGAATAATTATTTCTATAGTTCTAAAATGAATACAGTGATTAACAGTGTGGTCAAAGATCCGAGAGATCAAACTCTGCTGAAAATTGCTGCTCATATTTACTTTCTCCCACTAAAACGATACGTTTATAATTTAATTGGTGATGATAGTGATGATCAATTTGAAAAAACCACACAATACGTTAGATTTTCTCAATTTTTATATCCTGATTTGGAACACTTCTCCACAATGGGTATCCATGAAAAACTTGCTTCGGAAAATCATGATGAATTTGATTTTTTCAGATCGCCGTCGAGTGATCCTATCATTACCTATGAAAAAGCTGTGACGCGATGCGATCTTGAACTATTTGTTTCAAAGTCATGTCTTCGAAAGAAGATACCTCAAGACAAACCGGAGCGCAAGCAAGAACAAAAATCATCGAGCAACGAAAACTCGTATGAAAAGCTCAAAAATCTTAGAGATGCTTATTTGAAAGAAACTTTGCGAGGTATGTGAGGGTCACAACAAACTATTGAGGAGCAGTTATTATTCATATTTTTCAAACAATAATTATGGTAAGACCCGAAAAAGTTACAATTTTTAAAGCAATTGAATAGTATTAACATGCAGAAGCAACATTCTCGAGAGAAAGTTGACGACGACATTCAGCATATTGACACATTGCGAGAAGAATCTATCACCATCTCGCATTCAAAATCATTGAAGGATCCAACAAAGATACATGTGACTGATATTTTACATGTCACACCTCAAACAGATGCAAGTATGTATCAAGTACTTGTTATTAATTCCAATTTTTCACATAATTTTTTCCTTTACTATTTGTGTCAACAAACAACAATGAATTTCAGAAAAAAATCACATGGATATCATCCAAGAACATTTTAATCAAATATCAATGAAATACTATACCAACAGCAGTGCCAATAATAATTCGTCTCCAAGTCGAGTTGAATTCATGCTCTCTCTGAAACAAAAAGCCATTGCCATAATGCTACAAACTCTTCAAGATCTCAAAGATGTCCATCATATTGCTGCCATGAGCTCGTCAAAAACCAAACCAAACAATAATCTGCAAATGAATCCTAAAACTGGAGACATTTCATCCAATCAAATTGTTCCATCGATCTATTTGGTGATAGCATCGAGTCCTCAATTGATCAAATCATGGTTCTCTTTCAAGGTTGAAATTGCTTTTAATTCTGTGAGTTACAAGAGATTAGTGAAACAGTTGAATTCTCTCATTCAAGGTCAAGATTTAACGGTACAATTGGAGTTATCCACATTGAATTGCAATGCTCGTTGTAGACGTGCATTTATTCAATCATATCATATTTTCTCAAAGTGTAGCCAAGTTAAGACCATTACCTTTAACATTGTGAACAATGACAAGTATCGAGATGAATCAAAAACACGAGTTACTGACTTGTCAATTTCAATATTCAACACAGATGGTAGTATGTATGGAAATATTCAACATTTGAAATGCTCCAAGAAGTATCAATATAGCTGTGCGAAAGAGGTCATTCATTTCATGCAACAACAGCAGCAAGAAATGTTACCTACTGGTGACAATAAGAAAGGCACTGCATAGTTGTAGGACACTTTAAAATCCCAAGCTCTAAATTTTCAAACACATACAGTCTCAGAATGAAGGCTGTTCTTTTGGCATGAAATATTGACATTGCTTTTTCATGGCGTTGCTTAAAAGTATTGAAATAGATGATGTCAATAATAGTTGAAGTAATTAGCAATTTATTAAATAACCTTATAATTATCATCTTCAAAGTTCATAATAAATATGGCAGAAGATTCCAAACTACTCAAAAAGAAGCCCTGTTCTCCAACTAGATAATCTCCAAAAGCAAATTCCTTAATGAACCCAATTTGTGTGAACATGTCCCTAATAGCAGCTGTACAAATCACACAAATAAACATGGGCACAAAATCATCGGCAGAGACATGCTGATCAATTTCTGACCGGATCTTTGTTTTGGAAAAGTAAATCTTATTCATCACTTCTCGAGCTGCTTGTGTAATAATTGATAACTTGGCAGAAGGATTATACGGTTTAGTGTCTGAAACTTTTTCATGGTAATCCTCTGAAAGCGATTTGATTAATTCAATGGCAACTCGATACTCTTCTTTAAATTTTACAATTTCTTCCTCAATGACAAATTGTCTAAATTCAGATTCGTTGAGATCCTTGTCATCAATTTTCTTACTTTCGAGTAATAATTGGCCAACAAGCTTGTGTGATACTTCTTGACATTTGGTGTAGAAATTTTCATCCATCATTCTCATTTCATTCTTAACTTGAATGAGACAACAATCATACATGATCATTCCTCGTGTTTGAGAAGTGTATTCAAAAATCATGGATTCCAATACTTCATAAATTTGATACCAGTTGAGAGTTATTTTCATCATGGAAATCACCTTATCAGTCAAGTTTTTCAACAAATCTTGAAGCTTTGGTAAGCCCATTGTGGAATTGATTGGACTATTGAGAAACTTTTGCACATATTGATGAATTTGAGTGCAGAAAAAATTAGAATTTGGGCCTGAAGTGAGACTTGATCGTAGACGTTGTTGCATTTGCTTGATCATTTGAGAGGCATGCTTCTTTCTCTCTTCTGATGAGGCAAGTTGTTGTGACTTGATCTCTGCAAGAATTTCTTCTTTTTGTTGCTTGAGTTGAAGAAGATAGTCATCTCCTCTCTCAATTCGACTCTTGAATTTTTCAATGATATGCCTGCTCGACAGTTTTAAAAAGCAAATATCAATGGCATCGTGCTTGCTTGGCAAATCAATGAGGTTTCGAATGTCACGTTCAGTTTCAAAGTTTTCATCTAACACAAACAATCTTTGTGGAACGCTATTGGTGATCAGTTGTCCATATCTCAAACTCGTGACAGATGCTTTCTGAGCATTCACTATTTTGATGAGTAAATTTTCAATGAGGCCAAGTTGATACATGTTCAAACTGATTTGGTTATTCGTCTGTTTCAACTTGATCGAAGCATCTGCTAAATTGGCATATAACTCTTGCTTGGTTTGTCGCATGCTATTCAGGGCAGAAGAAGTGTTAGAGTCAAGCCGTAATTGACTTCCGTCATTTGTCACTCCAAATGCTTGGGTATACATGTTATATCGACTATACATTTCATTGTAGGTGCTGCTCAGAGTCTTTTTAGTCGTATTATATTCAAAGCTTTGTGAATATAGAGTGTCGAGTTGCTTTAAATTTTCAGAGCTCCATCTAGAAAGCTCTTTGCTAATTTCATTCAATGAGAGCACTAAATGTCTCCATTCAAAGTACAACAATAATCGAACGAGTTGAATGGATTTTTGGAAATACAAGGGTGATTTCTCTCGAATATATTCTTCAATAATTAATAAATAGTGAAAGAAGGGTTTTGTGGAGGATTTGTTTGTAAATGGGAGAGTGTAGGTACAGGAGATGTTGCCTTTCCAGTTTGTTTCTGTCAACACACGCAATTTTTCTTCCAGTAAATCGAGTCTTGTTTGATTAATTTCTTCACACAGAGATTCAATATGGAAAATGCGATCTGCATTCAAGCTCTTATAGTTTGTGGTGGCAGTATTGGTTTCAATTTTTTGTTGAGACTGCATAGAAAAGGAGGAAAGCCCTTTGATTGATTCTTTCAGTAGCAGCGATTGTTGTTGTTGAATATAATTTCGTTCTTCCCGTTCTTTCTTCTTTCTTTCATTTTGTCGAATTTTTTGAGACAGCTGTTCAATATAAAGTGCCAACTCATTCTTCAATGATTCAATATTGAATGCATTTTCAATAGCAGAGACAGAAAAGGGAGTTGATGATGTGTTGGTAGTGGTAGAGGCAGTGGTGGCAGTTGCAGGTTGAATTTCATTAGATGAAAATGAAGGGTCCACTGGAATGAGCACATTACCTCCCAAACTTTGAAATCGACAAGTATTTCTCTCTGTAAATCCCAAATGCAGAATATGTTTCAACACACAAATCCACTCACTTCTCTTCTGTTCAGAATTTGTGGCAAACAACAAGACCTCTTGTTGATCGTCACTCTTGCAACAGAGCATGTACCGTTTCTGGAGCGTCATGTTTGAGTTATTCATCACGTCACCTTCCATTGGTTGTTCCTCTTGAATTACACCTACTTGTTGTTCATGCATTTCGGTAGTTGTCGTCTGGACTTGCTGCTGTTCTTCAGACCATGGAGAGTCCTCTCCTCCCAATAACAGCTGCTGTTGTGGCTGCTCTTCAGACGAGTCCACTAACGGCGACCGATACGTAGGTGATTGTTGTGAATAAATTTCCATAATATTTTCGTTAAAACTTTTCTGTGAATAATGAACATGATTGATCGGAAGGATATGATGGTATTGTAATAAATTCGTTTTCATTTCATAGTGGTTGTTGTTAGACCCGCCTTCACTACTACTGCTGCTGTTGAATGATGATGAAACTCTTCTTGTTCGGTATTGATACAAGTGATAATCATTTCTAATTTCAAACCATTTCCTTTTTCCGAATTGTAAATTAGAGGATGACGTGAGAATATCTTGTACGGAATCATCGTCATGATACATGGAAGGTTGATGATTATTAGTGCCAGACGTGGAATTAGCAATGATAGAATCATTGTCCTCTTGTTCATGATGATTACCAATCGGAAAGGCTTGAACTGGATATAAATATCCACTATACAATACTACCGATGATGATGATGCCATCATCTTTGATCATAGCAATAATGATGAATTTCCAAATAAAGATAGTTTAGAAAAAATCTTCGGAATATTGATGATGATTCAAAACCCAATAACAATTCAATGAAATTCTCGTGATAATTCTAGACTGTTGTGAATCAATGTTGCTGTGATTCTAGATAGCCAGCGAGATTGTTGTTCGTCTCTTTTGCACGTTCTCGGAGTTCTCGAGGTGTTTTTTGGTAAGTCCGTTAACGTTTTTTAATCCGCTCTTTTGAAAAATTGGTGAACGGAATTGAAGTTTGCCAAATCAATAATAACGATTAGATTTTGAAAATTTTAAAACACAGAGCAATGAATGCCACAATATGATGTGATGTTTTTCTTTGTAGTTTAACGACTCTGTCTGTTTGTCTCATTCATAAAGTCCAATTCTGTCACTTTGGCATGGTTGGAATGGATGAATTATGAGAAGTCAATTTATTTTAGAACGAGCCATTCATAAATTAGTTTTCAATCACATGTTGATCTATTGTCGAGTAATGGTGTTAGTTCCTTCTGTTCGATTCGAATTCGAATTTTGAGAATTGCTTCGATTGTTTTGTTCTTTTTGTCGTTGTCTCTGAAGTTGTCTTCTTTTTACCTTAATCACCATTTGTGCCGAAGTAATAATCATGTTCACCTGTTCAGTCGTTTTCATCATTAAACAATCAGAAATGTAAGCAAAATCGTGAAAATTTCATTCATATTGTGGAATTCTTGTTGAACATGATCTAATTCACTTACCACAATGATAAAAAGTAAAAACAGTAAAGGAAATGCGTAAACGACAGCTGTAAAGAATCCACGTCCATCAAAATAATTCATCGTTGAAAACAATTGCCAATTTGCATTACACCATCTATTCAATGATTCTGACAAGTATGTCATGACGCCTTTTCATCCAAATCCGATTATAATTCAAAAGATGATGACCATCATGTGATCATTCCAAAATTCAACAATATATTATTTATCATCGCTAAATGATGATCCACATTTTGTAAAACACTTACAAATCAAGCCAAATAACAAGGCTTGCATGTTCATATTTTTCCTCGACATTATAATACAAGTAAGAAAGACAATATGCATGGCAATCACGCCTTGTAACCAATATTCTTCTCTCCAATAGACAGAATTAATAAAACTTTTAGCATCGGATTTAAATTGAGAAAATCCATCCACAATATAATGAATCAAAACATCGGATTGAAACGTTCCATTTGCGAATACCTCTTTGAATACTTTGGAGAGAGGTGCTTGGGACATGTCATAATGATTCTTCGAAGGCTCGGAATCAACTCCATGACTCTCACTCGCTGTATCATTGGCCAACCCGAGTGAAAATAAAAACAAATTGAAAAGTTTCGCTTGATTTTCCAGCACTCTATTTAGAAAATTCATTTTTTTTGTTTGTGAGTTTTTTTATTCGCTTGGAACATTGCGTCATAACAATCATCTTATTGTCTTATTTGCTTTCTTGAGGTTGTGTTAATCGATTTAAAAAATGCATGACTTTTAGTCTATATCGATTTGATCCTCCAATGAAGAAGCTGCTGGTTCAGATTTCACACCGTGTTGTGATGAAGGAGGGCTGTCATCCGAAACAGTAGTGTATGAAGTTTTGCTTACAGCAGAGGACGTCGTACTTGTTGCTATTTGTGGAGATGAAGAGCTTTCTCTTGAGAGCTCTGCAGTAGTGTTGTCTGCTCCAATTTCTGCCTGATCGCCTTGCTCATCAAGTTCCTCTGCTTCTTCCTCTGCAATAAAATCGGCATCGCTATTGTACATTGGATGAATTTGAATGTCTCTTGCATATTCCATTTCTACATTATGAATTTCAGAAGAAATTCCACGAGCTAAACGTTCAGGATCATCTGGGAATGAGATAGTATAGGTTTCACGATTCTGTGCAAGCAAGTCTCTGTTCATTTTGTCGATTTCCATATTTGAGGCCTTTAAGAGTCTTCTTGACTTTACAATTTCTTCGTGAGGAGCATCCTGATTAATTAAATTTTGCAAGTCCTTTCTAATATTGTAATTTCTAAAAATTGGATGTTGCTGTAAATATTTCCAATAATCAATGATTTCGTCAACGTGTTGAGCACAATTATACTGAATTTTGACGTGATTCTCATTGATATAGACAGGAAAATAATTCAAAATCTTATCAAAGACAAAATCGTTCGTTGGAAGTGTGCTATTCCAGACAAGAGGCAGGTGTTCTACAGCATATCGAATCCAATTCATAGCCTCCGTGAAATCCTTTGTGATCGTTTTCAATCCTCGTGAAAAGATTTGTTGTAAGCAAACGGCAGTGTATGTAATAATATCTTTCTTTCTACTCAGCTTCTTGTCGCCATGCATTTTGGTGAGAACATTGTCATAAATTATAGCTGTTTGAAAGGCAATAATGGAACGATCAAATGTCTTTCTGTACAAGTAATGCAAACCATGATGATACAGAGTAGCTACAAAACAAAAGAGAGAATACAAATCCGTGAGAGATGCCATAGTTTTGGGGTCAGGAATATCACTAATAGTCAAGTTCACCAAATTCATAAATTCATGGAATTTCATTTGGTCGCTCTTATCAAGACTCATGAATAAATCCAATAGCTTTCGATGAAACATGCTGTAGAAAATTTGATCGGCTATGGTAAATTTCATAGGCCCAATTTGATCAATGGCACACAGGAATACCTGGAACGATGCAATTCTGGCATCGTTTTGAAGAGACATAGAATAGGTATATGTACTATTGACCTGACCTTGGCAAAATTGGAAGCATCTGTTAATCGCATCGTTATATTGATGTTGGAAATGCTTGCGCTCACGTTCTCGCTTTTCCTTTTGTTGCTCTATCCAAATATGAACTTCTTCAACAAATTTTTTGTTTTGGAACAAAACTTCCTCTTGAATATCTTGTGGAATTAATGTCTTCCACTTTTCTGCAAGAATATCTGTTTTCAAGTCACGAGCTGTGGCTGGGTAAGCTGCTAGAACTTCTTCTAAAGAGGCGTACTCGTGTAGATCCTCAACTTTGGAATCATGATTGGGCTTTTGTTCCATGTGGTCATGGTCATGGTGATGGCTACAACATGAGTCATGAGAGTGCTCAAGCTTGTGCAAAGACTCTTTGAGGGATACAATGTTTTCTTCAATTTTTTGTTGAAGAGCCATGTCCTTGCAAATAAAGTGCTTTTCCTCAACATTCACTCGGGTACTGTCGACATATACCAAGCAATAAGCACTAGAGCTAATGTCCTTATCGTTATTGCCTTTGGAGGTTTTCATGACCTCTTCCTCAGTGACTTCTGTTACCTTCATGTCGTTGTATTTCCACCATGTATTTAAATGCTTGTCATGATGGTAAATGAAATAATGACCACTTGATGCCAGGCTTCCTTCATGAACTAAAATGGCACAAAGATCATATGCACAGTCATGCATGTCGTCAAACATTGTTCGAACGCTTTCTTTCAATGTTGCAATTTCAAGCTTGATTGATTCTACTTTCTTCACCACTTGAGTACGTATATTTTCAAATATTTTCACAGAGCTTTCAATGGAGCTTGCTGTAACTTTTGCGTCATTAGAATTTGTGGATAATTCATGTTGCTTTTGATTAACATATTCTAGTACTCCATTAAACAAAAACTCCAGCGACAAACCCGAGTTTCCTTGAAAGTTCACATAGCTATTGAGCTCATTCTCCAAGTCGGCGATTTTAAGTTTGATTTGCTTGATTTTCTCTCTTTTCGACATTGTTTCTTGATGAAGAATTTAATATTTTAAAGTTCAAAAGCAATACCTACTATGTTTGTTAGATTCCAAGTATCTGTCCAGAAAAATTACTTCTTGAAAGTCGAATGGCAGATTAATTTTGTGAGCAACTTTTTTGGTGGTGTCAAACGATGTTCGCTGGCGGTATTAAAAATGCGTTAAGTGGTAAACGTAACAACAATAAATACCTACTTGTAATTGAACTAATAATACAGGTGGAGGTGTTTTGAACCAGGTGGTCTTTACAACATTTGATTTGTAGTTCGTCTCAATGGAATAATCTGCAATCTCTGTTATGGAATAGGCGTCAAGTGATGCGTAAAAATTATTCAATTCTTCGCTAACGTTCAAAATTAAATTACAAAGCTCGGATAACTTGTTGACAGTAACTGTTTCCTTTTCTCTATTTTCATATTCTAATTCTTCTGTACAAATTCCGTAAAATATTTGTTTGAGTGGATTTTCGAGGCTAATACTGTTTGTTTTGTTTTCAATTTTTTCTTCCCATTCTTGAGAAAACATTCTCTCCAATAAAATTAAAATTCTGCTGTAAAATTCTGTGAAAGTAGTTACCAAAAAATTGAAGTGAAAGTCACATGATTTCTTACATACCACTAATGTCTTCTTGGTAGCCGATATTTACATCCACCCCTTCCTTTAAAAGTGCATCCACCAGCGCTGATGGATCTATAAATGTTCTATTTGTGAGAATCATTTTGGCAAAGAGTCTTTGAACTTCTTTTACGAAATTCACTGCAATATACACATGAATCATGATTATTACAAGCTATGTGGATCAAAAACTTACGATCTTTTTCAGCCTGTCTTTCCAACAAGGTACGGCTCGAAACTTGTTGTTGAGCCTGTGAAGGTTGCTTGTCAGTAGCATTTTCTTTTTGTTGATTTGCAACTTTTTCAATTTTAGCTTGAACTCTGGATTTAAATTCTTCTTCGGAAAAAGCAAACACTAATTGCTTCAATTTGGGAATCATGAAGAACGCTTGGAAAAGAGAATTTACATAGCACGTGTTACCAATATTTTTCAAACCTATTGGGATGTGTGACTGCTTTCTATACTTTTCGATAGGTGTTTTAGGTTCCGAATCTCGTTTTTGATCTTGCAAAGAGGCTTGTATGGCCATGTTGAGAGCATCTTCAAAACTATTATTGTGCGATGAATGATTTGAATGTCTATGACCGTGATGGTGATGATGATCATAGTATGGAGATCGTTCATATCTTCTGTTATCATTCGATTCAAAAGTAGCTGTGTCGAAGAAAAACTCATCTGTTGGATCACTCGTAACATGTTGTTGTGAACGCTGATGAGCAGCCTGTTGTGGATCGTCTTCAAGATCGGGAATATTATCAGTGCTATCTGAACGACGATATTGTTGATGATGAGAAGCAGCTGCTACTCGTTGTTGATCGGGAGCAATATTACCAGCTCTGGCTTGATGAGCTTCTTCTTGATCATCACCCAATACATCATCGCTTGTACTAAATGTTGTAGAAGAACTATCCGAATCATTGTAGTATCGATTCATATCATTAATTGTTGGGCCACCAGGAGCTCCCGACATATCATCGTTATGATGATGAACTGCTACTGCTGTTGTTGATGTATTATCATCGGCCATTTCATACTCATCATTATGAAGAGGTATATCAGACAAGAGAAAATCAAAAGCTCTCGTTACATTGTTGTTAGCCTTGTTGAGTGCTGCAATCGCTTGTTCTCTCGTGAAGCCCGCTTCCGTAATTTGATCAACAAGATCCTCTCTCACGTGAGGCATTTTTAAAATTTAAAGCTCTTGGAAATGAACCACTATGCTTTCGCATTAGAGAACTTGTGTGTTGAAGGTAAATACAATATCAGCTTTTACTTTGTTAAAAAGGTCAAGGAAGAACAATGGTTTCATTCAAGTGGATCCTTCTCAAATTGTGATTCAACCTGATTCTACCTGATTACCGGATCTCTATTAATGAGCCTGTTCGAAAAATTTTTTGTTTTCATTCGACGAATTATTATTTTTTAATGTCTCTTCTACCAACAATATCAAGAGCTCCCCTAGCTCAGTTCGGTAGAGCGTTGGACTTTTAATCCAACGGTCGTGGGTTCGAGCCCCACGGAGAGCGAAAGAAATTTTTTGTTTGTCGTGAGTTTTTGTTTCAACACAATTATGAGGAATGTCAGAATCAATAATATTCATACAATAGACGACATTGTCAAAAAACTGAATTGATAATCGACAATTTGTTTTACAGCTATCTTCTTCTTAGAAATCACTCCTCCCTCCCGAAAATTATTGCTAAAGAAAAATGGACGAAAACTCAACAGAACCAACGACCTTAAGAAAGAGGATAGAGAGAATGAATTGGGAACGTATTAAGGAGGATGAGCTGGAACATGATTTCGATTCAATGGAAGAAAGTGATGAAGAAGAAGCGTTGAAAAAAGAACAGTATTCCTTCTCTCACTCCAAGTGTGTTGAAGAATCCGTCCGAATTGAAGACAGTGTGGATTTGTTTGCAACCACAAATCAATTGCAGAAATATTTGATCAAGTTTAAAGTATGTTGTTACGGATAAATCTTTTCTATTAACGCTTGCTTGATTCTATCCCCGTGAAAGAAAAACCCGGCTTTCCAATTTAAACGCGATAAAGATTTTCATTTCGTTAAAGAACAGCTTCAATGCAATGCAAGAACCATCGTTAAGGAGGAGTTCAAATCCATTGAAGAGACTGTCATGACCAATCAAAATCCATTTGCTTTTATCAAGGAAAATATTCTCTTTCTTGGAAATGAAAAAAAGAAGAACAAAATGTGGGAATCCACCTATCAAGTTGTAATATCATATTTCTTTCAACTACTCTTCTACAGATCCAAAAATTTCAAGACAGGAAGGTAAGTCCATTCATGAACACGGTTTCTTATTCTGAACAATTTTTAAGCCAAGAACTGCATGAGCTTAAAGAAATGATCAACTCTATGAAGAACATTGATTCTCAAACTACAACACAGCAAGCCAAAAAACTGAAGCAGAACAAAACGGCTCAGCCTGATTTTTTTTCAACTTTCAATATTGATGGAAAGTCCAAGCATTGGCTGGTTTCCTTTGTTGTAGAGCTTCAAAGAAAAGGTTTGAAACCAAAGCAAGACCATAATGATACATTTAAGACCTGTTTATGGTTAAAAAGTGGAATTCGTCAATGGCTCAATTATTTAACAACTGAAAAGAAGCTCAGCATTGAAAATTGCAAAAAGATCCGAGTGTTTGGAGCTTTGGTTGATAAGTTTAGAATATGTTTTTTAGAAGGAAGAGCAAGACCTTGTCCAGAGTTAAGAGCTTCCAATCGAGATCATGGATTACCCATCTCTTATGAAATAACAGCTCTTCCAGTTTTAGATTTAGCCAAGGACGACAATTTGGCTGTAGCTACTCAATATTTGGCTGATATTCAAAGATTTTACACCCAACTGTCTTTTACTGAGTGCTTGAGTGATTTATTTGTTCCAGAAACAAATTATACCAAAGATCTTTGTCAAAGAATTCCAAAATGTGAAGTTTCCAAGTATTTTGACTCCTTTATCCAAGACATCTACAAATATCCCTTTTCGTCATTCGCTCAAGCCGTTTCTTTCATTGAGTCACTGTACAACGCTTTTACTGTGGGAAAAGAAACCTTTGTTTCAGATCTAAACCAACAGATGGTTATTTGGTTTTGTGCCAAAAATGATATTCCAAAAATTACTGGTGCTGATCAACGTTGTAAAGGTGTTGTCGCAGCATTTCGGATTGGGAATGAAGCGCACTTAAAGTTTTACACTATCACACCCAATGGCTTGTCGTGGGGGGTCATTTTGATCACAACAAACCTGATGATTGTAATGACGATCAAGACCAAATGGAAGATGACGATGATTCTTTCATCCAAAGAAAGACCAATAGACCAACAAGATCGAACAATTCTTCCAGTCCCAGAAGTGAGAATCGCCAACAGGATGCTCTTATGAATATTTTAAAGCTTGTTGGTGTTCAAAGATGCTCAAACGAGTTTAATATTTCAACACATGATGGAATTACTTTTTGTACTCTCGCCTGGTGTAAGGAATTAAGTCAGGAAGTATTTGTGAAGATTACCTCTCGAAAGGAGAATGTAGAGGTGATGAATAAGGTGAAATCTCTTGAACATGAAGGAATATGTAAGATTTATAGATATGAAGTGATTGATTCTTGTTACAGTGCTCGGCTTTTTATCACCAATTTTTACACACTACTTGAAATGGATGAGAGCAAGATTAATGTTTGCGAACTTTATGTCACAATTCAAGAGAAGCTTGTTCCAATATCAGAATCAAAGTTAGATTTTTCATGCATGCTCGAGCAAACTTTGGACGTTGTTGAGTTTCTTCACTCCAACAATATTGTTCATTCTGATCTTTCATTGAACAATTTCATGATTAGACCTGCAAAACATGGAAACCCGAAATCAAGGATTGTATTGATTGATTTTAATAATAGTTTTTTAAAGAAGGAGTGTGGATGTATACTCTACACTGGTGCAGAATTACAACTTTTTAAATTTCCATACACTCATCCAAGAAAGGAGTGGAGAGGAAGTGTTTTACGTGATACTTATGCCTTGGGCATTGTTGTTGCAGAAATGCTTAAGGTGTTCCATTTCAAGGAAAAGAGATTTCGATTCTATAGCTCATCTTTGGAAGAAGCAAGAATTCAAGTACTTGATTATTTAAAAAAAGTCAAGGATCAAAACAGAAATTTTGAATCCATGTTTAAGTTCGTAGATACACTTCTGAACATTAAGGAAAAGCTCTCCTCTTTGCATGAGGCAAGAAAAATATTGACAGAGAGAATTCTTCAACCATTAGACTTGAATCGATCAAGAACAGAAAATCCGAATGTAAGATTAATTCCAAAAGTCCAGTTCATCAACAATGATGACAAAGAAAATCAGATTGTAAGATTGTAAATAAAGAATTTTAACTGAGGTTGTTAGACGATTCGAAAGAACATCGCGTCATACCAATACTGGCCAAAATAATTATGCGTTGTGTTCTGTACGATCTTTTAAACCTTGTTGTAAATTCTGAAAGTTAAAAATCTAACACATCGTCATCGTCTTCGAGCATCATGGTTCCACCACTATTGACAGATGTAAGGGTTGAAGTCCTAGAAACGGGGTGTGCAGTGTCAGAAACTGATCGAGGTCGAGCATTACGTAAAATGTTTTCCACATCTGAATCTGAGGTTGTGTCATCTCCTCCAAGAATATTTTTGTTTAGCTGTGAACGAAGTGAATTTAGAAAATGTTTGACAGAATCACTTACCTTTGCAAACGTGGTTGGATTGAACGCACTCACACTCGTGATTAATCGAGAAGTTTTCTTGACTTTGTTCGTAGCACTGGCTGAGCTAGGTCTGTTCGATTGAGTGACATGGGTAGCGTTTGTGGAAGCCTCCTTCTCCTCATCCTCGTCTGAGTTAATGGTTGTTGTATTCTCTTGACGCATTGTGGTAATGTTAATGAACTTTGAACGATATCGGTATGATTGCTTTCCATCTTGGCTCTTGCCGATTGGACGCTGTTGTACAGTTGTTACAACGCAACGGTCAGTTGTCAATTCGGACAATGGCAATCAAGTACTTACTTTCGCTCCACAACAACATCATTTCTAGCTTTTGTCATTAAATTCTTGAGTATATATTTCGTCTTATTCTTCGTCTCTGAAGTGCATTGTGAGGATGGAACGATGGATTTACAGAGCGCCTCTGAAAATAATTTTAACAGTGGCTCCTTCCATTTGGGTTCAACCTTACTTAGAGTATTGATATGATGGATGATGAGGTGCCACACGCCTGAGACTTGTTCTCCAGCTACACTCTCTAACTCTTGCAGATTAAACTTCTCAGACTCACTTGCTTCTAATATTTTCAATGATAGTAAGGACACTGGAGAATATTGAATAATATCTAAAACTGCCAAACACTGTTGTTCGACCGTTAAATTGGATTTGATGTTTTCTACCGATTGAACGCGTTGTTTGACATTTGTCTTTGGACAATTCAGATAACACAACGATTCGATATTGTCCTTATGTTCCAACTTGTAATTCAGTGACATTTTGTTAAACTTTTCTTTTTGTTCTTTGAGTGTTTCTTCAATTTCTCTCATATAATGTTGCAATGGAGGAATCAGTTTTTTCACATTCATTTTCTTTAATTTCTGACACACTGTGTTATTATCATCCTTATCTTGTGCATTTTGTTCTGCTTCTGATGACGATTCTGATTGTTGTTGTGGTTCGTCTTGCTTTTTCTTTGTCAACTTGAACACTGAAAGAATGCTCTTGAGTTTTTGTTTTGGATTTAAAGACTTTTGAGGGACCTCTTCTTCAGGTGCTGTCATTGTATTATCCGTTGAATTGACAGCAGCAGTAGTGGTTGGCTGAGATGGAGGTTGGGTGTTTGGTTGTGTTTCTGGAGATGGAGAAGGAAACTTGGGTGGTATTGAACCAGTTGGGGTGATGGTAATGGTTGGAGTGGGTGTGGATGGTTGCTGTTTCGAAGGGACTCCTGGTAATTCTTCTTGAGATTCAGTACCCTTTTCAATTGTTAAATCAGAGAAGGGACGTGTTGGAGAGGATGCAATGCGTTTGGGAGATTGCAAACGAACAAAACTTTGACCAGCTTGAATTTCCTTCTTGGTAGGTGTTATTGGCCTTGCTGAATGCAGTTTTGAAAGAGGTGACGACTCGGTGTCTTTCATGTCTTGTTTTTTAACATTTACAGCTTTGGGTGAAGAATTTTGTTGTTTCAATAAAGGGCTCGCTACAATTGTTGAGGTGACTTCTCTTTCGTTGCGTTCCTTGATCTCTTCAACTTCTTCTGGCTCCTCAGTGTTCGTGTTGTATGAGTGAGACGACTCGTTCTTGTCAAACAAGGTTCTTGGGTTCGACGAGTCCAAGTCCTTTGTTTTGCTATTCTTTTCCATCATTTGCTTTTTTTGCCACTCCTTAAATTTTGCAAAGCTTGTGGCAGTATGTTTTTCTTCCATGCTACTGTATCCATCATTGTAATATAAATCATCCGATCGATTTGGAATGATCGCTGCCGTGACAAATTTTTCCCTGGCGTTTGCAATTTTACCTTCATAGACGTCATCAATGACATCTGTTGCCAACAAGAAAGTTCATTCATCATTTGTTTAAACGGAGTCCACTATCCTACTTACTCTTAATTTCTTTTCCATCCGTAGCTTCTGATTTTTTCTTTTTTTCTTGCTTTTCCATAAATCGTTTAGAAGCATCCAACGAAGCTTGTTCCGACATTCGCTGTACATTCCTTTCTGTGTGCACAAAAAAACAAAATAACAGTGTCCATGTCACATACACTTGTAAACATGAATGAAATACGAACCTCCACTAAGAATTGCTTTTCGTTCTGCTTCTCTTTCAATTGCCTCCTTCTTGGCTTGTTCCTTAGTAATAATTAATTCTTTGACCTTTTCTTGAAGATCGTTATTCAATTTCTTTTCTCTCTCCCATTCAAGTTGGGAGGTTCGTGATTTTTGTTTCTGTAATTCAATTTCCTCTTCTGCTTTTCGAATTTGTCGTAACTTTTCTTGTCTTGAAAGAGCTTCAAATTCATGAAGCCTTAATTGAAAATTTTGTAAAAATTGTTTCTAAGAAATATTCGAATAATTGAAACAAACTCTCCGTTACTATACATCACACGTAATAAATATCATACCTTTGCTACCTCCAACTTGACTTTAGAGCTCACGAGATGTGTAGATTGTGCCATGTTGGCGTCGTTGAGCACTTGATCTGCTTTTGCTACCAATTGTCTATTCCGTAGTTTACTTTTTTCATAATTGTCCTCGACTTTTTTGAGCAAGCGTTTCATGTAGTCCGATTTGTGATGTTCGAGGCCTGTTTCGGAATGAAATCTCAAATCGATTCGATGTTCAATTAATTCTCGTTGTCGTCGACTGAGTTCGTCGTGAAAATTGTCCAAGTCATATAAACGAATCACAACTAGTAAAACCTACATTTCCAACCGTTCTTTCTCTAACACTTGCCATCGTTCCGATGCAATACTGAATTCTTCTTGGATTTGCGTCGTCATCTCTAACGGCTGGAGGTTGAAGTAATTTTTTTGTTTGAGAAAATATTGTACCAAAAATTGGCGGGCTGACGCAAAAATCGATCAATCTTTAATCGAACGAGGTCTGGTGTTGTGACAGAGACTCAAGTGAGATCAACTTCCTTGATCTTATCCTTGATCTTCAAGAAAAGATTTGTTTTCCATGTATCCAACTTTTGAATCTTGTCAAAGTCTCTCAAAGTAATCGTGAACGTTTTGACATTTTTCTCTTCGCAGGCATCCAAAAGTTTTTCAATTAATTTACATTCCAAAGAATCTCCAAAATGAACGTCCATCTCCTTGTATTCATTGAGTTTGTTTCGGACTTCAGTGATATCCTCTGGTTCAGTATCTTCCATCTTGGCCATATAGCACATGAGTGACTTGAATTCATATTCCTTGGCTCCCCACTTTAACATTCTATCGTCAACAGCTGCGGATGCTGCCTTTTCAAAGTTTTCAATGGCTTCAGCGTACTTTTCATTGGCAGCTTGCAAGTGAGCCAATTTAACAATACATTGATTGGCACTGCTTTTTTGATCTTCGGAAAGGAAATAGTCTGCTGCTGATGCATAGTGATTACAGGCTTTTTCATAATCACCATCGTTTTCATATACTTCGGCCATTTCCTTCTCATATTTTGCTACCGTTGCGAATTTACCAGTCTCCATAAATAGTTGAATGGCTTCATTCATCGTATCGGCTGTTTCTTTTGGTAAATTTGCTTGTTTATAACAATTTGCAGCATCAATTAAAACCGTTGCCGCTTCATATTTGCTTCCGGACTTGACCAAGAGAGGTACCACCTTTTTGTAGGTATCACCGGCTTCCTTCCATGCTTTTCCAATCTTGAATTTATTGGCAGCAGTTTTATAGGCGTCCGTTGCATCTTCAACACGATCACCGAAATAAATGAATTTGGTCATGATGGTATCACCCTTCTTGACAAGCTCCATGGCTTGCGAGATGTTGGCTTCCTTCAACGAACTGCTCATTTTTTTTGTTTCCAAGACGCGTTGCAACGTTTACTTAGCGTATGACGAGTCACATATTTTTAGAGAATACTTTGAGTTTCAAGAAACGTTCTTTAGGTAATTTCGTCATTACATTATATTCACCACGTGGAAAGAGACGTTGTGAGTATTTTCTTTTTCTCAAATTATTTAAATGAAACAAGTGGATGGTGGATTTGGCGCCCAATTGCCAAGAAAACGGAAATCCCAAAAAAAAATTAAGGCTTTTAGGTGAGCTCATCGAACACACCAAAGAGAATGAATTCAGATGGCGATCGTCTTTCTAACATGATGGATGTTTCAGAATTGTGGACGAATGAAGATCTCAATTTTTTCATCAATATTCAAACTCCGATTCATAAAAAAAAGGGAGATTTGTTATTTCCCGCAAGCCGGAGGAATCAACTCCATGAAGAAGATCCATCGACAGGACTCTCCATGTCCCCTCTTCTACTACTTGAAAAGGATGTAAGAGTAGGTGCTTCGCTCCATTCGACACAAGACCAGAAAAAAGATACATCTCAACACAGTTCTAACAAGCTTTTGCCACAATCAAGCACTACTATTATGAGTAGGAATGAAAAACGGTTAACAAAGCCAACGTCACAACCAACACATACGAGGTCGACCTTCTCACAAAATAATATTCTTCAGAATACCTTAGATAAGTCCTCAAAAAAAGTTGAAGCTCGAGACAAGAAACAGAGAAAGGTAGTCAATGATGAAAACTTGTCCCCAAATATTATTGTCACGGCTCAAAAAGACCAAAAACCTCTGTCCAATAATATTATTCCCAAAAAACAGGTACAAATAATTTCTCCAATTCCAAAGCTGAGTCAACATGAAAAGCAGCCTACCATAAAACAGGCCACAAATTTGGATCCACCCCATTCTCAAAACCAGCAATTGAACGATAAGAAAAACAATCCCGAGAATCCCCCACCTCTTCCTTCATTACCTCCACAACAACTAATTCTAAAATTGTTTGAAGAAAAGCAAAAGAGATTTCTTGCAAAATTTAAAAGTGATTCCCATGCATTGCTTGACTATATATCTTCGGTGACGATTGACCAATAGCGTATTAAACAATTCAATTACAATTTGGTCTTTTTTCTTGGCTGTAGAATGTGAACTTGTTCATCAAGTTGATGTTCGCTCTGTGATTGTGGTTGCACCAATTGTTCAGCTTGTTTCTTACGAGTGACATCCATGTACGCCTGTTCTAGTGTTGGTACATTGCTGTAGTTCCAATGTGCTTCGTCATCACTTCCACTCTCTTCCAAATCTTCCTCATCGTCAACATAAACGTCGTCGACTACATCTTCAAGATCAGGATGCAAAAATAGAATGTTTTTGTCGAAGAATGTCTGAGGAGGTGGTTGCTCCCACAATCTCAAACTCGCTTCCTCAGAAATAACCTGATTAATCATATTGTGTGTGGTCAGATGCAAAATCTTTTCTTCTAACACATATGATGCACGAGAGGAGAATTCCCAAAACACTGCGTTATTTCTGATTTGGTCAAAATCATCTCCCATGGCATCATCAACCTCCTTATTGAAGAAATCAATGTAATGAGACTCACAAACATCTCTAAGGAATAATTCTAACTCATGTTGCTTTTGGAAGAGTTTTAACATGATCTGCCTTAGCTTTCCATCTTGCGTCGAGTTTGGACTCATGAACTTTTTTTGGCGATCACAAAGCGAAAAGCAAGAATCACACAACAATTTCATACTCTCAATGAGAGGAATGTAATCTGAACGTCTCAACTCAATTTCATCTCTCTTTTCAGACAGATACTTTAAACTCTCTGCAACCTTTTCATGTAATTTGGGTAATGTACTGATAAGAGAATGAGCCAAAAGTTCTCCACTTCATAGGTTGAAAATATTACATCGGATATAAATCTAAGCGTTCGTTTGCAACATACTTACCTATTATTCCGAGTTTTCTTTAACTCCTTACATTCCAGTACCAAATTGAAAATCATGATGACCTTTCGCATGAACGATAAAGGTTCCTCAATTCTAATGAAAAATTTACCATTACTGGAGTTGACAGGACAAACTGGAGCATTGGTGAGAGCCAACTCTGCTACCTTTGTGACAATTTGGAAAAATAAATGGAACGTATTTTCATCTAATACTTTCACTACTCCATGTTGGATTCTTTCCACGTTCACATCTTCCCTTGAATTACCTTCTCCATTAATAACTCCTAAAACAAAATTATTGAGAGCCATCAAAAAGTAATCGATTAAGCATCTACCTTCATCAGAAGGTAAATACGCCAATGGAATTAATAATCTGGCCTGCATCAGATATTTGCTCAATGTTGATGTTTGCTTTGTTTCTCTATGAAATAGTAAATGATAAAACGGTACGTCTTTAAAAATAAATGTATCAAAGATGAGCTTTTCAATCTCTAGAGATATGGGTAATGATGTATATACAGTTTGTATCATGGAAAGCCCAACATATCCAATGCATGCTGTAAGTTCCTTCCTTCACTTACTGCAAGAAATAGCAAACACAATTGAACGACATGCACTGAAAACGGTGATTTCTCAATTTGGTTCAAAAACAATCGTGAGAGGTACTGTAAAGATATTGATAGGTCAGTATTGTTTCGTTTCAGTAAAATAAGTAATTCCTCAAATGATTCCTCATGCATTCGTTTCGTGACATATAGTACATTGGTTAATGTGCTATAGATATAGGAAATACACAGAGAAATATGGTCTACAAGCTGGTACATAACTTCTGCATTGTCTTCGGTAGTTTTTTCTCTAATAGTTGCCATTCTATTGTTAAACGAAAAAGTCATCTTTACAAGCTTTGCAAGAGTCTTAGCCTTCGTTTGAATAAAGTCAGAAATGGATTGTGGTTGTCGACGAGTACTTTCCAAAAGTGCTCCAAAGTTAAATCTTTTAACTGGAGAAATACATTTAAAATCTGGAGAGAACGCTTGCTTTCCCTTATTCGTCATTGATGACGTATTCAACTTATCATTAATGCCTTCTAGAGGATCTGATGTCTTGGAGCTCAATAAATATTTCAACGTTGCATTCATATCTGAAAACAAACATTTAAACGCTTCTCTCACTTTGTACATGGATTTGTCATTGTCCTGTTCATATTCCATGGAAGCGTTTAATGTTCTTACGTGATTGCAAACAATGTCCAAATTAATTGGAAAGAGTTCATATACATCTTCGAGATTCATTTTAAATATACCAATGGACTTGGCAATTGGAATGTCGTATCGCAACGTTAGCAAATAGTTCATACTTTCATTAAGAGCGTCTTCTGTTTTTTCATCAAATATGGTTCCGCAATTTTCAATACATAGATCACACATGGCTGTAAAAATAACATAGGCACAAACTAATTCTTCTTTGGAAGATCCAACTACACCAAATTGCGTCAAAGCAAGTGCTAAATTTTCTTGAGGCTAATAAGTGTTGCCATTAAATACTTCATAAAGACACGTTTCACAATACTTACATGTTCCTTCTCATACGTCATGACAAAACACTTAAAAAGTAGTGACAGAGTTTTGAGTCTGGTCTTGTTCAATTCACTCCCAGAAGCAAATTTTCGAAAATTAAAGCTCTTCTTATTTTCTAAACGTAAAATGTCTTGGACTAGCTCATAATTGTTGATGAGGGAGGCAACCATGTGTTGAATACGTGTATTATAACCCTTCAAGAGAAAAAGAAAGGCGTATTGATAACGAAACGTTTTAAAGAACGTACCATCTTGTAAAGTTTTTCAAAATTATAAATTAATAAATCAAGAACGAAAATGGTATTTTCATCACAAAGCTTTTGGTTGAATAATGTGAAAACAAATCGTTCAACGTCCATTGAAGTCATTAACTGTGTTTCATGAATGATGTGGGTGGAAATAATAAGTCCTAGTTGTGACTTTTTATCTTGCCCACTAAAAAGCTGTTTTCTAATGAAAATCATTAAAAATTCAAATAACCTAGGTTCATATGTACAACATTTAGCAAGTACGTAACATAAACTATGCTGACATTTGACTATACGTTGATATTGTTCATGTCATAACTGAAATATGTGGTTTCACTTACTTGAATATGTGACTCCATGAGAAAGGGCATCCTTGAGAATGGACAAGTAATCTGTGGCCATTTCTTTACAAAGCGAAATTTCCTCTTCATCACTGTCATCATTGGTTTCATCACATAATCCAACCAATATATCGCTGGCTATGCTTGATCTTGGATCATTAGAATATTGGAACATGGCCAATAAAGATGAAAGAAACTTGGAGCGTAAAAAGGGATGGGCTTTAAAGGCAGAAATGAAAATACTATAAGCCCACGACACACCTTTTTCATCTATAAACAATTCACTATTGGACAATAAGTAGAGAATAAATACGTATATAGAGTTGGAAAATTTTTCGTTCACTATTGAGCTTGCCTCTTTCAGGGCGTCCAAAATTGTTGCAAGCGAAACAAGTCTCTTTGGTTTGTTTTGAAATGCGTTTTTGAAAATGGAAAATGTGGTGCTTCTCTCCCTACTACGAGTCGAGAGCAGTACAATCAAGATGAGAATGTCTAATTTGGAAAATTCATTTTCTTCAGCTTTTAGAGATTTCAAAAAATAGGCTGAAGAAGATGGATTTGTTGAAAATGTCTCTGAAAGAATTTCGGAGCATATCCGTGCACCTGCAACGTCATCATACGAAAGCTTGTTTCTAATGTATTGTACGACATGATGTGCATTTCTTTTGGTCATATTTTTCAACATAATTTTCACAATATCATCTAAATCCTCCTCTTCAGCAGATTCAAGAGCGCTTTGACATGTCAGTAAAATTCTATTTTGTTGTTTTTCTGTTAAATTATCTAATTTGTACAATGTAGTAATCACGAGTCGTGCCAAATCATTATATCTGTCATAGACTCTCTCCAGAGTGCTAATAATTTTGTCATTTTCAACCTCGGAATTTCCACACAATTTAACAATAAATTCAATTGCAATCGATTTTAAATGACTCTTTTCCAAGGATTCAACAAATTGTAAATATTTGGCTGTCATGAGAGGATACGGTTCCGATCGAAGTAATTTCGTTAGTTCCAATTTCAATCGTTTCTTTTGCTCTTCAATAGGACAAGATGAATCATCATTCATCGGAATGCTGTATTGATCCATCAGTGAGTTGATGAGAGCAATCTCCACAGTGGTAACACCAGTGGAGCTTGATTCATGAATGTGTTCTTCAACCTCATGCACATTCGCTTGTTGCAACATTTTTTTCCACCGTGGTGTTGTTTGTGCATTGAATTCCACCATTCAACTTCTTTAGAGCGTACAATGCCACTGTGGGGATTGCTCTCTTGAGCTCACAGATGGATGATTGTACACGAAGAGTTTTAAAATCCTCTCCTTTGAAAAGAGCCCGCCCTTTTTGTAAATGCTTACATAAAAATATTAAAAAAAGAATAATCATGAAAAAGACAGTGGCAAGTGCTCCCGTCGACCAAAAACAAGCGATGGCTGTAGTGAATCAGCAGTTTGAGTCCATGTTTCCGACTCAGTCTGCAACGACAGCAACGCCAACAACAGGGGGAGCTTCTGCCAACACCAAAAACAAAGATTCAGCCATTAACGATCTTTCCAATTCGATATCCAAATCAAAAAAACCCTCGACCCGAGAGCTATCTAGCCCCGAGAAGAAAAGACTTCAACTACACTATCCCAAATATAAGAAAGCAACTTTCACTCATAATGAATTACGAAATGCGGAGGAGCATTCACGATCTGAAAATCCAACTCCTATCAATCCACCTCGAATGGAAAAGGACGTTGTTGAAGAGGAATTAACTGACGACGAGGCTGGAGACATCAAACTGGACAATGTATCCAAGAACGAAGATCTCCCAGAATCCATGTTGATTTCTAAAAAAGAGGTGAAGAGGCATTTCGTTTTCTTGACGTCCGACAAAAGAGAAAACTAACTCCAAAGGATCTAAAAGCTCGGTTGAAAATGTTTTATCCAAACATGACGAACAAAGAATACAAATTTTTAATATCTGAACCAGAATTCACCATTCAAACACTCCAAAATATCCTCAATATTGATACGAAAAACTCTATTTATGGTTCGAATTTTTACAAAAGTTATGATCCAGTGAAGGAGGCCTTTAAAGTATTTGATCCAAAAGATACCGGTTATGTGGATGAAAAGCATTTGAAAGAGATGATGGAACAACTTGGTTTAGGTCCCATTACCACAGAAGATTTGAAAGTACTCATCGATACAGCTGACAAGGACGGGGATGGGAAAATCTCTCTCGAAGATTTCAGAAGCATGACCAAGATTTCTGATGAATAAAACAGTTCCAGTACTAATTTATGGAATGTACATTACGAGAATTAATGTTCATTGTGACTCGATTTAAAGCTATCCAATAGATTTTGTTTTGCAAAACCTAGCAAGTACCTCGAATACATGTGATGAAATGGCATCAATGCACTCACTATTAAACCCTGTTCCAATACAGCGCTTCCAAAATGTAAGGTTTTAACATTAGGTTTGTGACTAGAAAGTCCAAGCCACGTTAACGTTTTCATGTCTGTTTCCAATAAAATTTCGTGTTCAGTTCGATCCACAACTCGAAATACTCCAACACGGTCTCCAATTTGAAACTTGAGCCTGTTAATTTCCTCAATATTTAAATTTTGTTGATTGTTTTCTGAACTGAAAGAGGTTGCAAGTTTTAACAAATATCGCTCTGGGGTGAAAGCTGTTGATGTGAAAAAAGCCCGTGCATACTCTTCAATATTGGGATGAGTGGATGTTACTTGTGAATGTTCTAATTGTGAATAATAATGATCAAATTGTACGTTCATGCCTCGTTGAGACGATTGTTTGTTGGGAAGTACGAATGGATGTACAGAAATCTTCTCCGAGCTCTCTTTTTCATTGACCTCTTTCGTGTCCTCATTGAAATTTCGTACCATGAATTTCTGATGAATATAATAACAATCCATAGAGTACAGAGCAAAGATACTGCTGCCCAAAAGTAATGGCACTCCCCATCCCTTTAAATTTAACATTTTTTTGTTATTGATTTATGGATGATGATTTGTGTGTAGGATTTTGAAGGTATTGGAGTATTTGAACCTGCCAATCAAAGTTACCTTGCGGAGAGAAGCAGAATTACCATTTTTGAAATAAATCCTTGCTTCATTTTGATTTTCTGAGGTTGGTCTTATTCCAACAATCGTTTTTTGTCATCCCGATCTTCCAAACACCATCAAAAAATCACATCATGAAAAATGCATCAAAATCCAAATGAACGTTATTTTTATTCAAAAGAGATGATACAAGTTAATTGAAGATCGTTTGTGCAAAAAAATACATCATCACCGAATACCATTAATAATCACACGCAATTTATTACCACTCCATTTGAACTGTTTCCGATCATGTCCTCTTCCTTTAATTCTTCCATCTTCAACCTGAACAAAAATATTCATGATGATGATGAGAAAAATGATCATTTCTTGGATGATGAGCACAAGGTGTTCATGACTTCATCCTTGCCAATGTATCGTTCATTTTACGAGAAGGTTTGTTGATTCTATCTTAAATTTTCCACAACTTGAACTTGTAAATCAAGGCACCTTGCCAATTTTATTATGGAAACAAAAGCAAGTCTCAACAGCAGGATCATCAAGGGTTCCGAAAGACCAGTACTACTGCTCCGAATAATCAATGTAAATTTGGCTCTCGTTGTTCATATTCTCATTCAGCCATTTGTAAACATTATAAATTGGATTATTTTCATCAGGACAACAATCCACACCGAAATCCAGAAATTAAGAATCAAACAGCAATTACAAAATGTGGCTGCACATTTGGTGACAAGTGCAAGTATATTCATTTGGATTTTGCAGAAACAAAATCAAGAAGAGAGTTAAAAATTGTTGCAGAGAGTGCTACAGAATACTCGAGTAAGGCATCAGAGGTGAATTGGTTCATCAGAAAAGAGAATCCTCTCACACAAAATAACATCAAAGCATTCATTTCTATGGTTGGCTTAAAGCCAGGAACAAAAATTGAAGAAGTAGAATCTTCAACACCACAATCCTTCATTGACATTATCGACATGTCACTCAACAGAGATTATACACTTTTTGTCCTCAAAGATGGAACTGTTTGGACGACTAAAAACCCCTCTCTACTGTACGGAGCACATGGAGGAAAAATACATGGTCGTCTCTCTACTGAAATGGATTGGGATGAATGGAAAAAGTATGACAAGCAAAAGATCATGCCTATCGATCAACTTGAAAGAGTTCCTTTTGACAACTCGTTGCTAACACAAGACCACAATGTGAGAAAATGCTGGACATCTGGATCTATTTTCGCTGGTACCTTTAACTATTTTATGACTCATAATGGTCAATTGTACAGCCAAGGCGTCAATTCTTGGGGTCAGCTTGGAAAAGGTATTGATAAATCAGACTCGTTCATTCCTCGCCCTGTACTCTTAGAAGATTTGGAAGATGGTGAACGACCAATCGATGTAGCGTTAGGTCACGATCATGCTGTGGTCTTAACATCAACAGCCAATGTTTACACAATTGGTTTGAATCAATCAGGCCAATGTGGAACAGGAGGCAGCAACAAAGATTTTCATGTTATTTTCCAAAAGGTGAAAATTGCTTTCGAGCACAAAGATGATCATGTTATTCAAATAGCGTGTGGTGAAGACTTCACCATTTGCTTGACAAGGCATGGAGATTGCTATGGCAGCGGTAGAAATACCTGTGGCCGAATGGGCATATCTACACAAAGAAATGTCGAAGATGAGCACGGCAATATTTTCAACTTTACCAAAATTGACATTCCTCTCCAAGCAAATGACAAAATAGTGAACATTACATGTGGAACAAGTAATTCATGTTTCTTGTCAGAACAGGGTCGTGTTTACATGTGTGGTAAAAATCACCACTCCCAACTCTCAAAGATGGGAGGGTTAAAAGCAGTGACCACTCCCACACTCGTTCCCTTAAAACACGCCGTCAAGAAAGTATTTTGCAGTCAGGAAAGCATTACATTTTTTGTGACCGAGTACAATGAAATTTATGCTGTAGGATCCAATGATTATGATATTATTCGACCCATGTCAAGCAAGAATATGTCTTTTAACGTGGGAAAACCTTTCAATGTGACGAGTACCTTCATGCCAGATCCTTTCATTAATAGGTATGAAGTGGTACAAATCCTTGCCTATAACATGTTTGTCATGGTCCATTTGAAGAGAAATAACAGAAATGCAAATGCCATGAGACGAAAATTGTTTAACAAAACAAGACGACACTTACATCTCTCGGACTGCACGATCATGACAGAGGATTGATCCACTATGAATTGTACATTTTACTTTTTAATGTATTTACATGATGATCACGGAAGGTTTCTGGGAAGCTATCGAAGAACTATCTTCATCTTCTTTTCCACCCTCACCCACAGAATTGGAAATGTTTTTGGTACTAAAGAGAATATGGGGTGGTAAATTAAGGCTGATTTGTTCAAATTGATGGTCCAAATCTTGAGCAACACGGTTAAATCCAGGAAAAACAGATGAAATTAATGGACTTCTTGAATTCACTGCTGTAGTAATCTTTCGCCGTTTGAGAGTATCACTTGGCAATTTGAAACCACAACTTTTCAATTTGAAGGTATCTTCAGCAGTAAGGAATCTATTAGAGTTTTTCTTGTCGTGGTCCGTTATTCGAAAGTATTTAGTTCTGAAAAGCCTTTCAATTTCATTTTCGATAATTGGCTGTAGTTTTGGATTGGGAAATTCTATGGTTGTAACAAATGATGTGACCATGTAAAGTGCCTCAAAAAACATGGTTTCTTTCACAGTATCTCTAAATCGTAAATTGTGAGGACTTCGAAAGGTGTATTCCTGTAAAATTTGCGAGTATGCAAAACTGAGCTCTGATAAATTATCAATACATTCCTTTTTTGCCTCCATTTCTTGTTTTTTATATTCTTCCGTGAGTCTGATGGTGTTTGTTGTCATAGTTATGAAATTGAACTGACTCGATAACTTACTTCAATTCGTATTTCACCTTTGCTCTTTCATAATTTAACAAATTACAAATATACAATACACATAAACTAAATAACCGGTCTGCCATATCTGAATTTAAAAAGTCCACAAACATTTCACAAAACTTTTGATGTTTGGTGTAATTCTTTTTAGTTTCCAGAACCGAAGCCCATGCTTCGTTTTTCGTCTTCTCAAGGTTAAATAATTTCGTTGTTTTGGGTTGTGTCAACTTGGTCATCTTTCCTGAAAGCACCGACTGCGCAAACGATGTTTGTGACTGATTGTCATCATCTTTTTGCCTTCTCTCCGACGTTGCAAATTGATTGTCATTGCCCATTTCTGATGTATTTTCAGGTAAATTGGACATTCTTAATAAGTTAGATCGATGTTTGGCTGTGAGTTGAGCTGACAGAGTTGTCAGCGCTTCTGATGTATTTTTCGTTGGCTGTTGTTGTTGGAGGAGATCACCACTACTTGGTGTTCTCGACGGAAGAAATCCCGAGAACAAGTTTTGTGGAGATTTACTCCGTCCTCTCACGAAAGGCACTGGTTTAAGTGGAGAATAATTGCTGTTGATCGTTCCATTCATTTCAAGATTGGATTTGTTGCAAATTCTTTAAAAAGCCCCAAAAGAGATTCCGTTATTGATGAATTTCGTTTGATGATTTCGTTTCTTTGAAAATTTTTTTTAAAAATTTCATTTCAACGAAATTTACAGTGTAACTGATATTTTTGGCGGCTTTTTTGCCAAATTTATAAAATTTAATGCTCTCTTTTCATTGTAAATGTTTCATGAAATTAACAAGTGTCATGTAAAAATCACACACACAACAGCATGTTTTACAAGACAGACAACCATGGTTCAATCAATTCACTATCCCATTTGGATGGTCTTGTCTTGTTGACACTCTCTCTCTTTGTCACACGTTGAAAATAATTTTGCAAATTATCAAATCCCTTCAAATCAAATCCAAATCGAATTAAAATTGCTAACAATGGATAAAAGGCACAATCTGCCAAACTCAATCTCTTTCCATTGATAAGAGGCCATAAATATTCTTTTTGACTCAAATACTCATTCCAATGTTTCAATTCGTCTCTCATCTTTTTCTTCCAATATTGCACACGAACTTTGAACTCTTTTGATTTTATCATGACTGAATCATCTTTAATCAGAGCGTCAAGAATATCTTTAGAGAAATTGTAAGCATTCAATGCTTCATGATAGAGAGACATGACTTCGGCATACTTGTTACGATCATTCTCAAAATCTGGTAATAAAGTACTTGATGAATCGGAATAGTTACTTTCCAGATATTGCATAATAGCTCCTTCTTCAATAATGATGGCTCCTCCATCTTCCAAAACAGGTAATTCTTTTTTTGGATTAATTGTGGGTTCCATAATGTGTTGATTGAAGTGATCAGAATTGACAAATGTATTTCGTGAAGAGGCTTCATCAATGATGAGCACATTTTCATAGCCGAGATCTTTTTCTTCGAGTTGTAATCGACATCTCCATCCAACTGCATTGAGAGAAGGATTTGTTTTTGCAGAGACAATATATCGATAGACTTGAATGACCATTTGGATGTGTGTGTGCGTATGTGTGTGCGTGTGTGTTTGATTGATTGATGAATAAATCTTTGATGATGATGGTTGTTGTTATTATTATTATTATTGATGGGTTTGGCGAATGGTTTTATAGGGTTGTTGTTGTTGATGAAAATTTAATTAAATGTGTGAATGGAATCAAAGAAGCGGAGATTTTACGGAATGATGATGATCAAGAAGATACTGTCAAGATGGATACAACAATATCACGTCCAATAAGTGTTTGTGTGTGTGTGTGTGCAAATCACACCCAGCTGTATGAAAATATTTTTTTTTTGATCGATGACAGGCTTGTCTCCTCTCTTTTGAAAAACTTTAACAACCTTTAATTCAAGTCTTCTTTTACATCCAATTCATAACATTCAACACAATCATCATGATCATGATCATCCACAAATACATGGGTTTCACTTGGAACGAGTTTTGAGCTCTTTGTGTACTTGGTTTTGGGTTTGTCTGTTGAGAGGAAGAAACTTTTGGTTTGGGACTTGATTGAATGGGTTGTGGTTGAGGTGAGGGAGAAGGAGTTGTGGCGGTGGAGTAATGACACTTGTTGAAGAAGGTTGAATCAAGTAAATGCCACCTGTCACGACCATACTGAATGCTTGTTTACCCTTATTGGTAGATTTGGCAGTGACACTAATATTCACAAAACTTCCACTTGGAATTGCATTCACAGTAACACTCTCAACAGTATTCACTGAATCATGAGCACTGTTATTGGTCAGCTCTAGATTACCATAAAAAGTTTTTAACACACTTGTGGTCGAATTTTGAACCGTGACCAATAAATCCAAATCGTTGATCAACTTTTTCACAGCTTCTTTTTCAGATAATGATGAAGGTAAATCATACCATGTAATGGTCACTTTGACATTGGTCATTCGTGTGGCTTGAAATTGGAACTTGACCGAATCCAAAACATCCAAATACATTCGATTCACAATACTCAAATTTCCAATCTTGTTCACAGAAAATGGATCAGCATCAATCTTTAACACATTTTGTAAATTCACTCTTCCGAATCCAAAGAAATTATTTGGAACTGGCAATTGACTCATTGGATATCCTAAATTGGCAGCTGATCCAATCATTTGTTCTCCAGAATGAATCATCATGGCCTTGACCAGAGTTCCAGAAAGTGTCAAACCAGTCACTGTCTTGTTTCCAATTTCGAGTTCTTTCAATTTTTGTTGATTATTCTTATTGAAATAATGTCGAACAAGACCAGCAGCTCCAGCAGCAGCAGGACAAGCCATTGAAGTTCCTGATTTGGAAGTGAGAGAACAAGACGTTTTGGTGAGTGCGCTTGCAATGCCATCTCCTGGAGTGACAATGTCTGGTTTGATTCTTCCATCCACAGTTGGTCCTGTTTTCATTATAGTCAAGCAATATGGAACATAATACAAAAAAATGTCAGAAAACGAGTCGTGTCAAAAAAAAACTCACCTCTACTCGAAAATGAAGACATGGTATCCTTGCTGTACATACTTCCTACAGCAACACCATTCTTGCTCGGAGCAGAACCTCCAATAGTTCCTAACAATGCCATCGAGGCCGAGTTTCCAGCACTTCCAAAAAATGTCACTTGATCATTCACAGTACCCAAATAATTATCCAAATCATATCCATAAAAATCGTACTTGTTACAGAATTCACAACATCTTCGACCAATACTTGCTAAACATTCGTCATTGGAAATTGGAACTTTGGTACCATTGGCAAGAGTTTGTTGACAGACACAATCAAACGAACACGAATATTTAGGGTTACAACCCCATGAATTAGAAGAAATGCATGATTTGGCACGATTGAAAGCATTTCGAAGATAGGTACTAATGCTCGAGAAGGAAATGAGTCCGCTGGTTTTGTCTCCATCCACAACATATAATTTGGCACCAATGGCCACACCTATTTCATTATTGACAGAGGGTGTAAAGTTGGAGGGTATTCCTGCAAGGGTACCAGCAACCTATGTGTTTGGTGGAGTTTAATGTACAAGTCAAGTATTTGTGAAATTGATTAAAAAGGAAATCACCAAAATTAGAAAGTTAAGAAAAACATTAAAAAAAAGAAATGAACAACATGTCCACTTACATGAGTACCATGACCATGATTATCTGCATAATCTCCAAGACCTCCTTGAATATCAATGTACACAATTTTACGATTGGTCATATTAACATTGACATAGGACTCATTCACACCTGAAAAGAAACAATGATTTGGATCAATACCTGTATCAGTAAAGGCCAACACTTCACCCTCTCCTGTAATTCCATGATTCCAGAAATAGGTATTATTATTACCTCCTCCATTTTGAACCATCTTGTTAATTTCTAAATTGTCCAAACCAATTCGAGTCGTTCTTGTAATGTAATTCACAGAAGGATCAGCCAATAATTGATCCAATAATTGAGAACCCATTTGATTTGAAATGGAATCCCATAAATGAGACAATTCTGGAATGGAATTCATGAAACGTTGTAAATCTTCTCTTCTCGATAAAAGTTGAACACTTTCATGTGAAAATTCAGCACGTTCGAGACGATCCCAAACTTGTGCATTGAAATTGGAGAGTGAAATGTGTAAATGTCCATCCAAGTTCAAGTCAAACTTTAAATTAAAGAATTCTGTCAATTTGTTCTCGAGCCATGCTTTGACTTGATGAACGGGATGAATGAAATCATCATTACTACTACTACTACCATCATTATCAACACCATTGTCAACTGCTGATTCTTCTCCAGTACGACCATGACTAGAATCTTGTACAGAAATGTCATTTCGAAACCATTCTTGTGGAATTTCATTTTGGAATCGAAAATATTCTCGAATATTGAAACGTTTCATACTAGAAAAGACTTGTTCCATATTCAGTGAAAGTAATTCTTGAGTAAGAGTATGTTGCAAACGTGTATGAAACCATTCTTTCATGGTTAAAAGTCGATTCATTCTCTCTACACTTGTCATTTTGCGATCATAAATAATTTTCACTTCTCCATGCAATTTCAATGATTCCAAAGTCAATTGTGGAAAAGTGAGTTTATATTCATTGGGAACTTGTTTGATCCATTCGACATGGCTTTGAATGAACGGATCGTTCGAGAGATGAGTTTGAATGAAATGCTTGGTGAGACGAGTGGTAAAGATGGAACTCTCAGTGGAAGAGAATTGAAAATCTTGTCGAAAAGATTCAACTCTCATGAGAGAAGCAAGAGTTTCGAGAATGGAGTGAGTCATCAAGACATGGTCAAGAAGTTTCACATGGACAAGGAGACTTTGGTGGTCGTTGTTGTTGGAGTTGTAGGACTCGTCGGTGGTGCTGGCGGTGAGAAGATTGGGAGCGCTGTCAGTTGTCAACAAATGAGAAACGACAAGGTGTTGCTGATCTTTGGTGATGAGCAACGTTACGGCAAAAAACAATGCCACAAGCGTAAGAACAAATAAATGGCGTGGAGAAGAGGATGACATTTTTTTGAGCTGGAAAAGATCACCATTTCGATCTGACAGAAATGTGATGGAATAGCTTTCCAAATACGACGAGTGCGTGTCCACCAGTAATCATGGACAAACTTGTGTAGCCAACGAATCTTACCCCTTAAAAAGCTTTAGATTTCAGAGATTTTTTCCATTTCCAAGTGAAGCTTTATATTCTTATTGTTTTGACAAGATTAGGATGCTAACAGCAACATCTCTTACTTAATTATTTTGGCCAGTATTGGTATGACGCGATGTTCTTTCGAACGTCTAACAACCTCAGTTAAACTTCTTTATTTACAATCTTACAATCTGATTTTCTTTGTCGTCGTTGTTGATGAACTGGACTTTTGGAATGAATCTTACACTCGGATTTTCTGTTCTTGATCAATTCAAGTCTAATGGTTGAAGAATTCTCTCTGTTAATAATTTTCTGGCCTCATGCAAGGAGGAGAGCTTTTCCTTAATGTTCAGAAGCGTATCAACGAACTTAAACATGGATTCAAAGTTTCTGTTTTGATCCTTGACTTTTTTTAAATAATCAAGTACTTGAATTCTTGCTTCTTCCAAAGATGAGCTATAGAATCGAAATCTCTTTTCCTTGAAATGGAATATCTTTAGCATTTCTGCAACGACAATACCCAAGGCATAAGTATCACGTAAAACACTTCCTCTCCACTCCTTTCTTGGATGAGTGTATGGAAATTTAAAAAGTTGTAATTCTGTACCAGTGTAGAGTATACATCCACACTCCTTCTTTAAAAAACTATTATTAAAATCAATCAATACAATCCTTGATTTCGGGTTTCCATGTTTTGCAGGTCTAATCATGAAATTGTTCAATGAAAGATCAGAATGAACAATATTGTTGGAGTGAAGAAACTCGACAACGTCCAAAGTTTGCTCGAGCATACTTGAAAAATCTAACTTTGATTCTGATATTGGAACAAGCTTCTCTTGAATTGTGACATAAAGTTCGCAAACATTAATCTTGCTCTCATCCATTTCAAGAAGTGTGTAAAAATTGGTGATAAAAAGCCGAGCACTGTAAAAAGAATCAACCACTTCATATCTGTAAATCTTACATATTCCTTCATGTTCAAGAGATTTCACCTTATTCATCACCTCTACATTCTCCTTTCGAGAGGTAATCTTCACAAATACTTCCTGACTTAATTCCTTACACCAGGCGAGAGTACAAAAAGTAATTCCATCATGTGATGAAATATTAAACTCGTTGGAGCATCTTTGAACACCAACAAGCTTTAAAATATTCATAAGAGCATCCTGTTGGCGATTCTCACTTCTGGGACTGTGATGCAAAATGTATTCCCAAGACAAGCCGTTGGGTGTGATAGTGTAAAACTTTAAGGGTTGCAATTCATTTCTAATCCCAAATGCTGCAAACACACCATTACAAAAATGATCAGCACCAGTAATTTTTGGAATTTCACTTTTAGCACAAAACCAAATTATCATGCACTGGTAGGGATTTGGAACAAACGTTTCTTTTCCCAATGTAAAAGCGTTGTACAGTGACTCAATGAAAGAACTGGCCTGAGCCAATGACGAAAAGGGATTATTGAGGATGTCTTTGGTATCATAATTGTTGGAAATTTCACATTTTGGAATTCTTTGACAAAGATCTTTGGTATAATTCGTTTCTGGAGCAAATAAATCACTCAAGCACTCAGTAAAAGACAGTTGGGAGTAAAATCTTTGAATATCAGCCAAATATTGAGCAGCTACAGCCAAATCGTCGTCCTGGCTAAATCTAAAACTGGAAGAGCAGTTATTTCATACGAGATAGGTAATCCATGATCTCGATAGGAAGCTCTTAACTCTGGACAAGGTCGTGCTCTTCCTTCTAAAAAACATATTCTAAACTTATCAACCAAAGCTCCAAACACTCGGATCTTTTTGCAATTTTCAACGCTGAGCTTCTTTTCAGTTGTTAAATAATTGAGCCATTGACGAATTCCACTTTTTAACCATAAACAGCTCTTAAATGTATCCTTATGGTCTTGCTTTGGTTTCAAACCTTTTCTTTGAAGCTCTACAACAAAGGAAACCAGCCAATACCTGGACTCTCCATCAATATTGAAAGTTGAAAAAAAATCGGGTTGAGCAGTTTTGCTCTTCTTTAGTTTTTTGGCTTGCTGTGTTGTAGTTTGAGAATCAATGTTCTTCAGAGAGTTGATCATTTCTTTAAGTTCATGCAGTTCTTGGCTTAAAAATTGTTCAGAATAAAAATGTGTTCATGAATGGACTTACCTTCCAGTCTTGAAATTCTTAGATCTGTAGAAGAGTAGTTGAAAGAAATATGATATTACAACTTGATAGGTATATTCCCACATTTTGTTCTTCTTATCTTCATGTCCAAGAAAGAGAATATTTTCCTTGATAAAAGCAAATGGGTTTTGATTGGTCATGACAGTCTCTTCAATGGATTTGAACTCCTCCTTAACGATGGTTCTTGCATTGCATTGAAGCTGTTCTTTAACGAAATGAAAATCTTTATCGCGTTTAAATTGGAAAGCCGGGTTTTTCTTTCATGGGGATAGAATCAAGCAAGCGTTAATAGAAAAGATTTATCCGTAACAACATACTTTAAACTTGATCAGATATTTCTCCAATTGATTTGTGGTTGCAAATACATCCACACTGTCTTCAACTCGGACGGATTCTTCAACACACTTGGAGTGAGAGAAGGAATACTTTTCTTTTTCCAACGCTTCTTCTTCATCACTTTCTTCCAATGAATCGAAATCATGTTCCAGCTCATCCTCCTTAATACGTTCCCAATTCATTCTCTCTATCCTCTTTCTTAAGGTCGTTGGTTCTGTTGAGTTTTCGTCCATTTTTCTTTAGCAATAATTTTCGGGAGGGAAAAGTGATTTCTAAGAAGAAAATAGCTGTAAAATACATTGTCGATTATCAATTCAGTTTTTTGACAATGTCGTCTATTGTATGAATATTATTGATTCTGACATTCCTCATAATTGTGTTCAAACAAAAAATTTCTTTCGCTCTCCGTGGGGCTCGAACCCACGACCGTTGGATTAAAAGTCCAACGCTCTACCGAACTGAGCTAGGGGAGCTCTTGATATTATTTTGTTTATTATTTTTAAAGTAGACTCCTAATTCTATGGTTGACAACAATGTACAAGGTTTTGTAAAGCAGGTTCCAACAAGGGACGATATTGTTGCTTTGATTGATGGAATAGTGTAGAATTTGTTATTAATAAAAAACACATGTGTTTACTCGTTCTACAACCTCAATAAATGTCAACATTGTTAAATGTCTGCAATTTAAATGTCTGTTGTGGGACGCTAATAATCACCTTGTGGAACGGGCCATGCAATTCACCATCCATGAGAACAGAAAATTGTTGGAAGGTAGAACTTTCAATAGTGACAGAACCGACATGATAATTGGTTCCAACATCACAATCTCTCATCTTCTTCTTCTTCTTACTTCCAGTCTCTTCCACAAATACTTCTAACCAAGGCTGACTTGGAGCGACAAGAGAACCTCTGTCTCCAAACAAGCTACACGATTGAATTGAAATTGAATTGTACGTCTTGGCAGGTTCTTGAATTTCAGCTGCACGGTTTTCTTCACCAGTAGGATCCATTGGAATATAGCTGACAGTGAGTGGGGTACCTGTAAATTTGAATTGCTTGTTATCCAAAATCTCTTCAATGCTTGAAGCTTCAATCTTGTTCTCACGTTGGAATAAGTGAGCCTCTGCCAAAATACCAATATCCAATCGTTGACAGAACGATAATGAAATAAATTCCTTGGTCTTGGTAGATTTGGATTTTTGAGCATCTTGAGTACCAGAGGGAATGATAATGACTTCGTTGGTCAAGCATTGTGTATTGTAAATGTGAACTGGATAAGAGACGTTGCCATCAATAAAATAGTCATTCAACAGACTTCTCATGAACTTGTGCGGAGTCTTGACCTTCTTGTTTGGCTTGTATTCGGTGGTTTTAACAAGATCTCTCTTGCTCAATTTCATGTGAGGAACAAAAAGACTTGATTTTCTCGCAGAGGAATAAGATCTACCTGATCTCTTATCAAAAAAGTCATCTGCTGTAGTTCTATTGAATGAGAACAAGTGTGGTAATACAGGAATCTTACAAAGAAGAGGATAGAATACATGTCTCGAATACCATCCATCGTACTTTTCAAGCCAGCTGGAGAGATAGTTGTTAATACCAAGTGGCAACAAGTATACTCTCAAGTCCACAACTGGTTTTGTCTTGAAAATGTTATTCTTGTGTGCCAAGAAGAGAGAGTGAACAAAGCGATGCAAAGTTCCGCTACCTCCTGCAACAGCAACATCAATTTGAACAGATTCTGCGTCTTGAGGTGCTTCCTTACGAGCATTCTCAATCAACATTTCAAGCTTGTCGTAATAACATGAGCGAGGAAAGATCTTCTTCTCCATCTTGAGTTTAGTCAATTCATCCTCTTCAGGCATGACAATGAGATCGACCTCAACATCGGGTAATTTAGGAGCTTGAGCTCTTACCAACTTGTAAACCTCACCTGTTGCTTTGAATGATTGCATTTGCTTGGCAAGGTTCAAGAGCTTGCTCTCCTCTGCATATGCAGCACATACTTCGTCATAGTATTCAGAAATGGCATTTGCCGAGAGCTTTTCCAATTCTTTTGACATTTTCTTGACCTCTGAGTTTGCAGACTCGTCAAAAATGTTCAAAACCAAATTAGCTCTGCATTGAATAATATCGTCCTCAGCAAAATTATTACTCATGTCAACTCTTTCCATCAAATGATCAGCAGAGTGAGAAAATCCATTGAAAAGAATGTTAACCTTTCTTCTCTTCATGATGCTCTTTCCTTTCACAACAACTCGTTGTACACTATTCTCGAATCGTTCTCTCATGAGAATTCCAGGATTATTTTGTTCCTTAAGACACATACTTAAAACATTGTGGCACAAACCACCAATAGGGAGAGGCTCAAGGAAAAATCTTTGCAAAAGTGACATGAGCTCTGGTAACTTTTTGCTCTTTCTAGAAATCACAAGTTGTGGTAAAAATATTTTCATAAAATTGAAAACATTCTTAAGAGCTATAGGATCATAACTCTCTGAAATGAGAGACTTGTTTGAACATGTGGAAATGACCAATGTCATGAGATCGTTCAGCACATTTTCTGTATACTTGGGCAAGTGTGAGACAACAGTCTTGAGTCTCTCATAAATAATTGCTCCGATCGAAGTAAGTGGATCATGCAAGCTCAAGGATGGTCTTAAAGCAATATCAGATTCTTTCACAACATCATAGTCCACACAAACATGCATATATTTGTACAGAGTGTCAACAGGTGGGCATAATGCTTCACAAATCTCTTCTCCTATGGAATCGTTATGGCATTGGAAACGAAGGTTTTTCCAGAGTTGGAGAACAGACATGAGTGAAGCATTTTGAAAATCAAACTTGTAAAATGATGATACAAAAATGAGAGAGAGCATGATTGCTGATCTCTCGTGCAATTGGGCCTTTGAAAAGTAGTCTCCATCAGAAAAGAAGCTTGTGTTGAAAGAGAAGCACTTGTTGTCTTGAAGAGAGGAAATGACATCGGAGAGTTCCAAATCGTCATTGGTGAGTACGTCAGATGTGACGGAAGCTGAGCCAGAGGTACTTGTCGTGGACTCTCCAGGTTTTGAAAGGTCATAGTATGTATTCACAAACTCTGAGATACGTTCATCTACTTGAACGACCAAGTGTCTATGGTTGTTGTGATGATTTTGTGTTATGTGAGGATTTTGTGAGAATGTTGTTGAAAATTATAATGTAATGATGATGACGTTCGACGATGATGTTGCGGTGAGAAGGTCCAATTGATGACCGTACATATGATGATTTGAAATTCATGACCGATTGTGATTCAATTCGACAATCATTCACAGCGCTGAAAGAATACGTACCTATTTTTGACTTCCTTTCTCTTTGCAAGAAGTGGATTGTGAGCGTCATATTTTTGAGAACCTAGTTGAAGACTTTCAATGACTTCTTGCAATGATATTTCCTTGTCATCAACATATTGATCATTTTCAGAGTTTTCTGTCAAGTCTTGTTTCAATTTCAATGCCTTCTCTTCAAGAATTAAAAGTTTTCCTAATAATACAGTCAAGTACACAGTTGCCAAGCTGGGATTGGTTAATTGATTCCACAGCTTTTCATAAGCTTTTTCGTCAACACCGCTTGTTTTTGTTTGCTTTCTCTTGAGTGTTTCATTGAGTTCGGCAACAAACTTTTTCACAATTTCGTGATCGTACTGAATTTGGTGTGAATCTGTTTCGCTCATTTCTTGTTGATGAGATAAAGTTTCGTCGGCTGATGTTGGTGATGATAAATTTTCTGTACCGAGAAGTTTTGTAAATAATTCTTCCTCGTCCTCGGGTGATAATAAAGGGAATTGTTGTTCAAGTTCTAAAATCACAAAATCAAATAGATAGGAGAGGGTCTTGATAGTTGAAAGACACTGAAGTGAGTTTGTAAAACAAAAAGGAAGAAAATAAACTTTGTTTCGATCAGAACTTGCAGCTGATGATGACTCTGCTATACCTCCTTCAATCGTTGTTGTGGTGGCAGCAAGGAGAGGTGATAGTGATGTGTAGAAAGGAGCTGTTTGCGAGAGAGGATAATCAAGAGGGTTCAGCAACAGCAGTGGCCCTTTACTCTTTTTTTGTTGCTTGTTTGACATGTTGATTATTTGCGTTTGTGATGGTTGACGTTGGCTGTGATGTTAAACAAGGGAAAATACTGTGGAGTGATTTTAGAGATGTCTGCTGAAGAGATAGAATTTGATTCCGAAACACAATTGATGTGGGTAATATTAAAGAAGAACCCCAGTAATTTTGTTGAGTACTTTCCTCTCACTACGGAGAACAAATGACGATGAAGGCTAACGTTAAAATTATTGCAACAAATAACACTAATAATTTTGATTTCAAAATCACCAATTAAGAAACGATGAAATAACTGAATAAGATATAAGGTTGCTCACGTTTTGAACTCCGAGTTCAACAAGGCTTCTCAAAGGGAACAGTAGAGAATTTTTCTTGCCTTATTCAAAGCAGAATAGACGGAGTGATTTTTTTGTTTCCTTATTTCAATTCGAACGCCAACGGCCTTGCATCAACGTTGATCAGGATAGAGAGAACCAAAGTGTTTGTATCATTATCATTGTTGTTGATGTTGTTTATTTAAGCACCATAGTTGAATCTGAAGATGTGATTGGTCACATAGAAACCACCATTTTCATTGGTCAAGTGGAAGAATTCACAGAATGGGTGTGGATGTTCATTGTCAATCTATTACACGAAAAAGTGTAATACAGGTGGTGGGTGATCCATATCATGTTATGGAATTGATGTGTTATTTTACGACGCAACGAAGCAAACCAAAGTGTATGGCAACATGCAAAAATACATTCAACGTAGATTCATTCCGTTTTGTTGAGTTTTGTATCATTGGAACATTTAGTCCAAAAATTAATTGTTTTCATAAAGGAATGTAAAATTAATGATTCATATTAATTCATGAATTAAAATTTCATTATTCATCAACGCTTGGTGTGTGATACTTACAACAACACTTCCAGTACACAAAATATTGACACCTCCGGACATACTTGGCTGACAATCGCACACGTTAATATCGTGTCTTACAGTGTTGAAAGGTAATTCAGTCAACTTTTTCAAAATCTCGACTCTTCCTTGGATCTTGTCCTTTTCCCAAGTGAGTAAACTGTTGTCAGTATATAAAGGAGCAATATTTTGACGATTTTGATCAAAAGTACTATAATAGTGCTTGACAAAAGCTTCTCCAACTTGTACGTAGTCCATGATGATGATGATAATGAAGGAAATGATTGCGTAATTACAGCGTAAGACGAAATGAAAGCTTGAAAATATTTTTTCTAACAACAAATTTTAATTGTGAACGGAATTTTTGAACCTCACCCAAATTCCTTGAGAGGGAATTCCATGAGTTTGTTTCATCTTCTTGATATAAGGATCATCATGGCAAGAGCATGTAAAGAAAGAACGATGGTTCTAATCGTCTCTTCATCATGATTGATGAAGAGAATTGCTTCCGAGATGAAGAAATCCAAATACAAAAAAAATTCAAATTATTCATCACCGGAACAAGCATAAACAGTCTTTGTATTCGGCTTTTTTGAATAATTTTCATACAACCACAACAAATCATACGGCCATCATTATTTTCATCAACTCTATCCACTATGGTAAGTAAATGATGAGTCTCACTGTATTGTATTACTCACCATCTTCTTGAATACAAACTTGTATCAATGAACACGGTGTGCAGTCTGTAAAAATCAATCAGGAAGTAAAAGATATCACCCGAGTAGAACGAGTGGGAGCTCACTCTCATATTCGTGGTCTCGGTGTGGATGATTCCTTCTCTGCTCGTGCAAGCTCTGAAGGTATGGTCGGACAACAAAAGGCTAGAAAGGCAGCTGCAGTAATTCTTCAAATGATAAAGGAAGGTAAAATTGCTGGTAGAGCAATCCTTATCGGAGGTATGTTTTCATAGGTTCATAGGTTGTTACTAACTAATATTCTTACATTTAATTGAAACGTTTTTCTGACTGTTTGGTTACCAATGCTTTCACATGTTCGGATTACCTTGTTGTCTTATTATTTGCAAAATTTACTTGTAAAAACATTTGGTGGAAATAATGAAATTTGTGATTTTGTCGATTGATCGGAATGTATTTAAACCTGAAATCGAAACGGCCCTTTTTTCAACTCTCTTTGGTCATTATGAAAAACAGGTCCTCCAGGATCAGGCAAAACAGCCATCGCAATGGCCATGGCTCAGTCTCTAGGACCTGAAACTCCATTCACAATGCTTGCCGGCTCTGAAATTTTCTCACTTGAAATGAGCAAAACTGAGGCTTTAACACAAGCATTTAGACGAAGTATTGGAGTTCGTATAACCGAAGAGTCCGAAGTTATTGAAGGAGAAGTGGTAGAAATTCAAATTGACAGACCTCTCGATGCTAGCAGCGCGTCACAAGGCAAAACAGGTAAAATCACATTAAAAACAACAGATATGGAGACCATTTATGATTTAGGTGCTAAGATGATTGAAGGTTTGCAAAAAGAAAAAGTTCAAAGTAAGGACGTTATTTCCATCGATAAGGCAACAGGAAAAATTACAAAACTAGGTCGTTCAATTTCTGCAACTGGTGACTATGACGCAATGGGACCAAATACAAAATTTGTTCAAACGCCAGTTGGTGAATTACAAAAGAGAAAAGAGTCTCAACACATGGTAACATTACACGAAATTGATGTCATCAATAGCAGAAGTCAAGGTTTTATTGCTCTCTTTGCTGGAGACACTGGAGAAATTAAGTCTGAGGTCAGAGAACAAATTGACCAAAAAGTGGCTGAGTGGAGAGAAGAAGGTAAAGCAGAAATCGTTCCTGGAGTTTTATTTATTGACGAGGTTCACATGCTGGACATTGAATGCTTTTCATTCTTGAATAGAGCCATTGAAAGTGACATGGCACCCATCTTGATTATGGCCACAAACCGTGGTAATAGTACTGTAAGAGGAACTGATATTAAGAGCCCTCATGGTATTCCAATTGACTTGCTAGATCGTACACTAATTATTTCTACCTCTTCTTACAGCAGAGAAGAATTGAAACAGATTATTCAAATTAGATGTGAAGAAGAGGATGTAAAACTGAGTGACAAGGCTCTCGACCTGTTGGTATCAATTGCAGGAAACACGTCATTGCGTTATGCGTTACAATTAATTACGACATCTGCTCTTGTTGCACAGAAAAGAAAGAGCACCGAGGTTGGTACGGAAGATATAAGAAGAGTTTTTGCGTTGTTTGTGGATGTGAAACGATCTCAAACATTTTTGGAAGGCTTCCAAAGTCAGTACATTCTCTCGACATCAGTTGCATCAGGAAATGCCTCAACAGTACAAGATACAATGGATACTATGGAATAAATTTGCATTGAATTACAAGAATGAAATGCAGTACTTTCGTAAACTTTAATGTACAAATACGTTAAACATAATACACCCTTACTCGATTTGATGCAACCAAGTTGTCACCATCATAGAAAGCAGTGTCAATGGTCACGTTTCCGGACAATACTTCAGGACCAATGGTGCCTTCTTTTGCAGCTTCTATCACCGACTCCCAAGAGTTGACGCTGTTTGGAATAACAAAACCGAAATCAAAATCCCATCTCTCAATGTCGTTTCCGTTGAGCTTTACAAGCTGAACAAGTGAAAGATTTTTGAGGGGTTGAGAGCACGAAAACACAATTTCCCTCTGCACTTGTTGGCATTTCAATATTTCTTTTGGAATTTCTGAGGGTGTTTCAAAATGAATATGCAAAATGAGACGCAGCTGGGCATGATCAATCACTTACTAATTGCAATTTCTCCCTTATTGTTGTCGTAGGGAAGGCCAGCCGACCAATCCGACTCCCAAAGTATTTTACTTTTTGACGCCATTTTCATCTTCTCGCTTTGAATACATGATCATATGGGTCACCAAATTCCGAGGCATTATCAAGGTAAATTATCTCTATCAATATACAACTCTGCCTCATCATCACTTACATTTTCAATACAGCGTGTTGATGTTGTGAGGTCATTTTTTAAGGAATGGCATTTTCGGATCAAGTTCATACAACTTGCAAGTATACAATAAATAATGATTATAAATATTCATTCGTGAACAGTCCATGACATACAATGATCATAATGCATTTGCACACACAGAAAGGATACCAAGACCACAAGATTCAACCAATGGTAGTGATACAACTATTGTCTTGTGGCATACATTTCCTCAATCTCTGTCTTGTATCGTTTCACAATATTGGCACGCTTGAGCTTCATGGCGGCAGTCAACAACTCATTGTCAGGTGTCCACTCGTCGAGCAATAATTTAAAATGTTTGATTTCTTCCATTCGTTGAAGATTATTCTTCTTTGCTTCTTCTTTCAACGAGGCAGCAACTGCCTTGATCACTCTTGGGTCCTTAATGATTTGAGTCAAATCTCCTGAAATTCCATGTTCTTGAGCCCATTGTTTGGTATAACCGGGTTGAACCAAAATGAGAGCTACAGGATAATCTCGATCTGAATCACCATACACCATAATTCCATTTGGAGAGACGAATGGACAATTGCCATAAACACTCTCCAATTTTTCAAGAGCAATGTATTCACCATGGGCGAGTTTGGTCAAATTCTTTTTACGATCCACAATACTGAAAGATCCATCTTTGTGTAAAATGCCAATGTCTCCAGTGAGAAAATAGCCATCAGATGTGTACGATTCTTTAGTGAGTTTGTCTTGTTTGTAGTAACCAAGAGAAATGTTATTACCCTTAATGGCAAGCTCACCACGAGGTTCCTCGTCATGGATGGTATATCCCATTTCAGGAACAGAAATTAATTTAATTTCTATGTCAATAATTCACAGAACACAACCAATGGGTTAGTTGATGAGTAATGCATCATGGTTAGTGAGACCAAGTTCAGAAACACTTACGACAAGTAATAATGGGGGATCCAATGTTCTTTGTGGTGAATGGTTGGTAGCCGTATTGAATTGTACCACCGGCGGATGTTTCCTGTTCATTCAATAAGTCAAGCACGTTATATATATCATTCAAGTTAAATACAAAGTCTAACTTACAGTCAAGCCATATCCTTGAATTACTGAACAGGACATGCACACACGTAAAAACTCGTGCGACTCTTTTGAGAGAGCAGCTCCTCCTGAAAAAATCAAAGCCAAGTTACCTCCTACAAGCTTTTTAAATTTGTTGAAAACCAAAAAGTTCCATACTGGGGATTCTCTTCCATGTCTAATGGCATCTAATTTGTAATTGTAGGCATTGTGGAAAAGCCATTGAACAAATGGAGGAGATGATTTAATTTTCTCAAAAGCACCCTTCTTGATTGTGTCAAAAACTCTTGGAACACCAACTAAAACAGTTGGTGCAATGACTTCAATATCACCCTTTGGTTTAGCTCCTTTGTCGCTTAAAGTCTTTGGATTACCATAACCAATTTTTCCACCACGTTTCAAAACGACATGCTGTTCAATCACAAGTTATTGCGTTCCAACTATCATATAAAACCGTGTACATACCTCAGCAGCCATTTCCAAAATGTGAGCTAATCAGAGACAAAGCAGAATTGTTCGTTCATAAGAAAATTTTCAGTTTTCAAATTCATACATACCGAGTGGTAAATAGGCAAGATAATTGTATTCAATGCTTGTATCATCTCCAATTTTTTGGTCGGCTCCTGCAATGATTGAAAGAATGTTCTTGTGTGAAACTGTTAACATGTTATTATGAAGAATTAACAGGCATGAGAAGTAAAGTACAATAGATGTCAAATTGAAATTTGTTAGCTCAGTGATGAAATGAAAAATATAAACTTACGCATCACTCCTTTGGGTTGAGCAGTTGTTCCACTAAAAGTACATTCAGTTCAAATGCATTTCGATGTTAATACCACTCAGATCAATTGTCGTCATACATACCTCGTGTACATGATTAACGCAAGAGAATCAGTCGTTGGCTCTTCCTTGACAGGAATGACACTATTACTCTTGTAGTCAGATTCACCAATTTGTTCAACTTCCTCAAAAGGTAAAACCTTCAATCCCTTCTTCTCGAGGGCTTCAACTGCATCCTTTGTCTTCTTTTTATCGCTCTCATCGGAAACGAGGGCCTTGGTGTAGACGATATTCTTCAAGCTTGGGCATCGTGGAACAATAACATTGGCAATTTTACCAAGATTCTTCTCATTGACAAGCATTCCAGGCAACTCTGTCTCATTAATGGCAGCACACAATGATTCATCACCCAAACTAGCGTAACAAGTCATGACAACCATATTGTATTGATAGCAACCATGAAGAGCCATCAACCATTCCTTTCGAGTGTCTTCATAAATTCCGAATAGACCACGTGAATTCAATCCAGTGACTCGAGCAAGACCAGCACCAAAGTTCCTAATTCGAGAGTAAATCTTGTCGTAATTTTCATAGGTCAAATCAGCGAATTCAATAATTTCCCAATCATGACCTTCTCTCTTTTCAACGATTTTACGGATGGCTGGTCGATAACCCAAGCAAGGTTTGTCCTTGTTATTGGCAACGACTTTAGCCAATAATTGCTTCATAGTATTGACTCCTTCAATGGGAGTGTAAGCCAAACCGTCCTTGCTTTCAATGGCTCTTCTTGGTTTGGTTTCAGTTTTTGGATCATAGGAACCATCATCAACTTCAACACTGTAGGATTTTACGTTTTTAAAAACTTCCCGAAGATCGTGAGTGGCCCAATTCAAACCAATCGTAAATTTAAGAAGATAATACACTAGAATATCCAATACATTGATGCCGAAGGCAACCACAGATCCAACAAAGCTCAAAGCAAGTTCTAATAATTTGAGCATGATGATGTGTAGAAGTCTATGAACGTAAATGATCAACAGCCAATGAGAATTTTGCCTATTTTTTTTGGTTTGGCTTAAAAAACCGAGCATGATTCTTTGCAAAGAAATAATTCGCGACAACAAGAATACGTGCAATTCTCCTGTTGTTCGGTTTCTATTAAAATGATGGAAACAAAAGAGTGCGCTGATTGTACGAGGAGAAAGATTGCGATACTTCACATTCATTACGAAAAGTTCGCACTTTGAAGACACAAGAATCAACTACAAATGTAGTTTGTCTCAAGTAAGGATCATGAAAGTTCAGAGTGTTGTGCAGATCCTACTAGAAAAGGTGGTGCGATTTATTGCATTTTAATATTTTCCTTCTCCTTATTGGCATTTGCTGTGACTAATGTAGTTGATAATTGCTGCTTATATTTCTGTCTAATTGACTCCAAATCAATAGAAGATGCAGAATTAACCTTAACTTGGGCCAACCGTTCTTTAATGCTTTGGACGTTGGCCAAAGAGCTGGAAAGTGAAACTGTAGATGTTGTCGATGAAGAGAGTGAAGAGTGTGCAGATGAGCTTCTCAACTTGAGTTCCTTTCGATAGTCATCAATAGAGAATTTCATCTTGTTCATACTTTCTGAAGAGAGAGAATGATGAGGCTTGGATGAGTAGGAGGTAGTGTGACTGCTGGTGGTGCTGAGACCGTTGCTGTTCGTGCTTACACTACTCTCAACAATGGAGGCAATTGCTGAAACTGAACTTGTTGAATTAATAGCTGAGAGTGATGGTGTTAAATCTTTAAGGACAGGTCGTGATGATTCAGGAGGTGTCAATGTCGAGGAGAGTGTTGAACTAGTTGGTACGCTCGTCAAATATTCACTTCCCAATGACTTCTTTTGGCTCTTTGCTTGTTCATGAGCTGCAATTTTTGCAATCGATGAAACAATATAATCCTGGAAGATTTTTCCAAATTGAGTGGTTGCCAAAAACTCGCTCAACTTGAATTCAGGATGTTGTACTTGGAAGTGATACAATTTGTACAGGCCTGATTTGTTGGTTTCCTTATTACCAATCATGGTACAAATTTCCTTAAGCAACTCGCTCTCAGATTGTTGTTGTTGAGAGCAAGAACGAACTGGGGAGCCGATCACTCTCGAAGAAGAGGAGCTAACCAAAGAGGAGTTGGAAATGGAAATGACGTTCAACTCATGCTCAATGTGAGCAATCATGACCTTATTGAGTCCATTCATGTTGGCTCTCAGTGTAGATCCTTTCAGTCTCACCAATGTTTGAATAATTGTTTTAATGGCCACGAATGGACTGTCATCCTTGCCTTCAAAAAATGTTTGTGGATTGTTCGTCATAAAATGTTGAACATCTAAAAGCACATTATTAATATCAATGATTCCAATAGTCTTTTCCAAAGTTTTGGTAAGTTTGTTGAGACACTTGATCAAAACTCGAGTAAGAATGGATGGTTCTCGTTCATGATCCAGACATGATTTTTCAAGCATGGAAATGAGGCAACCGTAGGCAGTTGTTCGTGAAGAGTTTTCTAGAATCCTGAGAATGAGGCTGTTGAGGGCTGACATCATCTTATCTCCATACTCAATGTATGGCAACTTTTCATTGAGCAATAATCGGAGAAGAGTATCCAATAGGTGATACAAAGACTTCTTTGTGACTGCAACAGCAAATGGTCTTGCTTCAAACAGTCCCATGAGAGTATTGATAATGATTTTACAAATTCTTGGACCTGACAAGCCAATAACAACCGAGTCAAAAACAACTTCAAAAAAGTTGGTAAGAGCAAACAGCAATGCCTCTCGGTTCATAGCAATTCCCATATCTTGTGTCTCAACAAGCTTATCCAATGCTTTCATAGCGTTCATGGCATTCTCAAAGTTGCTAATCTTAGTGTTAGAGAGAATGGAAATCACTTGATCAACTGATAATTTGAGTTCCTTCCGTTCAGGAATGATGGTTTGAACCCTTCTTGGAGTGAGAAGATTGGTTGGAGAAAGAAGGAGTAATTGATCGGTTGGGGCCTGAGTGAACTTCATCTTCTTTGGTGTTGTGAATACACTGTCTTTCACTTGATTGAAATTTCTCTTTCCAGGAGTGGATGGTGCACTGGGACTGTCTGGCACAGTGATGGGCCTTGAAGAGGTACTCGATGATGGAGTTGATGCGAACAATGATGCTTGTGTGAGAGTTCTTCGTGATGCCGCGTTCTTCTCCTCCTCTTGACTTGGAGATGGCTCTCTCAATTGTCCAATAGTTTGCCTGGCTTGCGTTTGTTGTTGAACTTGCTGTTGTCTCTTAATATCTCCAATGGTCATTGCTGCTTGAGAGAATGAAGCCTGTGTTGTCGAGTAAGATTTGTTTGGCTCAATTTGTCTTGTTTCCGTCGAGATGGGTGGTTCTTGTGAATTGCTTGACAATGTCGTTGTTGGTACAATATTTTCATACTTGGACACTATCGAGAGAATGGTTGTCTTAAATGCTGGTTTAAGGTCCTTACAATTTTCCTTTACAAAATCAGCGCCAGTGGATTGGATAATCTTTTCCAAAATACTTTCAGCCAATTTTCTAGAGCAAGCTTTTGGATCTTGTAAACTGTTGATAATGGATTTGACAATTGGTTGAAAGGTGTCTTTCGTCTTGATCTTCATCTCAGACATGTACGTATCAATAAATTGGAGAGCATCCTTTCTTCCGTCTGGATGTCCCTTCTCGTTGGTCAATACTTTATCCATAGATTTCAGAATATTTTCCATTGGAATATACTTGACTAAGCTTTCCAAAGTCTTGTAAGTATCTGCTCGAACGCTCTTATTGTTGTGACCTAACTTGGTAACCATGTATGGAACAATAGCATTTGTAAACTTATCCATAGCACTGCCAACAGCTTCACCGATTAATACCAATAATTCAAGAGTCGTACTCAAAATCTTAACATTAGAGTCATCGAGCCTCTTCTTTAAAGACTGAATGAGATTGTTAATATTTGGTGTAATTCTCTTGTTGGCTTCAACAATGATATTCTTCACTTCTTCCAATGCTTCAAGTCTCACTTTCCAAGCTTTATCTTCCATGTCCTTAAACAGTTTTGAGGTGAGCTTTCCAGAAATGTCCGTTCTTGGTAGCAGGTCTTGGAATGAGAGGGCACAACTTGTACTCTGTGCTTCCGAATCGTCATCTAATGCCATAGCATGTGATGCGCCACTCTTTGTTGATTTTGAACCTTTGATAAACCTGGTTGCAGGTGGAGTGTCGTGTTCAACTTTTTCAAAGTCCTTCTTGATCGTGTCCAAGGTAGCAGGTTTAACATCTGACAAAAAGTTCAGCAAACCTTCACCCATGAATCGTTTCATTGTGCATAGACACATGGTGGCTCCCTTTTTCACTTCAGGTTTGCTGTGACCCAGGCATGTTTTGGCAAATTCGATGTGGGCCTTAATATCAATAGTTTGCAAGGCAAACTCCTCCAACGTCTTAGACATCCATGTGAGCCATTCTGAAATGACTTTTGGATTCTTGTGATCTTTGAGAAGTGAATACAGTTGACCAAAAACAAACTGAGGAGAAAAGTATTCGCAAAATTTGGAAAGACACTCTAGGCATGAGTCTTTAAGTTTGGCTTGAGTCACCTTTTCAACCATTCCATCCATAAATTTGGTAGCTGCTCCTGTTGAAAGAGATAACGAATGGTCCATAATGTACATGGCAACTTCTATGACTTTGCCCAGTACTTGTGCATTGGCATCTTTCCATCCAGGTTTTTGGTAAAGAGTCACTAGTAGTATGTTGGCATTTTCATTAAGTGTATCCTTGTCCATTTCAGAAATAAAGGTAAGAAGGCCTTCCATGGCTTCAAAGCGAGCTTTCCATTGTGAAGATCCAATATTTTCCATGAAGGATGGAAGTAATTCTTCAGCTCTCATCAGAGCTTCTTCATTAGAGACTGGACACGTCACAACCAAGTCCACACTTGCCACCGTTGGCTTAGCTACGGAAATGGTCTTTTTCTTGTTTGGAGGGCCATTGGTAGTAGCTGCTGTCGATTCTTCTTGCTTTCGCTTGACAGCTGGATTCTTTTGAGGAGGAGCTTTTTTGATGGATGGGTCTGGTTTCTTTGCTTCTGGTTTTTGAGATGAAGTTTTGGACTGTGACTGCATGGGTGCAGGTGAAGCGCCAAAACTAGACTTGAATTCCTTCACCTTCTCAATTCGAATGTTATCTAGTTTGGAAAGTAAGGATCAAAGTTTCGCTCTCCAACAAGCCACAAAATTCGCCCAAGGCATTTGAATGATGCCTCCCGTACCTCCTTGTTGCTGTCTTCTGAGGCTTGTACCGATGCATCTGTTAGAGCGGTAAATAATGATTCAATTGCAGCAAAGCTTGATTTTCTAGACAGACACTTTTCTACACAATTCAGTGCTCCAATTTTTTCAAAGGGAGATTTGCTACTGATGGAGGAAATAAGCAGAGGAGCTAATTCGGAGAAAGAAACAGAGGTTTCTTCAATGGAAGAAACAGCATTGGCAATCATTTCGCTGAGTTTCTTATCCTTCATCTTGGGTAAAAGTTTCTCAGTGAGTTCTCTTGCGTATGTACAGAAATTTGCTTTCAATCCTTTCGAAAGCAGTTCAACACACTCAATGACGAGCTTGGTCACTGCAAGATTTTTCTCTTCTTCAATGACTGCAAGAATCCGAGCCACAATGGGTGAGTAGTCTCCATCTTCCAAACAAGGGTAATCAATTAATTGTTTCAGTTCTGAAAGAGCATCTCGCTTACTACTCCACTTTTCTTCTTGAATAGTTGTGAACCATGATTCTGAAATTTTACCCAAAACGTTCACAGGTGTTGTATCCTGTTGAGGAGAATGAGATGCACTCGATGATGAAGGGAGAGGTTTTTTAGTAGGTTGCGGAAGTGGTTCATCTTCCATTGTAGTTTGTTGAGTGCTGCTAGTCGTTGTTATTATTTGAACATTCTCAGAGGAATCTTCATTGTTACTGGACTCTTGTGGGTCCTTCTTTTTTGCAAATGTTCTTGCTTTGTGTTTACGTGGAGCGAGAGGTTTTCTATTTGATGAGGATGTTGTGGATGATGAAGCAAAACCGGAATCCATTGATTGTCCCTCTTCCATCAGTTTCTTTTCAAGCATTTTCATGAAGAGATCGGTCGAATCCTTTTCCTCTTCTGTGTTGCTTGAATCCTCGGAGAAGGATTTGAGTGGGATTTCGTCTGCAGACATTTTTTTGTGAAAATTTTTTTTCAGGATTAACGTTCACTAGTTTAACGTTTTTGGCGCTAAATCTTTGGCGGGAGTTGGACCAGTCTTTCATGTTTTTGTTTCTGTCACAAGTTGAAAAGGAACAACTGATCAGCCATAAGTCAGTTTGAATTTGAACTACGAAGATGATTAGACAGTTACGTGCATTTCAATGTGTGGATCCAAATTTGGACTGAAATATGAAACCGTTGTTCATTTCAAAAAGGGATGGTGATCAGAAAAACTGCCGAGATGAAAGAAAGACCCAATACTTTCAGACATTTGATTTCGATCTAAGAAGAGCCCTATTCATGACACACTTTTAAAACCCCTTAAATCCAAAGGATGGCTTCAAAACCAAAAAAACAAATCCACAACCATGAAAACAGCAATAGCAGCAATCTTCTTTTTGCTTTGACACTTTGTGTCATTTCCGCTCAAGGAGGCATTCGTGCAGAGACTCCAACCTTGAGTGCACATTCATTAGCTCATAGAAAACTCGTGAAAAAGGTGAACAGAAAGTATGGCAGAAAACTTATCAAAAAGTATCTCTGCAAAAAGGTTAAAAAACTTGTCAGAAAGTTGAAGAAGTGTTTAAAGAAGATTAAACTATCCAAGAAACTCAAAGCGCTCCTTAAAGCAAGATTGGTCAAACTCTCCAAATTAAGAGCTCAAATTAAAAAGATTAAAGTATGTAAATATGGAAAGGGCGTCATTAAGATTTCTTTGAAGAGAATTTTGAAGCTCAAGAAAATTTTGAGAAAGGTGTTGAGAGGAAAATGCTTTGCTGCCAAGAAAAAGAAATAATTCGAGTTACATTAAACATTCTTGATCTTCGTTATTCTGTTTTTGTTCTGTTTCCTAGCCACTCATCATTTTGATCGTTTCAGTTCAGCTCGTAGCAGGAAGTTTCTTTCACAGCAAAGGTGCTTTGTGTTCTGTCATCAATAATTTATGATAAAAACACCTTCTTTTGATCGTACAAAGTAGAGTAATGTGGTTCTCCAGTACTTTCTTGTTCTGATCTAAACCCTGGATATCTTGTTTGAATAACCTTTCTCCCTTACACACAGAAGATTTCTCAGGAAAGGGAACAGTTGTGTACCATTCGTCTTCATCTTTGGGAGGTATTTTACAAAATCCAAGTACTTGAATTCCCTTTGTTGGAGCCAGATTGAGATTATGAGGAACCTCATCAGCTTCTCCTAGATATCGATTATATACCTTTCCCATGAGAACTGGTCCTGAAACTGCAAGAACAGAAAGGAAAGAATTTTTCTGTTCAAGCTGTCGCGGCACGTCTGGGTAATACTTGTTCCTTACGTTGTAAATGATCATGTCCATGGCAGTTCGAAGCATTGGATGTCGAGGAATGCTTCCAATAAGACCATTACTGAAACCAAAAGGCTTGTCCATCTCCACGGGAATAACAAAGGTTGCATTCTTTTGTATCCATTTTTCAAATGGCGACAACAGCAACATGTCGGAATCCACATAAAAGCCACCATGAATCCAAAGAATGGCACATCTCAAAAAGTCGCTCTTGAAAGCCCTTGGACGCAAATTCCGAAATGCAAAGACTTCATTGGAATCGGCTCCAAAATGATCGATCAAAAATTTCAACGCATTTCCATCATCATAATACCGATGAATGTATTGAGGGTTATTCATTTTAAAAGTGTTCATTGCTTTTCTGAGCCCGGAGGCAGTTCACTTTCATTGTGTGGTCTTCCTATAAATACACTTGATGTATAATTTTCGGTATGGAGACTGTATTTTTGTTAAGCGTAGCATTTTCTTTTGTTATTATTATAGAATCATTCTTTTTCGTACTGCTCTTCCAAAATGCACCAATGAACATGATGAAGATAAAAGAAATAACTGCCATTAACAAAAGATGCATCTTTGATCTCATTTTTTCATATGCCTTATTTAAGAAGAGGTAGATAACCGCTAAAATGTGCTTATTCCTCGAGTCTCTGCATGATTAGGTCTTAAGCTCAACTCTTTAATGGAAATAGCTGGTTATGTCCTACAAATAGGTGTCAATTCCTTTTCTCAAAAGATGAGCCATTCTGGTTCTTTACTTCACCTCGTCATCCAACACTCTCAACATCTAAAAAAAATATGGAACGAGTACCTGATAACATTGTGCTGGATCGTTTTGCTCATTTTGTGGCTACAGATCAGTGGAACGTTGAATCCAACGAAAATATTATTAAACACATTTACCCTGATCGGAGAGAGCTCTCAAGCTTGTTTGTTTACAAGGTGGAGAATGATGGATTAATCGTTTCCGGAGAGGGATACAAACAACTCTATAAAAGACCTTTATTTGGAGAGATCATTCCGAAGGCTTTTCAAAACGAGAAGAAGGAAGCCAAGGTCGGAGATAGCTTTGGACCAAGTTGGACAACCTTTTGGTTTGAGTTGAATGTGCAAGTGCCACCACAGTGGAAAGGATTGGATGTACATTTGCTATGGAATAGTGATAGTGAAGCATTGCTATTCGACAAGAATGGAAAGATTCTTCAAGGATTAAACGGTGGTGATGGATGGGTAAGTCCAAAGATTAATTTTCTTGACATGCTTGATGATGAAATTTTCTTCAATCTTGAATCTTGTTGTCGACAGGATAAACGTGAGGAGTTCTTTATAGATGCTGACTTGTTGGATGCTGATGGAAGAGCTACTTTTTATATTGAGATGGCCTGTAATGCAATGTTCGGAAACGGGTGGAATGGCCAAATTAACCCTCCAGATCCTAACAGATATTTCACATTGAAAAAAGCTGAAATTGCATTGTTCGATAGATTGTGAGTATCTCAAGTTCAAATTTGATTGACATTGGAGTTTACAAACTATGGCTACTCTTATCTCATTAATAATATTTATACATATTCGATCAGAGCATTTGATCTCATGTATGATTTCAAGATTGTTATGGAATGTGCCAAAGAGTTTGACAGCAAAAGGCAAAGAGCAAGAGAGGCAATTATTACCGGAAATGACATGCTTAAATGTTTTGACCCATACGACAGAGACAGTTGGCAAAGAGCAAGAGACATTGCAGCCAAATTTTTGGGAAAAAAGAATGGAGATACTTGTCACAATATCGTTTCCGTTGGCCATTGTCATATTGACATTGCTTGGTTGTGGGTATGTTTTGTTTATGTGAATGAGGTTAATTGTTTTGCAATTTTTCGCTTTTTGCTACTGACCCTTATTAAAGCCCTACTCTGAGACGAGAAGAAAAGCTGGAAGAAGTTGGGCAAATCAGTTGAGATTTATTGACATGTATCCACAGTATAAATTTGTGCAGTCACAAGCACAGCTCTTTGAATGGGTAAAGGAAGATTATCCTGAGCTATTTGAAAGGATCAAGCAAAAGGCAAAGGAAGGACGATTCATTCGTAAGTTTTTTTATTAATCATGATGACTTTAAGAACTCATTCTTGTTATATCTTTGCAAAAACCAGCAATTGGAGGCTCATACGTGGAGTGTGACGGTGTTTTACCAAGTGGTGAATCTTTCTGTCGACAATTTTTGTATGGACAACGATTTTTCAAAGAAGAATTTGGTGAATATTGCACAGAGTTTTCTCTTCCCGATAGCTTTGGATATTCTGCTGCATTGCCTCAAATTATGAGATTGAGTAAGATCGACTCATTCATCACCCAAAAGCTCTCTTGGAATCTTTTTAACAAATTCCCTAACTCAAGCTTTTTGTGGGAAGGTATTGATGGATCCAGCGTGTTTGCTCATTTTCCTCCAGCAGACACCTATAATGCCAGCCTTTCAGTGAAAGAGATTCTTTTCAATGAGGAGAACTTTAAGGACAAGGAAGTATCTCAACATTCCTTGTGTTTATTTGGTAAGTTTATTATTATTTAATGAGATGAAACTTTTGAATTCTATTTTGAACAATTGTTGTTGCTACCCTTTAATTACAATTAAGGTCATGGCGATGGTGGAGGAGGTCCTGTCCTTGATCACATGGAACGTGCACAAAGACTCTACGACGTACAAGGTTTGCCAAAAATCATCCAGGAAAAGCCCAAATACTTCTTTGACCGATTGAAGGAGGAAAATAGAGGGCACAAATTGAAAGCATGGCGTGGAGAGCTCTACCTAGAATTGCATAGAGGTACATTCACAAGTCAAGCAGCAGTAAAAAAGGGTAACAGAAAATGTGAACTACTACTTAGAGAAGCAGAATTGTATAGCGCCTTAGCAAGCCGACTCACTGGATTTGAATATCCGCGAAATGAGCTCACAAAACTTTGGAAGACTGTTTTGCTCAACCAATTCGTAAGTAATTTTGAAAAATATTTGGAAAAGACTCAAGCACCTATTGTTGTAAATTTCGATTCTCGCACAGCATGATGTTCTTCCTGGAAGCTCGTAAGTAATTGTATTGTGACATTTGCGTATTCATTAACCTATTATTCGTGAAAACAGTATTGAATTAGCATATGCAGATGCAAGACAATTACACGCTCAAGTACTTGAAGAGGCCGGCAAAATTCGAGAATCTGCCCTGGTAGCTCTCAACCAACAACAATTAGAAACGAACAGCGAAGAAAAGGAGAAGGTCGTTACTGTATGGAACTCTTTGCCATGGGAAAGAAAAGAAGTTATTGAATTGGATGTTGTGGATAATTTGACAGATGATAAGGCGTACACACAAAAAACATCCAATGGAAAATGTCTTGCAATTGTGCAAGTCCCCTCCACTGGATACAAAACTGTCACTCTGCAAGAGCTTGTGGTTGCTTCTGCTGCCTCTACTGAATCTATGGTATCTCTTCAACAGAAGAATAATTCATTTGTGTTAAGCAATCAATTCATTGAGGTGACTGTCAATGAATATACAGCGACTGTTGATATTGTTGATTTGCAAACCAAACGCAAGGTGGTTCAAGACGGCAATCGTTTTGTCATGTACAATGATAAGTGTCTCTTTTGGGACGCTTGGGACATTGAGGTCATGCACAATGAACGTGAACTTCCAATTAAGGGCTATTACGAAGGAAGCGTATCTGTTACTGTACTTGAGAGCGGACCATTGAGATGCTCCTTGCAGGTTTCATTCCCTATTAGTGAGACCAGTAGCTTGTCTCAAGTAATTTCTCTTTCATGTGTATCACCTCGATTGGAATTTAACACTCAAGTCGATTGGCATGAAAAGCACAAGTGTCTAAAGGTGAAAGTCCCATCAAGAATCTTCTCAGATTATGTCACCTATGACCATCAATTTGGATTCATTAGAAGATCTATTTTGAAAAACACAAGTTGGGATGTTGCTCGCTTTGAGGTGAGCTCTCAGAAATATATGTGTATTTCAGAGTATGGAAATGGAGTTGCTGTGATGAATGATTGCAAATACGGTTGCTCAGCTACACAAAATGGTGATCTCTTTTTGACATTGTTGCGTGCTCCAAAGGCTCCTGATGCCAATTGTGACATGGGCCACCATCAATTCACATTTGCCATTCATCCCTATGTTGGTTCTTCATTCCAAGACGGAAGAATAATTCAGAGCGCCTATGAGCTCAATCAACCTTGCAATGTTTGTGTGTATGACAGATCACTTCCAAAATCCTCTTCAGAGAAAGTTGCAGCAGTTGAAAATGAGGAATCGCTTATTTCAATTTCTTGTGAGCAAATACTGTGTGAAACTTTGAAAATGTCAGAGGATTCAGAACAACATTTGGTGTTGCGTATGCATGAATGTTATGGAGCTCACGCTCCTCAAAGCGTGTTATCCATCAAGTCTCCTCAAGCACCAAGAGAAGTGGTCACCACTAATATTTTAGAAGACGCTGATGAGGAACGTTACCAACTGCGATTTACACATGCAGATAACAGAATCAATATTCAAGTTCCACCACTCAAACCTTTCCAAATTCAAACCATCAAGATCAAATATTAAGACTGTCATTACAGTCGTTAAGATCAGCTGAAATATTACATTATTCAAATAAATTCATCAAAATGCATGTATTTTTATTGGCCTTTATTCTGATCGTTAGGGTGTCTGTCAAATTTCTCGCGCAAAATTCTTTTGGTGGTGCTATCTGGTTCAAACGGATAACTCTTATAAAATTGAACCGCCTCTTCCTTTAATCCACTTCTAATAAGGCATAGTAACATGGCATTGTACATTCTTAACAAGTAACTTGTATCACTGGTTTGGCTCTTGTACTTGTGAAATAGCTTTTCGGCCTCTTGTGGTTGTTTCACTAGAGCCAATGCATAAATCAAGCTATGAACATTGAAATATTGAATTCCTCCTTGCTCTTCCAACAATTTGATAAATTGAAGAAGATGTTCTGTATCATCTAGGGCTGCATAGCTCTGTGAAATGTATCTCACTAGTGCATAGTAGCATTTGTACTGCAAGAAGCTAGAAAAAGTAAAAACGTCAATGACCTTTTTGAATTCCTTTCGTTCGAAAAAGTGTTGCATCAGCTTGGAAGCAATATAAATATTTGACTTGATCTTGTAGTATCGCATAATATTCAAGAGATTTTCGAAATTCTTTTCATCTTTCATGCCTTCAAACGCACATAACATGAGCAGAATGGTTCTTTCATTAGGTTTAACGCCGAGAGGGCTTGAACAATGATTTCTCGTATGGACGGGAAAGTGTTCAATATTTTCTCCAAGCACATACTTGTTGAAACAATCTAGAGCTTTCTGATATTGTGTCGAATGTACCAAGCACGTTAAATAAGTATTCACAAGTTGAATGTCAATGTGACCCTGTTCAATGCCACCTGTCTCACATTGTTTTGCAATTTCTTCAAATACTGTGTCGACCTTATCGAAACTCTCCACCTTAAAATAGGCATCCAATATAATGGAATAGGTAATTCTATTGGGAGAACCTTTCAATTTCAACTCTTGCAGTAATTGTTCAAATTTTTCAATATTTCTCTGCCTTGCATAAACAGTCAGCATGCTATTGTAGATAAATATATCTGGATTTGTAATTTTTCTGAAAACTTCCTCAGCCTTTTTCTCATTTCCTTCCAATGAATAAGCTTTTAACAATTCTGTGAATACAAAACGATCAGGAGTTTTGATATTTTTCAAGACCTTTTCTACCATTGCAAAATTATGTTTTGTGGTATAAAAGTGCATGATTAACGTGTAAATATAATTATCAAAGCGTTCAGCAGGAAATAATTTTAAATATTCCTCAAATTTCTTTTCCGATACATTGGATTTGCTCAAGTTTTTGAGATGATTGGTAAATTCATTACGGGTCATTGTGGTGTTGGTACTTGTTGTTGTTGATGTGTTTGTTGTAGGAAGATTTCTAGAAAAGAGTTTGTGTTTCTTTGCTCCCGATGATGGTACAATCTCGGTAGGTTCTTCTATCATCATTTCATGATCAATCTCTTCATATGCATCTTGAACGATTGAGAAAAACCGAGTTTGATGATGTTGTTGATTGGCAATGTTGTGTATGGAATGAATATTATTATTATTACAGAATTTAGATAAGAAGGAATGCTTTCCGTGTGTGAGAGGATGAATTCTGAATGAGCAATAATTCTTGGTAAGAAGGCTTTTTTGAATGGTTGTAGAGGTGATTGCAGAAATTGTAGGCTTGACACAATTGCGGTACGTCATTTGTTTTTTGTTGAATTTTCAAAAATGGGATAAATTAAAAAAGAAGAGAACCGTCCTTAGCACCACAAACTACGCCATAAGAAAACTGCCAGCGAAAAAATTCGACTCAAAAAGGCAAAAATTTTTTGACAACGAAATGCAGAAACTCCGGGATTGGTTCAGAATCTTGTAAAGTTTTATTCAGTGCTGACGTTCGTTCATTAAAAGTGTCCTCCTGATTAAGACCACACCTATTGTACAAAGCCAGTTACTAAAGTTTCGAAAGCAATTCTCTTCAGCGCTCATCTCTCGTTCTCTTCCCACAGAAGAACTGTCCTATACAAGGATTAGTTGATTGTTGGTGATAATACTCACATTCACAGTAATTACTCCGTTCAACAAGTTTCTCGTTACACGATAAAAATCCATCTTTTGTTGTACTGATCACTTGGTGTCTAAGTTACATCAAAGTTGCTGTGTCATCTTAGTTTAGGTGTGTGATTTAAAATACTCGACCTCATCTTTAGGTGAAGGCATTTTTTTTCGAGTGAAAATCGATGTCAACTTGAAAAATTAAATTACAACAAAAAGTAAAAAATTTAATTTAATTTTTAACAAAAAATTTATTACACATCACAACTTTGGGAAAACATGTTCATGGCATCGCTTTCATCGTCGTTGTCATTTGCATTGTCCTTGCCATATTGAACGTTTGAAATTGGATCATATTTGGAGGTTATTTCATGTTCTTCGTGATCTTCGCATCGGGTACACACTTCGGAGAGAGATTTCCCTGGTACAAAAGACAACAAGGCAACATTTTCCTCTTGGAATGAGAAGATCGGGTAGGGTATTGCAAGAAATTGCTTGTACTTCTCATTGTTTCGTTGCCTGTTTTGAAAGGGAATTTTCAAATCTCTACATACCATGAGTCTCCTAATTTTCGGAAGCATGAACTGGATCAAACTTTGATCTTTACATGTCGGAAACATTCTGTCCAAATAATTATACTTTCCTCCATTGTTGGATGTGTTTTTCATACGCCTTTCATCATCAATGTGTGCTCCTTCGAATCCCTGTGTTTCAAAGTGAACCAAATTTCCGTATACTTTGATTAAAGGAATTACATGATGGAATAGAATATGCATATACCAACTTTGAGAACCACTATCAGTATAAAGAGATTGAACCACTTCTTCCATCTCATTTAGCTTGAGTTGAAGGTTATTAAGTTCGGATTCAGAAAAGGATTCATTTTGAAGTAATTTCAACACATTTCTAAATTTGCTCATTAATGTGATATATTGAGGAACGATTACCTTACGTAATCTTCTCAAATTGCTTAAAATGGAATTAACTTGTTTTCCGGTTAAGTAACACTTCAACTTTTGTCCTTTCTCAGTTATTTTGAAATTATTGAGATTTGGAATCTTGCGAATGATCCTGACAATAGTTTCTCGTTTGTTGCTCGTCATTATTGCATCAATTAATATTCTTTCCATTATTCGTTCTTTCATATGGAGCAAACAGATGACAATTTTGAATGGACTAACTCCGAGCAGACAACCCAACTGTTCTTTGCTTCTAGCGAGGTGAAAATGGTCACAAAAAGTATTCAATGTATTGCAATATGGACACATTTGTGAAAATTTAAGATTAGAGATACGCTTTAACGAAAGAAGATCTGTTGTGACACAAAAATCCACCTTGTGATTTACTCCATCAACATCCACCCCATGACATGTCATCGATTCAATCATTACTCGAATAATTCCAGTTATTGCTCGAAGTTGATTTTCTTTTCCCTTCCAAACAGCCACAGGATGGACTGCTTCTCTTGATTGAGGACTCCCAAAATTTTTCATATTTAATGGAGCGCATGCGAATGTAACACGGCCTTTAGATCCATCGAGATTGAGTTTGAACCACTTAATTTTTGTTTTCCAATTTTTATCCTCTTCGTTGAGATGAGCAGCTAATTCCTTGTCTGTTGATATTTGTTTTACCCATTGTACATATAATTCAATCATATATTTAACTAAAGAATAAAGGCTGATGAAAAAAATATTTTCATTCTTCTCATGTGTCCCTTTAAATTCAATTAAGGCCTTAATACTAACTACAGATTGAACTGATGACATACTTGAGAGAGGAGTGGTTTTGGAGCTTGAAGATGACACCAGTTCCTTATATTGAGTGTTACTGATTTTGGCTTTGTCTTTCGCTTGGATATCAAGTAACTTTTTCCGTACTACTCGCAACTTTCGTTTTGTCACTTTTTTTCTTTGATTTGTCTCTTCACTCGATGAAGAAGCATCACTTTGCGAATAATCATCGTCCTCCCAATCCATTTCATCATCGTCATTTGAGCTTGTTTGTAGAGCTACACTACTGCTTACAGGTTCTTCTTGTGAGATTGTTGATGTTGTTTCATTAATTGCTTCACTTGATTGATGTTCTTCATATTCATCAAAATTTTCATCGATTTCAGAACTAATTTCAGATGAAACAGGATCATCGAGATCATTTGGGTAATCATTAATGGCAATAGGGTTTGTTTTTTCTTGTTTGTTTAGATACATTTCGATATATGAGTCATATTCTGGTATTTTTTTGTTTGTGACTAATTTTCGAACTTTCGTGTCAATGTCATCATAATCCTTTCGTTTGCTTAATGTTCGATAAACAATATCGGGAAACATGTCAATCAATAGATCGAAAAATTCAGAGAAATTTGAAATTCCATTATTATACAGCAAAAGTTCGATTCCGCAAAGTAATGATCCGAGCTTGCTTTTTGTATATTGAGATTTGTCTTGTTCAATCATACTTTTGGTTGTTTTTTCACTGCCTTTTTTACATGTCAACAACAACTTCCCATTAGATTTCGTCTCTTTTTCGAATTGATGAAATTCTTTCTGCATCTTGTCAATAGATGGATTTGCAATATTAAAATGTAATGAGTTACATATCGCAAAACTCTTGTTCTTTAATTTAATAACAGCATCTCCTTGGAGCTTATACTGAGAGAAATTGAGATCAGCATTATCAATAATATTTTTCAATTTGTTTTCTGTGCTCGGTGGTCTTCCTCGCTTTTGTTTTATGCGAGTGAAGCCATCGACAAAAGTAATTGTTGTATTTTGTTGTGTGTTTGAATGTTGGTTTGATTGATTGGTTTCATGTTGTGAAGGTTGAGATGATAATGTGTTCGGATTGTCAAGGTTATGTTGGGTTGTGGAGAAATTATGAGAAGATTGTGTGATGTATTGCTGATTGAATTGTGGATAATAGGATTGATGATTTTGAAATAAATGTTCACATCCTCCATATTGAATAGGGATATTCTGATAGCTCATTGAATTGGATTGGTTTGGTTGTATTAGATCTTCATAAATTCTTTCGAAAGATAGTGTGGATGTTCTTGGTGAATCAAATTGAAAAGATCCCGGATTAATGCTACTGAAACCAGTAGATGACGATGATTGCACATTGAAAGAAGATAATGGAGAGGAACACCATATGTGGTGATTTTGATTTGAAAGTCCATATGATTGACCTTCAAAAAAGTTGTTGTTAGATGTGGTTTGGTTTGTGGATGGTGATGAAAAGTTCCAATTTGATGACATTTTTTGTGATTTAGAGTATTGAGGATTGAATTCAATTGTTTTATTGTACAAACTCGAATTCTTTGTCAAACTTGAACGATGTCCACACTTGATTAGTTTCCACATTACATGTGAGAGAAATGTATACAATTTTCATCTTGTGTTTCGTAATCTTCTTTCCGAATTTACGTGTAAGACGTGAGTGAGTAATTTCCAACTCAGACCAATGCTTGCATTTGTCTAAAGGAGGAACACTGTCAGTAAATCTGAATTGAATGCACTTCTGTCTCTTCTTTAGGCCATTCCACAAAATGTCTTGATACCATTGGTAATATTTAGCCTTTGTTCCCCTCAGAGCAAGATAAAACACGTTTGGGTTGCAACATCCAACCGTTTCATGGCTGATGGAGTTTGAACATCTCATCTGTAGATGTTGATAAATAATATTTCTTGCACATTTGGCGAACTGTTCCCATATAATTCCATAAATTTGTTTCTTCTCATCTGGTACTTCTTTAAAGGAATTATATTTTGGTACAAATTCAAACAGTCCTTTCTCTAAAGTGAATTGATATTCCTTGTGAGTGTCTTCAGCAGCTTCATCTGTGGTTCTTGATTTTCGTTTTTTGCTCTGTTGGGAAATATTGTCATCATCACATTTGTTGTTTGGTGTTATCGTACATTGTGTCTCATCAACAATACCAGAGAAGCTGCTTGTGCTAGGCAATAGACAGCAAGGTGGAAATGACATAGTTTCGTCTGTGAAGATCCATTCCTGAACAAGTTAAGCAAACACATTGCAACAAATTTGAAACATACTGTAGAGGTAGTAGTTATTACTGGTGATGATGGCTGAGAAGTGTTCATCTCGATGCTTGATGATGAAGGAATCTTGAAATGTGTTACTACTGAATAATGGACAAACATAATACTTACATTGTTCGTACTCTGGTTCGTTGTGGATTGGCTATCCAATGCTGGTGATTCATAGGCCTTGATATAATTGAGATCAATACAAGGTGAACGATATTCACTAGTACTTACGTGATTACTATTTGTTTCGCAACTCGAATCACAATCAGAAACACCAAGCTGAGGTAAAGATTAGTGTCGGTGTTGAAATTGTTGTTTGATGTTGTTGTTGTTGTGGTAATATGGATAATCAATTACTTACACAGTATAGAGGCACAGTACCCTCTTCAATGACCACTAATTCAGCTTCCATGTTGTTGTGTGTTGTTGGTGTGTTTTTTTGTGTGAGAAGCAGAAAACAACACCACAGACCAATCACTCCATTTTTTTTGACTCCGGGACTTACTAAAACGAGCCGAATTTTTTCTTCGTCAGTTTTTGCACTTTACGCTCAGGCGTAGTTTGTGGTGGACGGCTAAAGAAAAAGAAGCAACGCAACGTTTACTTGAGATTCAACAGTGGATGGAAATACCATTAGTGAACCAAAAAATTCTTGGGGAAGAGGGGGAATCGAACCCCCGGCCACAGCTTTGGAGGCTGCGATGTTACCATTACACCACCTTCCCTTGGTCATATAGTTTTAATTATGACTAGTGTAATGAACAACTGTCTGCCACCTTGCTTGCAAATTTGACAATCATTTTCCTCAAAACTGCTTGTGTGCGAAGCAAAATATCCAACTTTACTATGGTCAATAGTAGGAGAATGATGAAAAATATCGTTATCACCTCCTCACTAACAAAATGCAGTCAGGATGACTCTCTTGCTCTTCTTTTGAGTATAAGGCATTCTTCCATGACTAATGATGGAATTGTTGAGCATCATGACATCCCCTTTGCGCCAATCAAAGAAGACAGTATTTTGCCAAATGGTATCACTCACATGCTGAATTTCCTTCGTGCTCAATTCCAATTCCTTCGTTGTTTCTTCTGAGCCAAATGTGCTTTCTTTCTTACTGTTTTCAACACCATTTGTTTGTTGAGCATGATCCTTTCCATTGTCCGCAACACTTCTTTTTGGTACGAAAAAGGCATGTTGAGCTTGATCATGTCTTGACACGAGTAACTTTTTGATCAATATCACAACAAGTGCAATCATCCATAACAAGTAAATGATCCATCGTTGTTGTCTCTGTGCCACTTGACGATACTCACAAGGCACTGCATCAATATGAAATACTTGCATGTGATTACTCCAAGTGAAACATGATGACTGTCCTTGAGTGTTTTTTGAACTTGAATCTTCACCATGACGATTCGCATCATTGGATGGCAATGCAAATGGTACTTGCTTGATAGGATCATGTTCATTGTACAATTCCAATTCCTTCCCTTGTTTCCATCGTGGCTCCACCTGATCATGCTCACACAACTTGTAAACTTGAGATTCACTTTCTGTTTCGAAAATATCTTCCCATGGTTTGGTACGGAATGGATCTAACTGTTTCAAAATATTGGACCAAAATGAGATGGAAAACAAGGAGTGATGATGTTGTGCATGTCGTTTTGAACAATAATTTCTGACATTGGCTACTTGGTACTTGTCAAGTTTTCTTTTAAATTCTTCATTGAGATTTTGATAGACCAATCTCATATCACAAATTGGAGTCTCTCCTTGATGTAAATTCTCTGGAGGTGATTGACAGTAAAAGAATATTTCCTGTGTGAATATAATTCCAATGTGTTCATGCAGCACAATATATTTCAATGATTCAATCCATCAAATCTAAGAAAAAGTTCAATAAATTCATATACTCACCTTTGGTTGTGAGTTTGGAAGAAAACTCATTTCCAAATGTTGCGGAATTGGAACCATAGGCCCAAATTCACTCGCAGTAAATGTGTATTTGGTAACGCGATTTCTTGGTGAAGTTCCCAAATAACCATCTTGCAAGGGATAGTGAGCTGCTTCGAGTGCAACATCTTCGAAATCTTGTGCAGACATGATTTGAAAGCCTCTAAAGAGAATCGCTCCAGAAGAATTTAACACATTTCGAATCCATGATTTGTTTTGTGAAATCCATAACAGAAGCGAGTCTTTGGAAGAGTTGTTTCGATCATGATCTACCATTTCTGTGTTGGGTTCAATCACGATCGGCAAGGTTGTGTGGAGAGGTGGTGCATTGGACAACGATGAAGAAGATTTGGGCTGTTGTTGTCCTTCGTCTGGAAACAAACCATAACGATAAGTGACAGAACCTTTGATCACTCGTGTCGGAATGAAATTGGACATTTTTTTTTAATCTCGGACACAAGTCATAGATGCATTATCTCATGTGGCCATGACAAGTTGGATTTTAATTGGTCTGTTTCAGTTCTTGCTGCTGCAGTTTTTGATTTCTTGTTGAGGGTCGTTAGGAGGAGATTGAGAATTTGAAAGGTCGTTGGTTATATTCATTGAAGATGAAGTGCTCTCTTGTGTAGAAGGTTCATGTCTTCGACATTTTTCTTCATACTTTTTCACACGATCCCATAAATCGCCTTGCAATTCTTCTTGACAAATGGTGGGCTTGAATTCACTGATGACTTTTTCCATGTCGTATCGTTGGGCAATATAAACACCTCCTACAATTCCTGCAGTAAATGAAAGCATGTTGTTTTTTGTTTGAGAAGTGGTTGTAACAGTGTTGTCGACAATTATGTTTTTTGTTGAGCTTAATTTGTACCACCTATAAATAGTCAGCACTCAATTGTTGTCCTGTTCTTTAGACGAGGTCACTCAATCAAAACTCAAGAATAACGTTGAATCAAAAATCGTTTCTTCATCAACCAAATCATTTTATTCAAAGCGTCAAGAGTAGATGCTTGTTAGAACCGAGATTGTAAAATCTATCCAGAATTTTAAGGAATCGCGCCTTGAAAAACCGTTATACATTTTTTTTTGAAAAATTAAAAGAGTCCTGCTTCCGTTGATTTTTAAAAAACAAATTCAAAACAAAATCATCAAATGACCAAATCAACCTCTAGACGCCATCAACAAGACGTGGACGAGCCATCACAAACCTCCACTCGATGCCGAATTGTGTACAATCCTCAAAACATTGATCGTTCGAAGCGAGTCGCACCCGGCTGTGAAATCAATCTCAACAACATCCTCGCTGCATCCAAGACTCGAAGCAGAAGTAATGTCAACTATCGAACACTCAACAACAGTGGAGTGGTCATCAAGACCAATCGCAAATCAAAGAACAATATTTACATGCGAACCAAGTCCACTGAGAAGATTCAAAAGACTTCCAAGAAGAAGAATTCTCTGAAGAACAAGAGATCAGAGGAAGCCAATGATGATGACAAGGAAAATGTGGTGAACCATCAAGAAGATGCTGAAGAATCTACCGGTGAAGAAGAAGAAAAGGAAGAGACTTGTGATAACTCAACTTCTTCTGCTCCTCCTCAAAGCGTTGAATTGGTTCCATCATTCACAGCTCAAGATGAAGAAATGGATGAATCTGTGTATCAAGTCAGTCTCTCTTCTCAAATCAAAACCCTCTTGACAGAAAAGCTAGGAGCAGTATTGCCAGAAACCGAATCTAAAAAGCATCGTCGAACCTTTGGAGTGTATCGTTTGCCACTCGCTGTGGTTGAATGGGGTCGTATTTGGGCCAATACCGTCAAGTCGACCAACTTGATCAAATTATTCAAATGTGAAACGAGTGAACTCTCGTTTTCTACTCTTGAATTCACAGAAATGGATTTGGAAGAGGAAGAAAAGAATTCATTTGCCTTCTTGAAGGGAACAGACGATCGAATTGTCATTGGTTCTGGTAACGATACCCTCCTTGCCGTCAAATTGGAGGAAGCTAAGAATTGTGAAGATTTATTGGTCTATGCCTTGAAGGATTCTGCTCCTCACCAAGTATTTGGACCATTCAAGCTCTCATGGATCCTCGAAAATTGTGAGAGTGATGGTCAAGACACTCCTCAAGAACAATAATTCGAGTCAAGACAACAACACCGGATGATTTTTATTGATGCTGGCTTAATCGCCATCATGGCAATAAAACATTTCTTTTTTGTACAACCGCTCCAAGTTTTAGTGATTTTGAAATATTTTCCTCAATTGTTAATTTCCTTTCATCTAGTGTTTGGTGGTTGCTTAAAAAATGTTCACACTCACGGATAAACCTACCACACGCCCGAATCATGATGCTGATCATGAGAGGCAACTTACTTGCGAGCCTCTAGCAATCTCATGGTTCAATAATCATCATCATCAATTATTATTATCACAATGTAAATATTTAAAATTGAAGGAAGATCGTATTACTGTATATTCGGACAGCACTCTCTCACGAGTGGTTGAACTGTATATTGTTCGGAAGAGACTTGGACGTGGGGCGGGTGGTAGTGTTTTCATGTGTGAGCAGTTACAACAAGGTGAGGAGAAGGAAAATGTGCAACATCATCACGGCAAGATAATTGCCCTTAAAAGTGTACTTGTTGAGGATGAGGCTTGTTTGGAGAATGCAGTTGAGGAATATTCTCTTCTCGTAAAGATGAATCAAAACGGAAGAGGACATGATTTTAGAATCACTCCTGTTTATGACATTTATATAGATATTCAACAAGAATTTAATGTTTATGTCATGTACTTTTCCATGCCAGTTTATAAGAATGATTTGGAAAAATTCATCAAATCTCCTTTAAACAGAAAAACTCAGTGTGATGTTAATTGTTCATCCTCAAGGGAGGTTGGTTTGGAAGGAACGATCCATCAAGGAGTGCCAACAAAATTTCAAGTTGCTCTTTCTGTGGCAACAAATATTTCAAAAGCACTTTCTCACATTCACAAGAATAATATTGTTCATAGGTTGTACACATTGGTTTGTTTTTCGAATGGTGAGCAGGAACCGAAAATAGAGACATTAAGCTAGCAAATATTCTAATTGAGGATGTTCACAGTGATGGCCTGTCTGTTGTTTTGGCAGACTTTGGTCTCAGCAAAGAAATAGAGGAATCGTCAAGACATTCCAAGGTTGGAACCCTCACTTATTTATCTCCAGAGGTTCTTTCCGGTCAAGAATATGGATTTAGAGTCGACTGTTTTGCCTTGGGAGTAGTTCTGTACCAAATACTGACATTGGACTTTACAAAAAGAATAGCCTGGGATTTACTTCAACATTCCGAACAACAAGTGAGAGACGATCTCAAGAGCAAAATGGTTTTCTCTCTCTCCAATAAGGAGGTGGATTTTATCGATCTCGTTCTAGAAATGCTTCACAAAGATCCTCACAAAAGAATACACTCCACAGCAATTTACCATTTCTGCCTAATGAAGAAAACCAAATCAAGGAAAATGCAAATCAACCAAGTAACGTTGGAAAAGAACACAATCCAGCCACTTCCTCCTCCCAGAAATCATCTCTCCGAAGCACAACAAAAGATTCTCGTAACAATGAGACAGCAATTAGCTCAAATAGACAGTGAGAAGACGCTTGAAAAACCACAACCTGAGAGTGAGGAACTTTTTACTAGATACCAGAGCCTTGCTGACTTGTACTCAATGGAGTCTGAACATTCAACAAAGGAAAACAAAGAAATGAGGAGAAGATCAAAATCATTCGTCCAAGCCTCACAACGTACAGAGCTTGTCATACACGTTTATCCACACACTTTTGCATCGTCTTTCAAGAGATTATTTACAAAGAGTGAAGAGAAGAGGTTTAACTCTATTGAGGCAGCGCTAATTTACGCCAAGAAGCAACCTTCCTCAGTGCATGTGATTATTTATTTGCATCCAGGTGTTCATAAACATCGTCAGGCCGATCTGAACATTGAACGAGAAAATTTAACCATTGAAGGCGTGGAAGAAGGTGATGAGGAAGCTGTGTTACAAGCTGAGCGAATAACAATTTTACATAATGCAGAAATAAGGAAAATGAATTTTGTTGGAAGAAAACTGACCAAAGGAAGTCTACTGACGTAGGTTGTTATGTGAACAGTTCAATAGTTTCAATTATTTCTCTTAGAAAACCAATTATTATTGAAATTGATCAATGTCAACCAAGGATTGTTAACTGTAAAATTAAGGGACGCATACATGCCATTGGACGATCGAGTCGAATATCGCCAATGATTGAAGAGAATGAGATATTTGGCAATTGTCAAGCTCCAGGCAATGATGCTGTTGGGAGTGCTCTCTATTTCGAAGGATGCTGCCCGCAAATATTGAGCAACAAGGTTCATGACAATGGTATGTTTCAAAAATTACATTTACATCAATTTTCGTGCACAGAAACTAATGGAATTATGATTGTTAACTGCTACGGAGGAATGATTTCTGACAATCACTTTTACAACAACTGGAGTAATAATTCATGGCTATTCATGTTAAAAATTGTGAAAATATAGAAGTGCAAGCCAACTCTTTTTTTGACAATGGTGCATGTATTCTCATTGCTAATAGCATTGGAAGTATTAATGGAAACGAGTTTAAAAACTGCAAGAAAGGAATAGCGATCAAAGATTCAAACATCGATTTCCATGAGAACGAACTAACAGGAATGAAAGAATGGTGTGTAGCCGCAAAGAGTCATCGCTTCAGGTAGGTATTCTCGTTAAGGGTTGATTTAGGTAACATTGGAAAACAATACCAATGGTGGATTAACAGCTCTGTATGAACAAGCTTTTCAACAATTTAAAAGGAGTGTCACTTGAAGACATGGAAGGAGAGGTTAAAATTATTGGAAACACAATTAACAATACAAGCGCTCTCTCTGCTTCTATTTCTGTTCGATTTGCTGATAACATGCATGCACTGATCATGCAGGATAATTTGTAAGTATTGACATTGTTTGAAAATACTTACAAAATGGTTCAACAGGATTTCACGAAACATGGGAGGAGGGGTTATCGTCATGAACGACACCGAACACATCAATAATTGCACAACAAATGAAATTCATATTACCAACAATCGATTTATGAAAAATGGGGCGTTTTGTATGAAAGCAACGAACATTCCAAAGCTCAATATCAAAAAGAACATTTTTACTGACAGCTTGGAATTTGCAATTGTTTTGGATCAATGTGCAGGTGTTATTGAGGACAATGTTTTTTCTGACCATTTATTTGCTTCCGCCATTAGTAAGTTGTTTCAATTACGTACTCTCTGATAACACTTAATGTTAGAGATTAAAAAGTCCACATTCCTGGTGGTGTCTGTTTGCGATAACAGATTTTCTCACAACACTTGTTTCGATGTTTCTCTAAGCAACGAGTGCTGTCATAAATCTGTTGAAATTCAAGGCAACCACTTCTCTGGCACTTTACAGCAATCTATTGATACAGACCTTGAACGACTTGCATTACCTCAAATCCAACAAGACAATACGTTCAATGAGGAAATCAAAGCATGAAACGATTATTAACAATTATTGAATGTGAAAATTTTGTAATGGATTCATGACGATTTATTGATATCTTGGGTAATTCACTGTGCTAATGTCATAGTTGGCATGTTGCATCCCTGTAACAGGTGGTTGTTGATGTTCGTGTTCCAATTGTCTTCTTGCTTCTGTCTCGTAAGCAGAGAGTGGAATCGGTGGTAAGTGGTATCTTTCAACTGTTGGATATAAACTCATATTTTGTTGATCATCTTGGTATTCGAAATACTCTGTTGCTTCTTGTTCTGGTGGTGCTGAACCATCCAATGGCACCGAAACATTTTCTTCAACAGATTGCTTCATGTGATCATTGAAGGATTGAGACCGATGCATTGCTTGTTGCTGTTGAGGCATAGATTGCATTGGTTGCTGATATTGCTGGATTGAATGAATCTGTTGCTGCTCATGGCTCACCACACCATACTGCGATGGTTGCTGGTAGTAAGGAGAAACAGATTGGTTGATTTGAGAAACCTCAGTATTTACAAGGGAAGGAGACGCTGCGCTCATGAATGGTTGAGACATTGTTTGAACTTGTTGGAAATAAGCCATATGTCTCATTCTGTTTGCGACATAAAGCAAGCATTCGTAATCTAGATCAGTGGCCAAGGAGAGTTTACCCGTGACCTTGATAAAGTAGCCTACATTGACAAGCGTGCCCATCTTTTGATAAGGGAAAATGCTTTCAACACAAAAGTCTGGAACCTTGACACCCGTTTGTTGATTTAACGTTAAAGTCTTCTTTTCTTTTGCTTTCAACTCTCCGATAACAATCTTCTTAATGACGTACACGTCACTTTTGATTGGAATCTTTTGACCTGACTTTAAGCAGTCGACTCTCTGAATGAATGACATTGTACATTCCGACACTGTTTTTTGTGAAGTATTCTCCAAGGTCAATTGACCATGAAGATAGTCACCAGTGAGGAAAACTCGAGAAGGCATTTGAAGCATTGTGTTAATTTGGCCATTGGCAAACAAGAATGTCTTCACTTTTGAGTCTGTGAACGGAGTTGAGTTAGATCCCATGAAAGAAGGAGTCATTAAAGAGCCTCCAACCGGAATGGCTGCAGACGATATCAAGTCTCCTACGCTCTTGTCCGAGTTCATGCACGTACATCTTAACTCATAGTCAATTGCTGGCATTCCGTAATTACTCTTCGATCCAGTAAGGGCTGACTGATTGGTACGATAGGTTGGTGGTATAAAATCAGGTAGTTGAATTTCAAAATCGTACTTGTAAACACCAGCGGGAAGGACGGTATTCACCTGCTTTTTAAATAGACCAAAGAACTCTCGTTCTTCTTTCTTTGTGCTTCCTGTTGTTGCGATCATATTCATTGAATTTACAAAGTACCAAGGGTAGTCATGCATGAAAATTCCAAATCCCGAAAATAATAAGATTGATCAACGGGTTAATTATTAATGCACATAACATTCGATTTTGTGTGAGGAATAAATCGATACTTACCTCTACCTTCGAGTTTTGTCGAATATTCATAAAAGATACGAGTGACTCGAGTATTAGAATTTGTCTTGAGTGCTTGTTGCAAATTGGTTGTATAGTATTCGCGACCAAATACATCTATTTTGATTCCGTAAATGCCCATCTGTGATGGAAGCCTTAACTCGACATATCCGACAATTTTCTCTCCCGAAAAGTACAATTTAGTTGGAAAATAAATTAATAATTCTGCCCTTATCATTTTCAAGAGGTGGTGGTTGTGGAAGAAAAAGACTCAGTAGGAACCCAGTGTTATTGTGGCAATTATTTTTTGAAACCTAGAGTTGTTGTTTTGTGATAAAACGGATGGTTTCGGAGTTGAACACATCAGTTCTTCAAAAAGGAATTAGAATCAAACAAGAAGGATAAAATGGAAAGGGTAATGTTGGTACAAGTGGGAGAACACTCGGTCGTAGGACTTTGGAAAAGAAGGTGGTTTGGACCAAAACCAAATATCAAGCACTTTCAAAGACTGACAAGGATAAAAATATTTTGCATTAGCCGGGAGTCGAACCCGGGTCACCAGCTTGGAAGGCTGGTATGATACCGTTACACTACTAATGCTTGTTGTTTTTCTAGTTATTTATGTTTGGTGCATAATAAAATTTGATATTTATTAGACTTTGTGCCAGTGGCACGGAACAGGGCTGAGCAGTCTCCTTCGCAGGCACTCCAGGATCAGAGCGTAGAAACTTCGATACAAGCTAACGCAGCAAAGGAGAATTTCAAATCAAAAAATAATGCCATCATTCAAGACTCAATACAGTGGATACTCGGTTGAATTTTCTCCGTTTGAAGATGATAAATTGGGTGTAGCAACAAGCCAACACTTTGGAATTGCCGGACAAGGACGACAATACATTTTACAAAATGATCGGGATGCACAAACGATGAGAAAATTATACACGTTTGACACGGATGATGGGCTCTATGATTGTACATGGAATGAAGAAAATGAAAACAAATAATCAGCTGCTCAGGTGATGGCAGTATTAAAGTTTTTGATACTACCAATGCATCGGGAGGAGAAGGAGCTCCAGTGATGAATTTTGCGGAACATTCAAAGGAGGTCTATTCTGTGGACTACAATACAGTAAATAAGGATTGTTTTGTGAGTGGATCCTGGGACAATACCATTAAATTATGGAACTTACAAGCGGCAGGTGCAGGACAAACCAATGCAAGCTCTGTTGAAACGTTTGATGAACATCGTTATTGTGTATATTCAACAATTTTTTCACCAACCAATGGAGATTTATTTATGAGTTGCAGTGGAGACATGACTATGAAGATTTGGGATGTACATGACATTTCAAGCATACAAACAGCACGAGTTCACAATTATGAAGTGTTGGCATGTGACTGGAACAAGTTTAATGAACATATTGTTTGTACGGGTGCTGTCGATAAGACCATCAAGGTTTGGGATTTGAGAAATTTGAATCAACATGGAGCTGGAACTGTTGGTGGTGGTACATCATCTACTTCATCAGATTCGTCTATTTGTACTCTCTCTGGACATGGCTTTGCCGTGAGACGTGTGAAATTCTCTCCACATGATGAAAATATTATTGGAAGTGTGAGTTATGACATGTCGTTATGTATTTGGGACACCGAGCAAGGAAGCGACAATGCTCTCCTGGAGAAGTATGAACATCACTCTGAGTTTGTTATTGGATTAGATTTTAATTTGGAGATGGAAGATGAGCTGGCAAGTTGCAGTTGGGACGAGACAGTATATGTATGGATGAGAGGTGAAGAGCCAGTTCCTACGCATGAGGAAAACGAAAATGAAAATGATGAAGAAGACAATGAAATTGTTGCTCAATTTAGACAAGTATTAGGTTTAGCAAGAGGTGGAGGAGGAGTTGAAGATGAGGACGAATACGAAGACGAGGATGAAGAGGATGAGGACGAAGAATAATTTTCAACTACAACCCAGTGCTACTATTAAAAAGAATACTTTGACGCTTATTTTGGCCTGGTGGTCTTGTGAAACTTCTGATTTCTTTTTCTTAACAACCATTCCTTAATGTTCATGTAACAACAATATTTTTAAATTTTTTTTAACCAAAAGCCCACCTCTGTCACCGTCTTGTTTTTCGAGTGAAGTGCAACTCTTCCGAGACAATCGTTGATGATGAAAATTTATAATATGAAAATACCAACACTTATACATGTTTATACCCCATAAAACAAAACGCAATGATAGGCCTGACGCATTCATGAAAAGATTAGCATCTTTGGTACACTTTGACATGAATTTTGTGACATTAAATTCAACAAAACATTTATTGTTCATGGTCAGCCGAATTCTCCATGAAAATACTTCTTGCTTCACTGGCGACCGTGACCAACAGAATGGTGTTACTCTTGACCGAGCACTTCATCTTGGCATATTGTCTCTTCAATCTCTTTGCCACATCCATAGAGGGCACCCAACAATGCAAAAATTGCTTCTCCCACACATCTTCATCGTACACATTTCCAGACGAAGCAATAATGCCTGAGAGCTTCTTATAGAGCAAAAGTTGCAACATCTTGTCGGTCAACACACCATTTCCTCCAGTAAAGTCGTTAAAGTTGAAAGCTCTAGTGACAGAAACACCATACTTCTTTTGTCCAATTCGAACAAGATAGTCAGTCTTCTTACTTCCAGGATAATACTCAATTTCCATTTCAGTCTTTAAAAGCTCTGCAGAGAACATTCGTTTAACAACTTCAAAGCTCAAAGCCTCACTAAACACAGAATTACCTCCAGCATTCTCTTCACGACTTATTCTGAGAGCTCCCTCTGAAGTTCCTGACATCAACAAATCAAATTCTAATTGATTTCGAGTCTTGTTGTTTGAGTGTGCTGACGACGAAGGATTGTTGTTAAGAGCACTCAATTCCCTTCTTGCCTTATCCTTCAAGATCATTTCCTGCAAGACAAAGGTTGGCTTTTGAGATACTTCCATACTTTGATACAACTTTAACTCTTCCACGAGTTCAGTTTTCAAATAAAACGAACTCTTCTCATGTCCAATATTCAAAGAATAGACCTTTTGCTTACACTGATATTGGGACGACTTGCACGACGACAAAACGGTTTGATTCTTGTTCTCGTCGAATTGGGCAGCATTCTGATGTCTCGATAATTCTGGTGCCAATAATTGTAGTGCTTGATTCTCGCATCGGGCCAAACATGAATGCTGTTGCTTTAGAGGTTGAGTTGCCTCCTGCTCCTGCTCTGCCCTTCGTAAAGTACTCATCAAAGGCCGGGTCCTGATCCTCTCCTTTGGACTCTGACTTGGGTTCAAAGCAATGCTTGCAGGAATAGGAATAGCAGTGCTTAAAGCACGGATGATCAAAGCACTGCTTACTGGATTGTTGTTGGAAGTTGAGTCCGGACAAGTCCACTTGAAGGTTTGAAGAATTGAGCTTGTTGTTGCTGCTGAAAAGACAATTAAAACTCAACTCCTGAGAATGAACATTGCTGGAGCGAGCTAAGGGACACGACCCTAAAGGGTTGTTGCTACTGGAGGAGCTCAAAACGAGAGAAGAGTTGTTGGAAGAATTGCTACTAGAGAAAGTCATGATGATAATTTGGAGTGGGTTGATAATGATAACGATATGGGTAACAGTAGATGATAATAATTGTAAGAGTGGTGGTGATGATGATGAATGGTCGAGCTGAACGAATTAGCGTGAATATATTGCGTGCTGTGTTTACAGTATGTAATAATAATACTACTGATGATCTTGCGAGGATGATGATTCTTGGAATCACAAAGAAGTAAATACAAGGTTTTTTTCTTGTCGAGGAAGAGTAGAGAACTTGTGCGTTTATGAAATTGCTCTTTTAAATCTAAAAATAATGGATCCCAAGTTTACAACAACACACAAGATAACCATCTCGCCTTAACTTTACACAATTCAAGATCAAAAGGTGAATTCGTTTAATGCCAGAAGTTGAATTTCTCAAGTTGCAATCGCAGTACATGAACTCTGAGGTTCAATGATTTGATTTTCAATGTGTCAAACTAAAAAATGTACCAAGACGAAATTCCAGCTCTCGTTCTCGACAATGGTTCATGTTTTTCAAGAGCTGGTTTTGCAGGAGACGAAGCACCTCGATTCATCATTCCCTCTCTCCTTGGCACTCGAAAAAAAACACTTTCCAAACAACCTTTGAATCCACCAACTGATATTTATATTGGAGATGAAGCCTCTTCTCAAAAACAACTCCTAGATCTACACCGACCCATTCAACGAGGCCACATTACGAATTGGGATCATATGGAACAATTCTGGCATTATCAATTTCATCATGTTTTAAAAACTTCTCCGGAGCATCCTGCTGTTCTTCTCTCCGACTGCATCACTTCAACTGCTGCTACAACGGGTAAGAATACAGAGAGAGAACGAACTTCTCAAGTCATGTTTGAGAAGTTCTCAGTTCAGAGTCTGTGCATAGCCTCGAGTGCATGTTTATCCATGTTCGGAGGAGGAAGAGGTTCGGGTGTCGTGTTGGAATGTGGCTATGAAGTTTCACATGCAGTGCCCATGTTTGAAGGAGTGATAGCAAAACCTCTACCCACGAGCTCAAGCACGACGACGATTCGAACACTTGAAATTGGTGGTCTTCATTTGGATCAATACTTGTTAAAATTATTAAGGCTCAAGTTGGAGGAGACAAATATGCTTCATTCGAGTTCCATGCAGCTGCTACCAGAGCTTGTCATGTCTATGAAGGAAGAACTTGCTCGTGTGACGTATTTACAAGGAGGAGAGTCGTCTCTAAAGAGTGAGAAAAAGCCAATATTTGAATTGCCAGATGGAAACACTATTGAAATTGAGAAGGAACGATATGAATGTGTGGAACCATTATTTAATCCTAAATTATTAGGTGGAGAATATTGTGACAACACCTCTGAAGTTGGTGGTATTCAAGACATGTTATTCAACTCGATTACATCAACGAATTATGAGGAACGATATTATTATTATCGACATATTCTTTTGAGTGGCGGAACAACATTATTACCTGGCTTTGCAGAAAGAATCAAAGAGGAAATTCGAGAAAGCGCACCATCCGCATTTAGTATTCATGTTTCTGCGTATCCTGAGCGTAAACTTTTATCGTGGATTGGTGGATCTGTGTTGGCAAGTATGTCCGTTTTTAATGATAAAAGTGTCTCTAAAAGCGAATTCGAAGAGGAAGGTCCAAGAGTGACACAACGAAAATTCACAAATTGAAATTGTTTTCCGTCATGTAAATGAAGACAGCTATGTTTTATTTCTTCTTTCTTTGGTGCTGATTCGATTTGTTGTTGGATGTTGAACTTTTAGGTTTCGAAATTTCTGTTCTGGTGGATGACGAATTCACCGTCACTGGCTGTGCAAGCGTTCCGTTCGAATGCACTTCTTTAGTAGGCATCACTTGAACATTATTCTGAGAGGTGGTTGACATGGGTTGAGATTCAGAAGTTTTTTCAATATTCAACGGCTTTGCCCAAGCAGAAGACACGGTGGTAGAAGCAGATTTACCTGCTGGATTCACTACAGGTTGAGTGTTATTTTCTTGACAAGTAGTAGGAGATTGCAATTGCACCGATGGAACGTCTTGGTTGGCGGCATTGAGACGCATCATGGGGTCGTGAGGTTTTGAATTCAATACCTGAGAAGAAGGTATTGTCATCATTAAGGGAGGTTGAAGGTGTGGTGGTATCATCATTTGAGGATGATGATGGTGCGGAGGAGGAGGAGGCAGGATCATATAAGGTGAGGATTGAACACCAGCCTCCATGTTACCACTCGTTGGAAAGGATGGATGAACAGCATTCATCATGGGAAGAGTGGGTGGACCCATCATCATCATCATTGGATGTCCTCCATACGATGGTTGTGGTTGTGGTTGTGGTGGTTGAAAAGGACCTGACGATGGCATGACCATCATGGGAATGAAAGGATTCCATCCAACAACTGGCATGGATGAATGAGAAGAGACATCCTTGTTGTGTTCCATGACTTGAGAAGGAGGTTCAATGGATTCTACTGCATCATTCGAATGGGTGGTCGTGTTCGTGTCGCCTTTTGCTGCTGCTGCCTGAATGGTTGTTGATGTCTCGTTCTGGCTCGTCTTGAACAACTTGTCCTTCTTCGTCGACTTTTTGTTGGTCGTACTCTTCTTGTTGCTCGTCTTGTTGTTCAGAGTTGAAACATCGACTGTGAGGGAATGACTTTGAGTAATGACCATTTGAGAATTGGATGGAGTCATGGAACAAGAAGAGGAATTTGAAGAAGAAGAGGTTCATCATCTCAGCACTGCTACTCGTTTGCTCGGTCTGAGTGGTAGTACTTGTCGTTTCAGTCAAATTCGCCGAATTCAAAATTTCAGACCAATTTTTCTTCTCATTGAGCCATGCATTTGCTGGTGGTGGAGCGAGTAGAGGCAGCTCTCCGACAAGTTCAGTATTGTGGTTGGGATTGGAATTTCCTGGAGCATTGGAAATTTCTAGAGTGTGAGGTTCTAACGTATTGGTAGTAGTAGTAGTAGGAGGAGTAGCAGTAGAAGTATTGGTGCTTGATTTTTGTTTGGACAATTCTGGAAAATCATTGGGATTATTGAGATCATAGGCGGTTTGATGTTGAGAAAGTAATTCTTTCACTTTTTGTAAGGATTTAGTTTCCATCTTTTCCAAATCATCCAACCAAGCATCGTATTCAACATTCTTGAAACATCCTGGTTTTTTAGTAAATAAATCCGTCTTGAAAGAAGCCATACACGTCTCGTAGAACAAGTCTTGCATGAGAATATTGTTCATAAATTCATTGATAGGATATACTGAATCATAATGACTACCATAGAGAAATGCTAACTTGATTTCTCTTCTCTTTTTTGGTAGAATTTTCTCATTCTTCTTGGATCTCATCCAATCAGACAAGGAACTGCCTGAGGTGGTCCATTGATTGGTTTGATTTGATTCAATACTCGTCATGATCATGTGATTTCCATGTTGTGCTACGACTCCATTCATATCATATACAGTAATATTGACATGATACAGGCTTGAAAGAGCTTCCAATTCTAATTGAGAGCCCCAAGAGTATGGTTTGGCCATATGCTTTAAATACGATTCAAAATCCATTTCTACGACAAAATTCATGAAAAAGTCCTCGTGTTCTTTCATGTATTGAACACATGCTTCCGAACTTGTTCTTGGTAAATTTGTGTTCCGAAATATAAATCCGAAAAAGCTCTAAATAAACAAGCACCATCTTTTGCTATGGGTTTTCTCTTTAAATTTAATTTTGAGAAGAGTTGATCCATTTGTTGCTCTTCCAATAAGAGTTTTTGAATCTCTTGAGCAGTGAGTGACTGCTTGACATTGGATCCCGAAGTCAACTGATGAGTCTTCGAGGATGATGATTTCTTCTTGTGATGACCATGCTTTTTGGGTTGCGTCATTTTTTTTTTGAAACAACAACGCAAAGCTTGTAATTCCATATCGAAAATGAAGATGACGAATAAGAGTGTTGTACCATTGACATTGAACTTCAAATGCAAGGTTGAAAATAACGTAATGTTTAAGAAAACATCCTCACATGAATCTCTATTGAGATCTGGTTTGGTTACAATCATCTTTTTTTTATACTCTCTTATTTGGTTTAATCTTCATGTATTTCATGTATTCGCAAACTTGTTGGGGCACTTCTTTCAAGGTCTCACGAGCTAGATTGATATAATTTTGAGAGTTGTATTTACGGAAGGGAACAAATTGAACAATATCACGGAAAGCAACTTCAGAACCAGATTGTAATCTTCTATCATCACCATCCAAAGTTTCCATGGAACCAAAATCTGCGCTTCCAACTCCCACAATGACAATGGACATTGGATATCTAGATGCAGAAATGATAGCCTTAACAGTGTCTGGCATGTCAGTAATTACACCATCAGTAATAATTAATAGTATCAGTATTTTTGATTTTGTTGGCTGAGCTCAATGGAGGCTTGGAAGCAAGAGTGACAGCTGTTTGAATAGTTGGTGCAAAATTAGTAGGGCCATACAACTCTTCACATTTGAACAATCGTTATTAATCATCATTGGAATCCAACATTCAAAATGGAAATTTAAAATATTTCAAATTGTCATCACGCTCGATCCAAAAAAACATACCAACAGTATTCAAAGCTTGTCTATAATCACGTAAAATGCCATCAACTCCAACTGAATTTGGATTGCTTGGATTTCCATTGAGGGCAAAGCAATGAGAAACTTGACCAGTTGGCATTTTAGCTCCAAACCCAAAAGCTATGAAATATTTGTTATTAAATATTAGTGAGATTGAAGCAACAAGAATAACATACATGGGAAGAGCTTATCACTATCATAATATGCTAAAATATCTCCAATAGCTTTGATTGCCATCTCGTATTCATTAAACTTTCCACCTGCATGCAAACTATTAGGGTCGTTTGGATTTCCTAAAATATTGAAATTAGACCATGTTACAAAAAATGCATTCTTGCATTGTGACTTACCATTACTAGCTGTAAAATCAATGGAAACCAAAAGGGAAATTTCCAAACCACCTCCTAAATAATCCAAAAATGTGTATTCTTCCTCTGGTTCAGTGAACGATATTTTTCTTACTGAAATTTTACCAGTGGTCTTTGCAGGTTTCTTTTTCTTGGAAAAGCTTCCATCATCAATAATGTTGAGTGCAGTTCTATTGGTTTCAGCTTGTTTCAATTGTTGGAAAGTGAAATCAACGCTTCCAATCTGTGGATTTGTGTGAACGAAAATGTTAAAATTTCATGATTGATTGAAACATGTATGATTAACTACAACATTGTTCAATGCGAATATAATACTCACAAAATCAGGATCAGAATGTTTGTCCCAGTCAAAGACTTGAATTCTTAATGGAAGATTTTCATTTCCATTACATAACTTTTGCATTGGTAAAGTAAACCCTTTCCAGTGAGGATTCAAATTATTCATGATGGTTTCAGATTTGTAAATGTCCACATATTCGTTACCCATCATTTTGGAAAGAATGAAATATCTATTGTGATTTCAATTTTCGAATATTTCGTCATGAAATGTGACACAATATTCAACACTTACGGATCACCTGTGAATGCAATAATATATTGAGATGGAACACACGAGACTCTACCACTTACTTTTTCCAAATAAATCCTTCTTTGCTAAATCTTTACCATCTAATTCAAGATTTACTAATAAATCTTTGACTTTAGATTTTTGCTCACTTCTAATAGTGATAGTTCCACCATTTCCGTGCTTAGCTAACAGTGTTTTTGTGACAGCTCCTCCTGGACCACAAACAATCTCGCTCAATTTCACTTCACAACTTCCCAAAAAGTCATCATCACTCAAATCAACAGTGGCATTGTCAATATCATAGAGAAGGAATTTGAGTGGTTGAATTTCTTCAAATTTATAAGTGACAATGAATGTCTTGGTAAATTTGGGATTTACTGTTCAAAGTCATAATAATAATTGTGTTCATATAAAATATAATCACATTCCATTTGTGATGAACATGTTATAAATATAAATTCCGAAAAGTATTAAATCATTGTTGATCCAAATGACATGATCCATGATTACAAAACAAAAACTATATAACATACAATTATCTTTCTGTACTTCCGTTCTTCCCAAATCTTGCCAATAAAAATCTCCATTCAATTGTCTCTCACCAATTTTCACGACACAGCACGGATCCGACTTGGACAACAAATCCTTATTCTGCAAATTATTGCAAGAAATGTAGAGCTCTACTTTAGTTTCAAGTGCTGGATTGCTCCCGAGAGAGAGTCCAGCCATTTGATTTTGTACTGAACTGACGTTTGGATTGTACATGTGAGTGACGATGACGGGACAATATAATCAAAACTTATTTTTTTTTGTTGTTATCGTGAAAAACGATGTTTTATTTCTTCACAGGAATCATCAGCTCGCATCGAGATCAGATCAAGACTTGATGAGAAGAAAACACGAAAGTGGCTCAGAGCGCCCTGGATGCAAAGTGGCTCAGAGCGCCTCTCTCGAAAAAATGTCATCTTTTTTGAAAGCAAGTATTATCCGTCATCATCCTGTTCATTATGGTGTGAAAACGGAACAGCATTGTTTCAACACCAACAACGACAATTAACATTTTCCGGAACGTCCTTGTTTGTCCAACACAAAATTAGCATGATGAATAATACTCTAGGTTCTTTTCATTTAATCGGAACGTTGCAACATTCAAAACGAAATTATTCAACAACCACGAATCAACATCATCAAACGAAGGACATTGGCCACATTCCATCCTCGACGCAAATCCAAAAAAAGGAGCTTCCTCTTTCACATTTAAGAGTTTTGGATTTATCTCGAGTGTTGGCTGGTCCCTATTGCACTCAATTATTATCTGACTTGGGAGCCACGGTCATTAAAATTGAGCCACCAAAAGTTGGAGATGATACACGTTCATGGGGACCTCCTTTTATGAGAGTCGAGGGTGAGGGAAATTTACACGAGAATCAAAGCGGGTATTTTCAATGTGCCAATCGAGGAAAGAAGTCAGTTACTGTGAATTTAAAATCGAAAAATGGTCAACAGATTTTACACAAATTAGTAGCAAATTGTGACATTTTAATTGAAAACTTTAAGGTTGGATCTTTGGAAAAATTTGGATTGGATTACAAATCTGCAAAAGCAATTAATCCCGATATTATTTATTGCTCAATTACTGGCTTTGGTCAGGATAGCTCAAAATCACATTTACCAGGATATGATTTTGTCATGCAGGCAATGAGTGGAGTAAGTGGAGTTGGAGAGCTTTCTGCTGAATTATTAACTGTTAATGAATTTGCTGATTGATGAATGTAATATGAATTTACTGAACTATTAGGTCATGTCTATTACAGGTGATCAAAACACTTCTCCATTTAAAGTTGGAGTTGCCATCACAGATGTTATTACTGGAATGGTATGTAGTTGATACAAAATGTGAGCTGTTTGTAGCATGAAATAACTCAACCTTGTGCTTCCATTTAATGGCAAATAACTCAATCTTGTTTCCATTTCTCTCGATACTAGTATGCTGCAGTTGGAATTTTGTCCAAAGTCATTGAAAAACAACGAAACCTTTCCAATGAAGAGAAGGCAGAAAATTCCATTTCAACCAATGACTGGATTGATTTGTCTCTTCTCGATTGCAACATTGCCTACTTGGTGAATCAAGCGACCAACTATCTTCAAACGAATAACTCACCGAAACGAATTGGAAATCGTCATCCCAATATTGCTCCATACGACTTGATTAAATGCAAGAATGGTGACATTGTCGTGGCTGTTGGTAATGACGCTCAATTTCAACGATTTATTTCAGTCATTTCTAGCAAAATACCTCTCTCCGCTCCATTCAAAGATCTTGACAAGTTTACCACCAATGCACAACGAGTGGCCAATCGAAAACAATTGTTGGAACAAATTGAAGCGATTACCACTCAATACTTTACTAAGGAAGACCTTATTAATGAATTGAACAAGCAAGAAGTGCCATGTGGATCTGTAAATACAGTAGGAGAAGCACTCTCCGATGCACAAATTACTGAGCGCAATATGATTTGGACGTTTGACCAACAGGAAGGGAAGAGCGATGAGGAAATTCAAAAGTATCATCATGACCAACCACAAACAGGTGTGAGGACAATTGGAAATCCCCTCAGATTCATCAATGAAGAGCACAAAGTATTGAATTTGAAGCAATACACGACTCGACCACCCATCTTGTCAGAACACACCGAAGAGATTTTGAAAGAGATTATTGGAGCAAGCGATGAGGAGATTCAAGCATGGAGAAAGGAAGGAACAATTTGAATGACAGCAAAGTTCTAGATAGATACTGTTTTAATGCCTTCGACTTGTACACTGGTTTACAATCAACTAAAACTCTTTCTTCAATTACAATAATTTCATCATCCCAATACAACACTCCAACCAATACATTTTACTCTCTTAATGCCCCTCCACGATTAAGCGCATGCGGTTGCACCTTTAGGTCGTTTATTGTTCATCCACTCCTGGAGGTTGTTCTGATGCTTTTCCAAATGCGTGCGCTAAAATTTTATTTGAACACAAAACAAAAAACAAGAGACGATTTTCCAAAACTTGATAAATCGTTCATCGCACCTGTTCACTTTTCTTCCGATACGCGACTTCTGTTGTTGCAAACATTGAAAAGAGTCTACTCTGAGACTGTTCATTAAAACCCTGTAGATTAACTTCTCAAATCATCATCATGCGTAGACTTTTTCAAGTCTATCTTTCTCAATATTTGCGGGCATTGGAAGACGATGACGGAGGAAATAATAATAATGATCAGGACGATGATGATGAAGATTACATGCTCGAGGATGAAGAGGAACTCTTCAATTCCGGTTATCAACAAACAAGTGAGGATGATGAATACACGACCGACGACGAAGCGTACACAACAACAACCACACGAGGACAATCACCGTCCTCCTCATCAGGCTTGACCCGAACTGGTAGTGATCGGCAATCAAGACAACAGGCACAAAAGCTTCGAGAAGAGGAAAAGGAAAGACTTTTTCAGGAACAAGTTCGAGAGAGGTTGAAAGCCCTCAACGAACACAATGATTTAGGTCAAATCATTAGAGCTCATACTGGAAGATTTTGTCAACAACAATCAGTTTCTCAATTTCAACAGCAAAATACTCCTTCATGCTCGAGCAGCATGGGCAGTTGTAATAGTAATATTCTAGCTGCATCTTCTGTTGTGGAAGATGCAGATATCATGATTGACGATGGTCAAAATGTACATAACTCTTCGACGTGCATGAATGATCGATACAAAAAACGGCATTACTTTAGTGGAGTGAATTACAATAATGATAAAAGCTTAATTCACATACTCCATAAAAGGAAAATTGGAGGATGTGTGCTGGAGCTTTACATCGTCATAGATCACAAATGTCACAAGGCCAATTAGCAAGCATTTCCTCACGGTTTATTCCATGCTCCAACAAAGGACCAATTGGTCAATTTGATTCCTATTTATTTTGTGGACAATTCTCTCTGGATGGCAATTTCTTCATGAGCGCATGCCAAGACCAAGTAATTCGAATATATGATGTAAATACAATTTTGCTTAAAAAGTCATCAATCTCAGCCAACACACCGCAAGCTTCTTCAGACGATATTAATAGTGAACACCATGAGGACAGCAATTCTATGGATGATTCTGAAGAGGAATATTATGCAAGACCTACTCGTAGTAGGTACATGATGGTACATAATCAAAGTGTAAACAAGACTCCCACAGTGAAACATATCAGAGAAATTCACGCAAGAGATATTGGATGGAGCATTATTGATTGCAACCCATCACCTGATAACAAATTTTTAGTGTACAGTAGTTGGAGCTCTTACATCCATTTAGCAACCTTTGTTCCTCATGATTATGACCCTAACGAAGATATTGACAAACGCGTCAAGTACATTGAAAAACATGAGAGATTATTCCTTAATCCTGGAAATATCCGATTTTGTGCCTTTTCTGTTCGATTCAGTCCAACTGGAAAGGAAATCCTTGCTGGTTCTAACGATGACCACTTGTATATTTATGATCTAGACAAAAATATAAGAGTTGAACGAATTCATGCACATCGCTCAGACATTAACAGTGTATGCTATGCTGGAAATAGCCAACCTGATATTTTCTTTTCTGGTAGTGACGATGGCTTGTGTAAAGTTTGGGATCGACGGGTATGCTCCTCGTCCTCGAGTAGTGCCGTTGGAGTTCTTGTTGGCCATTCTGATGGTATAACCTGTGTTTCATCTAAGGGTGATGGAAGGTACTTTATCAGTAATGGTAAAGATCAGACCTGTAAATTGTGGGACATTCGTAAAATGGCTGATCCAAACTCTAACGTTCCCCAAATTCCAAAAAGTAATAATTTGTGGGACTACAGATATGAAATGGCACCAACGAGACACTCTCGTGTCATTCATCCTAACGACCAATCTCTCATGACCTATACAGGACATCAAGTTCTCCAAACATTAATTCGATGCTATTTCAGTCCTTCTCAGTCCACAGGACAACAATACATCTACACTGGTAGTCATGACGGAAAGATCTATGTGTACGATATTCTGACAGGAGCAATTGTCAAACAATTGGAAGGTCATGCGCACATTGTGAGAGATGTGCATTGGCACCCTTTTCTTCCACTCATGTTTTCATCTTCATGGGACGGCAGTTGCTTAATGTGGGAACGATAATTTGATATACCACAGTCCAAACTCTAGCTGCTTTTCTCGTGTCGTTTGGCAAAGCAATATTGAAGTAAACAGATTGGTGAACTTTCAGAGTCTTCGAGCTTGCTTGATTCTTTCTAAATGAACTGACAACAGACAATAGGTCTAGATAAAACCTGGTGACAAGAACGTTAATCAGATATTGCACTTCAGAAGGTATTAGGAGAGTGAGGAAGAATATTCTTGAGTGATCTCTCGTCATGTAGGTCTTCAGCAGACTCTTTACCATGCGCTCACAACTTTGTATCATGAAACCGTGACACCTTCTCTCTCAGAAGAGATACCTCTGAAAATATTCAAGTACTCAAAAGTCTTCCATTCTATCGCACCCTCTTCATTCTCGATTATACTAATTCATCCAATTTATTTTCCAAAACGAACGAGTATCTCTTTCATCACCCTTAATTAACAAAAGAGGAGAACAATCCACAAAGTACTCAAAAAAAATTACCAAGTTATTTCAGTATCGTCATCGTCTGGTACGGCCCTATTTCTGTAGCACGTTGTTTCCACCGAACCCTATTACCTTTGGGCACATATATAAGGTGAGTTTTGAGAAGGAAATTTGATGATCATTTAACGTTTGTCCTATTTGAACCTGTTGTTGGATGAACTTGACTGTCGGAATGATGTACAATGATCTCTTGTTTGGTCATAGATAGCACGTATCACAACGGTTCTTTACAGATTCCGAGAGATTTATTCTTCTGAACCGCGCAAACACATTGAAACATTCCCGTTTAAAAACACACCATGGTTTTCCAACTGAATTGGAGGAAGAAGGAAGTGAAAGAGGACACATCAAGCCATCATGATACACAAAGCGTTGCTTCTTCATCGTCGGCTGCAGGCCGATCACGAAGTCTAAGCGCACCAACCCCTTATGACTCAATAGATTCGAAAGAACACAGACTCCGAATAATATTCAACATGTTTGATGGCAATGAAGATGGAAAACTTACTGCCGAGGAAGTTAAAGACTTTCTTTCCTCAGTCTACGATAAAAAGTATATTGAAACGATATCCAGGAATTGGAACCTAGGCAAAGGCCTTTCTTTTCAAGAATTCCTTGAAATTTGTGGTCAGAGCGAATCGACCGATAAAGAACAAGAAAAAATTGAAACCAACAATTCGTTTTGGAAGTTCAAACCATTCAATTTATTGAGAAGGAGAGAACGAAAAAGCCTTAATCAAGACTTTGATGAAAATGAGCTGAAAAGAGCGTTCGAAGAAGTGTTTGATACAAACCGAGATGGTGTACTCACAAAGAACGAATTCAAAAAGGTGTTGAAAAATCTGAGAATTGGCGAAGCCTTCTCAGATGAAGAAATTGAACACTTGTTTGAGTCAGTTGTCACCAAGTCAGCAGGCGTGCTTAAATTTGAAAACTTTTTAGAGCTTCTCAAAGACAAAATATAAGCTTGTAAATTTTATGAAAATCTGTTAAGTGTACAAATAAATTAAAACTAGAGAGAAATGTCTAGACGAATTTTCGTTTCGTTCAATATTCCTCATTCTTTTTCTTGCCACTATCAAATACAATCTTGCTTAGTAAATAGTCCACTAATTTTTGTAAATGTTTTTCGTTAGAACGAAGAGATTTGATTGCAACAAGATATTGTGTTCCCGAATGTGCATCTTTCAGAAATGCTTGGAATGAATTATTTTTCTTTTTGACGCTTATAATGGTGAAATCCATGTCAGCAAGATCTTTCTCAGATATGGTCTGTATATTTTTGGATTTAGATGAGCTACTACTAGTAGGTGTTGATGTAGATGAAGAGGATGAAGTAGGGGTCAAAGGTGGTGATGGATTTTTCTGTTTCTTAGAAGGTGGCTCTGGAATTTCTGGGTCACTGTCATGCTGTGTTTCACTGTCACTACTTTCCTTAGAGGATGATGCAATACTCTTTCCACCAGTGATCTTTTGGAAGCGAATTCCACTCTCTGATCTATACTTTGAAATTAGACTGCGCCTTAATGAAGTGTCTGGCTCCCATGTCTTGACTGGATAATCCCTCCATTGAACAAGATATTCCGTTTTGTTTTTAACTTTACGTGAGTTTAAAATTTTCTCTGGAACAAAATTTCCATTGTGGTTTTTGTCAAGAGTAGGAGCAACATGTTTTTCAAAGTGTTCAATCAAGTCTGGAATGTTGGAGAGATTTTCAGGTGGCTCCCATGTACTATCCTCAATTCTCCATCCCTTCCATTTCACAAGATAATGCATCTTGTTTTTCTTTTTCTTTGAAAGCAGTATTGTTTCCACTTCATATTCCTCTTCATCTTCCGATTCTTTTTTTTCCTCTTCTTGTTTTTGCTTTTTTGTCTTATCAATCATTCTTCTTGTAGGCTTTTTCTTTTGAGAAGGTGAAGTAGATCCGATACTGTTTCTGTTTTTTCGTGAAGATTCTTGTTTGGCTCGTTTCCCGTCATCGGATTCATCACTTAATTCAGACGTGGTTGATTTTGTACGTTTTTTACCGTTCCTCGTTATTCTTTTATTCCCATCATTGGAATGATCGGAGATGTTTTCGTCACTGTTTTCATCATGATGGTGATGATGGCTATCTGACAAGTCCTCTTCGTCCAGACTTGGGGATCTTACTTTCATTTTTTTTTAGTTGTAACCGTCATTTGGATTCTCGCAACAATTCATTGCGAAATTAAGAGTGATACATAGCGCGTTTAATTATTAATTAATAATTTGCAGGCCATGTGTCATTTTGTTGTGGAATTGAACGCCTTAGACGTCACTCAATCCATTTCTTTGCTGCCTTCTCCTTGTTCCTCTTAGAGTCATGCTCAAGCGATAGAACCTCTAAAAATAATTATTCCAAAAAAATTCAGAAACCAATGTCAACCCCCGTGAAGAGAAGACTCATCAAGGACTTTAAGAAGATGTCCACGGATCCACCTCAAGGGATTAGTGCTACCCCTAAGGATTCGGATATTATGGAGTGGAATGCTGTTATATTTGGGTATGTTATTGTATGAAGAACAAACGAGAGATTAATTACAATTTTCAATCATGATTTTCGGATTAAAATTCAAACGTTGAACGATCCTGTAATAACAACTAATACCATTGTATATATGAACAACGATCAGTCCCGAAGACACTCCATGGGAAGGAGGTACTTTTAAACTCAGCCTCTCGTTTAATGAAGATTATCCAAACAAACCACCAAAAGTGAAGTTCCTCACAAAAATGTTTCATCCAAATAGTATGTAAATTTATATTATACGTATACAATGTAGCAATGATTCAATTTCACAATTTTATAATAATTCTTTTTTGACGAATTGAAAATATAATTTCGGGATACATTGCTCTTGACTCAGTTTATAATGATGGTCAAATTTGTTTGGACATTCTTCAAAATCAATGGAGTCCTATTTATGACGTTGCTGCGATTTTAACTTCTATTCAAAGCTTGTTGACGGATCCAAATCCAAACTCACCTGCAAATAGCGAAGCTGCAAGACTTTACACTGAAAATAGAAAGCTTTATGAGAGAAGAGTGAAAGAAATGGTTGAAAAATCATGGCAAGAGGAAGGAGATGCTGCAGAAGAAGAGGAATAGTTGCATTATCAAAATTTTCATTGTGACAATGTCAACAAGATGCCAATTTCATTACGTGTACAACACATGTATTTTATGATTTCAACACGAATGACTCTTTGCAATACCACAATCATGCAATTTTACCAATGTTGAGCTCAAACTGGTCTCAGCACATTAAACGATCTATCTCTCTGCTCCTCTCAAGAATTCTTTTTCACCTTAAAGACAAACACGTGTTTTCTCAGACTCCTTCCAAAGGACACAAAAGCAAAAATCCATTCACCACGCAAAAAATGCTGCAACAACTCTTTTCATCAACCAATCTGATCGTATTGGCCATCATCACTCTAATTTTTCTAATCGGATCCTATATACTGTTGAGAAGATTGGCAAAGACACAAACGACAATATGGAAGCTATCTGATTTTACATTCATCTCGGCCGATGATTTAAATAGCGATCGATTCGGATTGAAGAACAAACAGAAAAAAGTTCAAGTCAATAATCCACTCTTTATACAACGACACAAGAACAAGGCTGAACAATATTCGGTTTTGAATGAACCTGATTTGGATTTGAGTATAATTCTTCCGGCCTATAAAGAAGAGAGTCGGATTCATGTCACTCTTCAAGACACTTTTCAATATCTTGAAAGGAAAATTGAGAAAAATCAACAATTTAAATGCGAAATGATGATTGTAGATGATGGAAGTACAGATAATACCGTTGGAGTAGTTGTTGATTTTATAAAAGATTACATCAATAGAAATCCAAACATTGACATCCAATTATTACGATTGATTAAAAACAAAGGAAAGGGATTTGCAGTCAAGCAAGGAATGATTAGAGCTCGTGGAAAATTAATATTATTTGCAGATAGTGATAATGCTACAGATATTAGAGACTTGGATAAATTATTGACCAAGATGGCAGAAATGAAACAACAAAATAATTCCAAGAACGGATACATGGTTATTGGAAGCAGGCATCATTTAATGGAGGGAGTGAAACGTGAAAGAAAATGGTATAGAAATATTACCATGTATGGCTTTCATTTTCTGGTTTACTTTGTGGCAAATATTACAAATATTTCTGATACACAATGTGGATTCAAGCTTATGGACAGAGATGCTGTCAGACAGGTACTTCCAAACATGAAAATAGATAGATGGTGCTTTGATATTGACCTCATTCATATTTGCAACACTATGAAAATTCCAATTTTCGAACATCCAGTAAATTGGACAGAAATTGAGGGTAGCAAGGTCAACATTTGGGGTATCATTGGTATGGCCCGTGACTTGTTCCTCATTCGAATGTACTACACTCTTGGTATTTGGAAGGTTGTTGAAAATCCAAAGCTTGAACCTTCATTAAATTAATAATTGTTGTAAAAAAACGACAGTATGGGCATATTTGTTTGTCTGGGTGTGTACGACAACATTAAATACGTTTGTATAAATGTATTAGAAGGTTGTATCAATGTTAATTCAGTAATTTGTATTTAATGTTCTTCCAGTAATTCTTCAAGTTTTCTGGCGAGTTTAAAGTAAATATGACTTGGATACACCTGTTCCACAACAATGCTGAATTGCTTGGTGGTCATCCTTGGAGTGTTATCAGCATTGGACATTTTCTTTTGGAGCGGAGTCCAATCTTCTTCTTGCTCTCTTGGAGAAACAGGAGTATCTGCAGTGGGAGTTGTTGGCACAGATGAAGGTAAATCTTGAGCTTCCAGTTGTAGCGAAATGCATTTGAGAATTCTTTCTGCATGCTTGTAATATCTGTTCAACAATTCCTTATGATGTTTGTGGGTAATTGGAATAACATTTGGAGTTCCAGCAGTACTACCACCAGCGTGCGTTTGTGACTGTTCAGAGAGTGTGCTTCCAACAACAATAAATAAAGAGCTCATCCATAAGAGCCGAGGAGCATCACCAACCTCTTTTGATTCTTTTCTAATCTTTTTCACACAACTCTCCAGCCGATCCTCCAACACAAAGGTTGGAACTAGAATGCCATTGGTATCTCGTATCGACGAGTCAATCATTGGAATGTATTGAATGGCATTTTCAAAAACAGAAAATCGGTAGCCTTGCTCTGTGGTTTGAGCTTTTTCATCCATAAAATCCAGTAAGAATTTAAAGGTGCTAAATACATTTGGAATTTGTGCTTGGATGAAAACATAGAGATACACGGGAAGGGTGTCATCAGCTCCTCGATCCGATATTTTACCTCGTTTCTTCTCTTCAATAAAGTCAATAGCTGTGATCAATTCTTTTCCAACTTGTACAAGCACATCCAATTTTGCATGAGCCGTCGTGTTTTGTGTGGAAATTTGTCGAAGTTTCTTAATACATTGGTCGTATGGATTTTCAAATAATACAATTTCGTCTGTTGGAATGAATCCTTCTTTAACACCCAATTCTCTCATGGATATTGTTGAGAGAGCTAGAGTTTTGAATTTATACATGTTGTCTTGTTCTTGATACTGAATTATACATTGCAGGTTAGGTTGTCAAAATGTTTCAAAATCGTAAAGAATATAAACCTACACAAAACTTGTAAATTGTGAATAATGCGTTATAAATTCTACTTAATACATGATCCTTCAGCTCATACAGGAGCCTTTTGTGGCCGAATACTACCACAGCATCTGTGCCGATAATAAAACACGTTTTCTCAAACAAAAATATCACAAAGGAATGCTGGAAACATCAAGGTTATGAAAAAATTTCTCCAATAATTGAGTACTACTTACAAAGTCGTCAAGGGCATGGGGAATATGGTATTTGGCAGCCACCGTGGATTGGATATCACTTTGATGATATTTCCAATTAAAAAGATTAACAAATTTGGAAATTATTCTAGATAGAACGTGGTCATTGGTTGCTGTTGATAGAACTCCATTAATTGGTAAAATTTCGTCAGTGTTGTGGACAATCTGTGTGACATTGTCATATGTAATTTTCGACAATTTTCGAACCATTGCGTCATCAAGGTAGGTCTGTAAAGTATCCTGAATTGACTTCCTTGACATGGGAGACACAGTATCTTCTTGACTCTTCTTTTCTTCAATAAACTTTGCAATTGAGCTATTTGCAAACTTCTCTTTTTCATAATTTATGGAATCTGTAAAACTTGCAAAAAGACCGTCCCATTTTCGTTGGGTGACAAGATCTTCTTTGGCAAGTATTGGAGTTGTGACATGTGAAAATGAAGTAGTTCTGTCATTTTTCTCTGTTTTCTTAACTTCTTCTCTGAGAAGCATTACTTGACATTTGCTATTAACATGCTGTATAGTACCTTTTTCATAGGTGGCTTTTTTGATGTTGTTCCCACTCCATTCTCCAATAATTTTATCACCATTTGGTAATCTCAATACTCCTCTTCCTCCTTGAGCACCTGCTTTCCATTCACCCTCATACACAGTACCATCTTTGAAGATCATGGTACCAAAGCCTTCTTTTTCATTATCTTTCCAGTTTCCATAATATTCAGTGTCGTTTTTCATGTCTATCATCACTCCAAAACCTTCACGCATGTCTCTCAAAAAACTTCCATTATATTTTGATCCGTTTGCATAATGTAGCTCTCCTTCTCCGTGCTTCATGATGAATGGTAAGCCCTCTTCTCCTGATGGTATATTACCGAAAATATTATTATTTGCTTCGCTTGTACTGTTGAATGAAAACGGTGACTTCTTTTTCTTTGAATTATTAGAGGAATTGGAATTGTTTGTGCTTGTGTTAGATGATTGTGACGAAGATACACCCGATGAAGGAGAGCTCACAGTTTTGCGATTGTAATATTCTGAGAGTACATTGGAGTCATCCAAAAGCTCTTCCGTGAATGCCATGACAGCACCACAGTATCGATCTCCATTGGAGTATTGGATCACAGCAGGAGTATCTGAAAAATAGGGAAAATCCATAGAGAAAAACGGCAATGATCGCCGATCAAACATAAAAGCCTGTTATTCCAATAAACATGTCCATTCAGCACACAACCACTTACCTATACACGGCATGTTTGAAAACCATTTACCTGTAAACTGTTTTATAGCAGGTTGTGATGGATTGAAATTTGGAGGATATTCTCGTTCAGCATCTTCAGAAAAACAACAATTACTCGAGCCGTGTCGGTGTCCTTTCAAATTCACCTCTCCTTCATAGATATCACCATTGGCATATTCCAATAACTCGAGTCCACACGGTGGTTCTCTTGCTAAATTTTCCGCAGTTGGTAACAGAAACGAAAATGATAATCCTTGTGATGATGATGATGAGTTTGATCCTGGCAAGCCCGCAGAATTAGGAGAGGAATTATTACTACTGGCATTATTATTACTGTTGTTAATATGATTGCTGCTGCTGCTCTGATGATTATGACCTGCTCCCCCACTGCTGTTGTTTGTTGCTATCACTGAGATACTTTCAGGATTCCTGACGCTCCTTCGGAAGAGGCTTTTCATTTTTTCATGTGTGAGATTGTTCTTGTTTGAAAACACTGTTCAGAATAAACAAGAAGTTGTTTTTGCAATCCCCTATTTTTGTAATTAGAAGCGATGATCGAATTCAGGAGATATTGGGCAGAAATTGGTGAAAAACTGGTAATTCTGTATTTTCAATTAATTGTTAGAGGCTCATTTGGATGGATCACTCATGTTGATGGTGTCATGAAAAGATCTATTCGATCAAATAAGTTTGGGTCAGAAAATAGGCTATGAGGCATGATGGTGCAAAATTGGAAAAAAGTTCGTGTAAGGGTTCATGAATTGTCATTGGGTTCGAAACGTTTGTCGGTATGGTGGTATGAAACTAAGTATGAAATTCTCTTCAAAAAATCATAACGTATTCTGTTGGAATGTAGCCACAAGCTGTCACTGTTTGGCATGAGTCTGATAATACTTCTACTAATTTATAGCCTTTTCGTGTCTGACGAGACGAAGGAAGAATTTTAACTTTTTGTCCTCTCTGCACACTCACTTCTCCCTCTCCTTCAGCTTCGTAATCTATTTCAATGGTTTTAATAGTTCCATCCAATTGCACACTGTCATCAGTGTCATAAACGTCATCATTCATTAATACAGAGACAATTCTAGGAGCTTTGTTACCCAAATCCAAGCACCTGGCATCGAAAAATCCTTGAGATCCATTTGCAATCATTCTGCCGTACCAGTAGCAATCCTCTTCATTTCTATCGTTGGATCCTTTCTGAATCACTTCAATGATATTTCCTGCTTTAAAACTCAATTCAGTTTCATCCTTGGCAAAGTGGTCACGGATGGCCATGAACTTATTTTGTTGTAAATTGTTGTTCTTTTCCTCCTCAACATTTTGGTTCGAGCTGGGGCTTGGGATGGTTGTTGGACTTTTACCCTGTTGGGAAGTGTTCGAGTCAATAATATTGTAAATTGGTACTTCTGTATTCGAGGATTCAACCTGTACTGTGATCGTTTGATTGTAAGAATGTACGACTTGCGAAGGTTGACTTTGAGAGGATGTCGATGCGAATGTGCCTCCTTTACTAGTCTTAATTTCATTCCAGTGCTTATTCACTTCAAAGAATTCAATAATTTCCTGTAATGTTGGAACAAGAGGTTCGCTCAATAAATTATCAAAATAATTTTGAAGTTCTATTTGTCGTTCATGAATCTTGTCTTCTTTTAAATTGCCAACGAGGTACTACATTATTGATCGTGATATTGAGGTTCACCGATTCGCAAAAAAACATATCATTGTCGAAAATGACATTCATGTATTGAAATGAATCATAATACAAGTTCATATGAATTTGAATGTTGAAAATAAAATTACTCACTTTTTTAGGGAATTTTCCAAACTTTTTAGTGTTAATAATTTTTGAAAGTGCGTTGTGCAACTTTTCAATCTCGGAATATCTTTTACAGACTTCCCAAATGACTCCATCATAATTTACAGTGACATGATAAACCTATCTCAACAATTTTTGAAGAAAGTTCGGAATGTTGAAAAAGAAATAAATTTCAATGATATTCATTCCCACGTAACAGGATCGTAGTTGTTTACCACATATTCAACAGTTGAATCATCAGAGCTGTGGTGATGAGACTTACCACATATTGCTTGTCAGCCTCTCCTTTCAAAACACTGTGATGCGAAATGATTACTTTCATTTTTTTAAAGAGATGCGAACAAGTGATGGATGAAAGGTCATCCACAGTTAATGAATGGGTGCTTGAGCGTATTTCATGTAATGATTCATAATCCTTTGAACAAAAAGTTGGTTATAAAAGAACCTTCTTTTGAAAGGAAGCCTTTTGCCATTTCAAAAAATGAATCAATCACAATTTGGATCTACAAGCAACCCCAATATTATTTCATCGGCATCATCGAGTGCTAATTTGCCAATTGTTCCTCCACCTTCATCGGTTTCCTCACCAACAACACCAAATGTTTTACCCCAGAAAGATTATGCTCCAAATATTTTGGATCAAAATTTGAATAGACCCAAGAAGGAAGTGAGCGAGACGATTTTTTCCTTCTTATTTGCTGAAGTTGTTCAGTATTGCCAATCCCGAGTAAATGATATGAATGAATTACATGAAAAGTAAGTATTGGTGATGATGATTGTGAAATTATTTAATTATTGAAATTGATCGTTGGATTTTTCAAAAATTGATATGAATAATTATCATTATTTTGATCTTTTAATTGAAATAGATTAATGCAACTGGGTATTCCCATTGGGCAAAGATTATTAGAATTATGTGTATTGAGAGACAAAAATTCCAAAAGAGAAATCAAAGTCAACAACATGCTCGGCTTTATTGGAAATACATTGTGGAAAACTTTATATGGGCGAGGAGTGAGTACTATCGAAAGAGCAGCTGCCAGTACACAAACAGATAGTTCTAATCCACAACTGAAGCCAGTAATTACTAGATGTAGGTTTTGTGTGTGAATTCTGTTCAAACATCTTTCTCATGTCGATAGATATGATTTATGAAAAAGAACCTCTGGAAACAAAATACATCTCACCTCCCAGAGACATGAATGTTCAGTGCGCATACTTTAGTGCTGGAATCATAAAAGGAGCTCTTAATGCTGCTGACTTTGTAAGTAGGCGTTTCCCACATTATTACATTTAATATTTGATTGTGTGTTTCTATGATTCCAATACTGAAGAGGGCTGAAGTAAGAGTTGCCATGACTGAGAACAGAGATTATACTGTGTTTTTGATAGATTTCGAGGAGGATGTAATACGGCGAGAATTATAAATTGAAAATTATTGTTATTAATATTATTCTAACATTTTTGGGAATTCTAAAGTCGCCAACTATTACTCTTTTTGCTTGCAGAATTTGTAATGTGACACCAACGATTTGATTGGATGTTTTTTAAAATACAGGCTTACGAAGAGGTGATGATGATGGTGTCATGATGATTCCAATTAAGGTGAAAGATTGAATCAGCAGCACAGCTTATAGATTAGGAGCAGAATACCTAATTTCAGTTGGCATGTTTTCTAAAGAGATTGGTCTTTCATTGTGGTGTACCCGATCCTCCTTGTTGAGTACCACCGAAAACGCTTCCTTGGTTATTAGAATCACTTCCAGAGCTTCCAGATCCCTCGTTACCGCTTTGTCCAGTACTAGCGTCACCAGATCCTCCGCTTCCGCTTGGACTGCTTCCAGAACCACTATCTTGTGAGCCACTGTCTGAGCCTCCACCTCCACCACTACTACTACTGGATGACGATGCACTGCGAGGACCAGGCTCTCCAACGTAAATTTCATCACCTTTTTGAATGGCATGAAATTGAATTTGAGTGTCACCCTTGTAAAACTTTTCCATAGGTGTTCCAATCTTGACACCACTCATTGCAAAGATGATGGCTGGAATTTCAATTGGGTGATAAGGCAAACGAATTGTGCCTGTGAATGTTTCATTGGGAATATGCAAAGTGACAATTGGAGGATCAGCTTCCCATTTGATCATGATTTGATTCAGAAAATATTGTTTACAATACACCAATGGTTCGAAAGGGCTTGAATGTCTCACAAACTCGCAACCATTATTGAGGAAAATCTAAACAAGAGCGACAGTAACTTCCTTAGAATAATTTCTCAGAGAATACCGAACAACATACCACATTAGACGCAAAGTTATAATCTCGCTGATAATACGCTACAACAAAATCCAACAATTGATCATTATTCACATCCACAATATATCCGACCGATGCTGTATTACCATTACCTGTATAAACAATTGAAGTTGGAGGTACTCCATGCAGACCATAGACTCTAGAAGCGCTGGAAAGTAATAACAATAATAACACACAAGGAAACAGCCATCGTATGATGGATGGAATAATAGTAGACGGGCTTGCAATAGGAAGCGACGATGCTAACATGATTTGTTGTAGGATCGAGTTACATGCATTGTTGGTTCTTTTTAAATGTTGTTGTCCCTTTCATGCTCAAATCCAAGTCTTCTTGGTACTGAAAAAGCCATATTTGGCAACAATTTAAGACAACGTCAGACAAGGGAAGGCTTTCGAAAGGTAAGCAGTTTTCTTTGGTCATTGAAGAGAAAAGACGATGAAAGCTATATAAAACAGAGTATTCCAAATTACAATAACCAAGAAGGAACAACTGCCGTATACATTGGAAATGAAACATACACAACTCTCTACTTGCACTTGGAGTTCAACTCAAATCACAAGGTTCTTTTCTGATCGCTTACATTGGCAGCAACGGTGATAACTTCGTCCTTTAAAGGTAAGGATTTAAGTATTTTAGCAAGCATAGAAGTTACACAAGAGATTGCATTTGTTGTTCTGTGGAGTTCTCACCTCGAACGAGTATCGGCACTGTTCTGTGTAATACAACATGATCGGCTTCATTAGGAAATGCTGAGGTGAAGAATCTTGCCTCAAATTGGGAAGTTGGCTTTATTCGTAGAATCATGATTTACATTCTAACAGTTGGGAATTCTCAAATCGATTCTGCAATGAAATCACGCCAGTTCGGACTTGCTTGACGATTTTACCCAACCCAAAAAAATGTTACCACAACACGCCATGAACCCATCCGAGGAAGGCTCATACATGACCAAAGAAAAGTTTAACTCGCTGCTGCTAGAAGTCTTCTTCTTCAAGAAGCTCCCATGCGAAGAAGTTGAGGAGAATTGTGACTGCTGCGTTTGGTATGCGATTTCATGGATGATTCTCGTATCGTAACGGAATGGAAGAACAATTTCCATGTTGACATCCATTCAATTCAAAACAGTATCGAAAGTTGGAGACAGACTCAAACCTCTCCCAACACCATTTCAATACCGCACGGAAAATCGCTCTCTAGCATGCTAGACGAACAAGATATCATGCCTTTCTACTTGAAAGGAAATAATGCATGTCTTGTTGTCAGAAAAGCTTCTAGCGACATTACAGATTACAAGTTCATAGCCACAGCCTTTCAAATTCATCCAACAAACCAAGAACTCATGTCGAATCAGGGCTACCCAATAATAACAGCTCCTGAAATGTCTGTTGGTGTTTATGATGATTGCTTGCTGAAGTCTGAAGACTTTATTGATCAACTACAAACTTTATGCATGCATTTAGAGGAATCAATACCTACTTCATCCAAACATCACAGAAAGCAGGCTGAGGTTAGAGATGTTGCATCTCCAAAATTAGTTTTCGAGTGGCTGTTACCAACCCTTTCCGATAATGTTGGCCACGTACCTCTCACAACCATTCAAAAGAAAGTTAGAAACTCTGTTCAATGGAAGGACTGTTTGAAACCATATAGACGCTCGGGCCTTTGGATGTGCATCAAGACATGTTTGCATTTGAACTTGGTGTGGCTGTTTGGTATTGAAAAAGGTACACTTCTGTACAAAATATTCATGTTACAGCTTATGAGCTATTTATGTTTAAAAAGCAAAGGAAAGCTGTCACATGACCTGGTCATGCAAATGCTTTCAAAGATGTCTGTTAGGATGGCAAAGTTGGAGACCATGATTGAGAATTATTCAACTCGTACAGCTGACAAAGATATGATTGTTGATATTCAAGCATGTGAATCCTTGACAAACCTTGTTTTACAGAAATCCTTAGAGGTTGTCGAGAAATTGAGATTAGGTGTAGACCATTGGTGGTCAAAAACAATGGAGACATTCTCAAAAGAAAACTCTTTTGCAATGAATTTTGACCGTGTAGACGTTAAGAAGGATATACGCTTATCTCTTCCAAAGTCATCAGAGCATTTAAACGGTTTTAAACAACTACAACACAATACTATTGGCAAGTTATATGAACACAAACCACCAAAGGACACTGGATCTTCTGAAAGAGATGACTTTGAATACCTATGTGCAATCGAGGACTTTATTCGAAAAGATATGGTGAACACTATCGTTCAACAAGACTATAGCATTCACTATTCAAGCGAGCTGTTTGACAAATTGAAACAATACCACCCTAAGGCAATGAAATTTTATAAGAATGATCCTGTTGGGAAAAGTAGACTGTTCTTGGCTGTCTTTAATATTGTTCGTGGGTTGCATATGATTGCTGTGAAAAACATGCCTCTACTTGCAAAATATAAATCTGGGGTAGATGTCAGCACCATTCAATCCCTATTGTTGTGCTCACAAGCAGATCTACAATATGCGTACGAACTGGAACATTATTTTAACGAGCACGATCAAAGCGCCTCGAACAATTCAGATTTTCTTTATGACACTTTCTCCCCCCAATCCTTTTGTGTTCGGTATGCAGAAGGTAATGAATCCATGAAGAAGACTTTACAACAAATTCTTGACAGAATGGAACAGAAGAAAGAACAAAAGCTTAGGGAAGTGAGGGAAATGAAAGAAAAGTACGAAAATCTGCAAAGAGAGATTCGAAATTCAAAGTGTGAATATAATGTAGACAAATTTGGTTACTCCAGACATTCAAGATGGTGTCACAAGTGCAATTTAGTGAATGAATGTAGCAATATGAACATATTCATTTACGAGAAAGATCTACCAGAGGAGCCATATTTGAGGAATGCTATTGTATTTGAGCTAAACCTACCCCACTCTATGGTTACTAAGGGATGCATTTCACATTTTATGCTCAATGCAAAAACGAGTTAGAGATGGTTCTAACAAAGCGTATTGCGAATGGAGATCTTCGTTTGGATTATCAGAATACACCTCCGATTCTTATTCGCCACTTTATGTAAAGCTGAAGAGTACTGTCAAAAGCTTTACACAATCACACTACAGCACCAAACATGTTACATACTCTGAAGACACATTTATCCAGCACAATGGGTGTAATGTTCGAACAGTGAATGCTGAGAGTAATCAAGTATTGGTTTACTCTCTACCAGAGGTGGGAACTCAAGATTTCTATTTCCCCCTTGAATCAACGCCGTATAAATCTCTGGATTGGACCGTCCATAGCTGCGCACATTCTCACAAAGAAGTACTCGCAAAGCAAAGCACGTGCCATGCGAACCTTAGCTTATCAGAATTTATTGAATTTGGCTTTGTACGTTGTGGCCACCGTTTACAATTCCATAACTTGGCAAAGTGTTTGGCCAACGAGTCACTTTCATTTGACACACAGGACGTACAAAGACTGATATTGCAAAGTATCTGGCAAGCTTGCCTTAACGGTGAAACAAGTAGTGAGTGGTACAGAGAAGCAAATCAATGTTTAAGAGAAACAGATTTTTCATTGACCTTACTGAGTTTATTAGAAACATTATTGGACAAGTACAAGGAAAATTGGAAATCTGTCTCTATAGCATGCATGATGGTTTATATGACTCTACGAATTCTGCAAGTCACTGATTCAGATCAAGTCAAAAATCGCTGCATTTCATTGCTAGGGAATGTAAGAAAGACAACATGCCAGTGGGAACGTTTAGTAGAGGAATTGTTACCAAAGATGCATGACGCACCCACTCGTGAACTTGTAGCGATGAGAAATCATTTGGTACAGATTTGTTGCTGTACTGCAATGACATACTCCGTACCTCCTCTTCATGTTTCTACCTTATTCGAAAAAGATCCTGACGCTTTGCAAACCTGGCTCAAGTCCTCACCATTCTACATGATAACATGCTCTTAAACAAAGGAACAGATTCCTATGGAAGTTTTATGTCGTTTCTACTTCGTCAGTATTACATGACCTCTCATAATATTGAGATGGCTATTCACAACGAGATCCAAAGAGATCCATCGGTACTCTCTAAATTCATTACCTCTCACTGGAAAGAGGCCTGTAAGGGAGAGTTACGACCATGGAAGCGATATAGTCACACGGAAGCGCATCATAGATGGTACCATTCTACATTAACAACTGACCTTGGAACTACCATTATCGAAATAGATGTATTAAGAGGATCTTTTTTAGTTGACGGCGCCCCCGTTGGACGACTTTCATCGAGCGTGACGGCTCATCCAGATTACATTCGTCTTTTTTCAAATTATGGTTAGTAATTTTCTTCTTGTTAAATCATGAGTTTACCAATCATCACAAGTATTTGACGTACAACCTGGCAGTGTGAAAGGAACGTATGTGACCAGAGCTCAAATCAATGGAGCTTTTTACAAATTTAGCCAATTTGGAGATACTATCGAGATCATCGAGCAAAGGCCAGAGAGAGAGTTAAAATTATTTTCTGACACCTTTTTTGGCACAGATTTGCCATATGGTTTTGTTAATGATTACAGTCATTGGTTTGACTGTGTCAGTAATGAAATTTTATTCCGACCAAAGAGCTTCTTTGACCCTAATTTCGTCTCTGAAGTCGAATATATTTTAGACCTCAATGAAAATGTGCTGACTGAAAAATCTACAGGCCGTAAATTGTTGGATGTTCATGGAGGTATTTTTCGAGAAATTTTAAAGCCAATGTCTAGAATTGAAGACTCTCTCTTTCTCCATTTATTTGTTAATGCAACAATGGATGAAATAACTTTAGATTTGCCAAGAAAGGGATTACATTTTACCTTGATGGAGTACAAATATCTTAAATCTAAAGAATTTGATATGAATGTAGTGGAGCATTGCAATATTGGAACTCTAATTGGGCTACGAAGCGGAATAGTACTTGAATCTAAGAATTGTGAAAGGATTATTCTTGTCCCCTGTGGAGCTTTACATGTGTCACGTAAAAACGAAACTGGACATCAACAAGTACAAATAATTAACAGTGACAGAGAATATCCAGTCAAGTATTTTGCATATAGAGTCAACAATTTACTTTGGCAATTGGAGGGCGAAGACAATTTATCCTCTTGGTTGTTTTTGGCTCTTCTCCATGCTACTACTTCATCTGTAGTCGAAGACCCTTCACAAGACAAACAGGCACAGAGACTGCGTTACATATTTTGCATTCCACTCGCATCTGGCAACAACAACCACTGAAAGAATTTGATCTGTCGCTTTTACTCCAAATAGCAAAACTATCCCCTACTCGAGAATATTACCCATATCATTTGCATGAAATGGAAAACGCAACTTGGCCAGCTGATATTCCAAGTATGGCTGCTCATGACGCATTTATTATCATAGCCTCCAAGATTTATGAACACTCTCAATCATTATCATTTTTATATCCTCAACCAATGAAGGATGAAAAAAAGCAACCACCTTTTCCACACTCATTATTCCTTAATGAAAGAGCATATTTTCAATCAATTAACAAGTATAATAGCAATGCTTGGTTGTCATGTGACAATTACTCTACCAAACAAGTGAGCAATTTTAGCTTGCCTAAGAAACAGTTAGAGCCTTCATCAAAACAAGATACAATTCGAAGGTTAGCATGGAGCTCTAGGACCAAATCTCTATATGTAACAGCGAACATTCAATACGAGGTTTACGGGAAAATGACAGAATTGAAACAAGTTCAAGAATTTCCTTCAGTCGTGGAATGGTTCACACTCGATGATATTCATTGTTACTTTTTGTCATTGTATCATATCGTTGTAACGAAAAGCAATAGTTTTGTTACCTTCCTTCTTTCATACTTAGGCTACAAACATGGTTCTCGATATGAAACATTGTTGGCTTATCTGTTGGCCATCCATAATAGACGAAAACAATTCCCACAATTACCAGCCACAACAAAAAAATTGAGAACGTGAAAGAAATTTCTTTAAACGAACAAACCTTAAAGGACCACCTGAACTCGGATTTTGTGAGCTTTGATAATGCTCCTCACTCACCTCAACGATATTATGAACAACCTCAAGAGTACAATCGCAGGATAAACCTCGAATACGAACAAGAGGCGCAATCAAGAAAGAGTGCCATGTTAACAATTATTACAACTTTCTTTGACAGATCCAAAACAATATCCTACAGCGACATTTCTTCTCATTCGCAATATTTTTCATGGCAAAGTTTACTCCCAAAACTCCAGAAGTACATGAAAGAAGTTAGCATGAATATCAAGCTAAAGGAATTTTTTGACACAATTATCAAGGGACTCAAGACGAGCCCTATTTCCACAGTGCCTCACTTGCCATCTTTACATTTTCCTGAGAATACTTTTGAACACAATGTAAAAGCAAACTTTGATATTCTCACACACATGTTTAAGATCAAACGTTCTCAGTCATCCTCTGTATTGAACACAGGTATTTTTCGAACAGCCAAACTGATATTCGAGACTGGAAAAATTCCAGATACCTCATTTGACAGCTTTTTCACATCAAACAATAGTTCCTTGTTTTTGGAGTACATGGAGGAGCTTGTCACAAGTTATCAAAGTACCGTTGATAGCAGAAACAAGATAGAGAATGAACAATGTGTGACCTCAACTTTGGATCAATTATGGAAAACTGTAGAAAAGCTTTACGAACCATGTCGGATACCATCATCAAAAGCATGTTCCAAAGCAGGATTGTGGCCCAAGCTACTACCAACGAGAATTCTCTCACAACTACTATTCGAAAACAAATCTAATAATCCTTTCTTCCATCGAGATCTAGTTGGAGCCATTGCCATATTATTCACTCATCAACAACGTTTTAAACGATTACAAGCACTCTCTTTGGACATGAACAAAAAAGTACTCTATGAAAGAGAGCTCGAAAATACAGGACATGAGAATTGGCAGCCAAGCATGTACCCTGAATGGCTCATATTAGAAATTGAAATGAATATGATGATTCGTCCTATACAATTTGAGGTTGCCTCTAACATGATGTACTGCGATAGTAATATGGTGATGCAATTCAATATGGGAGAAGGTAAAACATCTGTAATTATCCCAATGCTTGCATTGAAATTGAATACTAACCAACTTGCACGGTTAACAGTGTTGAAGCAGCTACTTAACACCAATTTTACTTCACTCGTATTCAAGTTAGGTGGTATTTTAGGAAGAAAAGTATTAACAATTCCTTTTTCAAGAGACACAGAATTGGAGTCACAACAACTCGATCAACTGAAACAGTCTTTAGTGAACTTGAAAGAACAAAAGGGAGTGTTAATCACTGTACCAGAGTATCGATTGTCGTTTGAGCTGAAAGGTTTAGAAACGGGTTTAAAAACTCAATACATGTTGTCAAGAAAGTTTATTGAACTGCAAGAGTGGATGGATACAAATTGCAGAGATGTATTAGATGAGTCTGACGAAATATTACACGTTCGATATCAATTAATATACACAATTGGAGATCAACTATCTCTTGATGCGGATTCATTACGTTGGACAATGCTACAACGAATTTTCAGACTTATAAAAAGACGTGCCAAGACATTTGCTGAAACATTTGAGCGAGAATCAGAATTTCATGCAATCGATGGTTCATATCAGTCAGAGTTTCCTCATTTCAGATTATTAGATCGAAATATTTATTCGACAGAGTTTGTTCCAACATTAGTGCAAGATATTTTAGATGGACATGCAGCCGATATCAATATTCCTTTTAAAAAAGAACATCGACCACTCTTGGAAAGATTCATGACTAAGGAAGAGGTTTCACAGAGCGAAATGGATCAAGTTCAACAATTATACGAAGACACGGTCACATGGAATGAATTGTTGATCATGAGAGGTCTTTTTGCATATCAAACTCTATTTCATGCATTGAACAAAAGATGGAGAGTCAATTATGGAGTACGAGAAAATAGCACCAAACTAATGGCTGTTCCATTCAGAGCCAAAGATGTTGCATCAGAAAGAGCAGGTAAGTTATTCTCATCATTTGTGTTTTGATATATATATTTGTGTGAAATTGCTTTTATCGTTAAAGAATTTGGACATCCTGATGTTGCAATTTTACTCACTCTGTTAAGCTATTATTACTCTGGATTGTCACATGAACAACTAGATACTGTTTTTAAATCATTAGAGTGTATGCAAAATCCGGATATTGAATATCAGAAATGGTTGAGTGAGACTCCATGCAAGGAAAACATTCCATCATCATTGAGATCCTTTCATTCTATCAACCTTTCTGACTATCAGCTTAAAAATCGCCAACTTTACCCCATGCTTTCAAGAACATGTCAACCGTTGATTTTTATTTAAATCGAGTTGTTCTTGCTCGAGAATGCAAACAGTTTGAACACAAGCTATCAAGCAGTGCCTGGAATTTATGCAAAAAGGCACAACATCCGACCTGTGGATTTTCAGGAACAAAATCATGCTTATTACCAACCTCAATTATTCCTAATGAACTTCCAGCACTCAAAGGCACTTCGGAGATATGTTCAAAAAGCTTCTTTTGAAAGAAAATGGAGACTATCACGTCATTGAACCCAACATGACCACAAAGAATGTCATTCAACAAATTTGTGAATGTAATCCTCCCATTCGAGTGTTATTGGACGTAGGAGCTCTCATGTTGGAGATGAGCAATGAAGAAATAGCTTTGGAATGGTTACGCCAAATTCCTAAAGACAAAGGCATTGATGCCTCTGTATTTTTTAATGAGGAAGATAGAATCATGGTACTCGATCGAAATGGTATCATTACTCCACTCGAGTTGTCACCTTATAAAAACTCATTAGATAGATGTGTTACGTATTTGGACGATATACATACACGAGGAACTGATCTCCGATTTCCTGCAGCAGCAAAGGCCGCTGTTACTTTGGGACAAGGTGTCACCTTTGAACGATTGTCACAAGCATGTATGCGAATGAGATTATTTGGAAAGGGACAGACTGTTGCATTTTGGGCCTCAAAAGAAGTCGACACAAATCTTTGTTCCTCTCAGTATGACTCGTGTAAAAACATTCAAGAGAAAATTGTCAAGTGGTCAATTTCTAATCGAATTAGTATGGAACAAGAACATTATTTACAATGGGCAACTAATGGCTTACTATTCTCTATTAAGCAATCTGCGAAATTAAGAATGAAAGCAAAAGATGATGACTTTTTAGCATACATTGAGATGCAATCTGCGAAATTAAGAATGAAACAAACAGATCATACCTTAATAGAATACATTAAGAGATGCAAAGAAGATGAGATTACTAAATTACAACTTTTTTATGGAAATGAAAGAAAATTACAAACGATTGCAGAAATATTTGATAAACGATTGGTCAACATGAAACAAGACTATGATGAACAACACTCAGAATTTGCAGAAACAATTTCCAAAATCAAGAGCAATATACAATCTCGAATGAATGACAAGAAATTTTTTTCACAACTCTTAAACGAGGAACAAGAACGAGAACTGGAACATGAATTGGAATTGGAAAAACAAGTGGAAAGACCTCCGCTACAAAAGGCTGCCGAGAACATCATCTCACCTGATGTACAGATGTTTTTCGTTCGTGGAACCATTCCATGCTTTTCAACAAATATTCATTCATTAGAACATGCCTTTGAAAAGACAAGTTTGTCCAATACTTGCATCCAATCATGCTGGAAACCAGTGCTATATGCAAGCAAAGAATTCATAGAGGTTGTTATTGAACACCTATTGGTCAAACCGAAACATGATGACTATATGACACCATTGACATGGATTGCTTGCTCTAAACATAATCCCAACATTGCATTAATATTGAGTCCCTTTGAAGCCAATTACTTCATTCAGAGAATCACTCCAAAATCACCTGTGCGGTTGTACATGTTTTGCCCAAGATTGAGACCTCAAAGTCGAATGTTATTTGATGAATATCAATTTTGTACTCCATGTACTCCTTTGACAAATTCAGAACGAGAATTTTCTCAATCTCTATGCACTGATTTGCATGTTTTTTCTGGATCGCTATATTTTGGCAACTTGAAAGAACAGCAAGAATTGTGTGATTTTATTGGAATTCGACCAAAACCCTATGAAACGGCTGCTGAACAAGAAGCATTTGAGAAGGGTGATATTAATGAGTTTGGTCATATCCACCGTGAAAGCAATTATTTTTCGATGGAGTTGGAATCGAAATGCAGATTCAAGATACAACATCCTGTGGAAGAATTTAGAAAGTTATTGATCATTAGGGACAAAGCTTCTCTTTTTGAAATTTCTCATATGGCCAACATTTTGGTTAAGAATCAAAAGATACAAGATCTTGAGCAATAAATAGTCAATGCATCAAGGTCAAGAATACATGTGATTACAAGACGAAATTTATTAATTACTAATGGTAAAAGTGTACATAGTTGCAGAAATATTTCAAATTATTAGGCTCAATTTTACATAACTCAAGCAAACCATTATTGTCAACACTTATCTCAAGATGCGTCAGGTTTTGTAGAGATGACAAGTATTCGTATGATATACTAAATCCAATGTAAGGTATACCGCAATAGTCCTCTAAACAGAGTTTTTCAATTGAAGTAATCTTGCCAATACGCAATATACAATCATCATCAAATGATCTACATCCTATAAATGTCAATTCTTTCCATGAAATTCCACTATTTAACACGTTCATTATTCCTTCTTTCGATAATAAATGACGGCATGATGTAAAACTACAAAGATCTGGAAACTTTGAGCAGTCAATTAGTGGAACATATTCGATAAATCCATCAGTTTGAAAGGTTGTTCCAATGGGATCAGTAAATTCAAGTTTCTTCAAACGCTTCAATTTGTTGGTTGTCAATAAGTGCTCAGCTCCTTCGCTTCCAATCTTATTGCCGATGGTAAGATGTGTCAAATTTTTCAATTTTGAGTTGGCAAGAATTAATCCTGCTCTTTGATCAATATCATTTCCGATCAATGTCAACTCTGTTAAACTCTCTAATCTATTACATATAATTCTCAAGTTTTCCATGCTCACACTAACATTAATCAATTTCAAATTCGTGAGTGATGAAACTTGTCTAGAAGGAATATCTTTTGTGATGACATTGGTGGAATGTAACGTTAATGATTCAATTTTTTTCGAATTGAATAATCGTTTAAACACTGATTGTTTAAATGTTACATTGTCGTTTCCCTTTCTCCCAATATTTCCGACAAACGAGAACTCTGAAAATAGTTCATTCAAGTCACCATGTACCAAGCCACTCATTTGCGAGTCGGTAAGACTTGAAACATGAGCTTAGAGGTACTATACTGAACGGAGCTACACTTTACACCTCTCACTTTGGTTGCTTTGACAATTCTTCTCCATTCCGAGCATACACCAGCAAATGCAATGAGACTTTTTGCATCAAAACATGGAATTATTTCATCGGAAATTACATCTTTACTCAATTTCAAAATAATTTCACTTTTCCTCTTTGTGTTGTGTTTCTTATCGGACGAGCGTGTTGTTTCATCATTATTTTCAGGTACGGCCGTAAAACAACAACCCTGCAAAAACGCTCTCATTTTTTTTGTAACACAAAAAAAAACAAACCAAGAGAGGGTTTTGGGTTTGAACACAAAGGATTAGATTCGTCAGAATTCAGTTATCAAGATAATTGAAAAAGGCTACCTTCTATTCTTTCCATCTGATCATTCACACACCAAATAGACATTTGCACAACAGAAATATATTTCTGAGATAGCTCTCTTTTGTAACATCGCCTTGCTTGATAGCATACGGTTGTATCAACCAGTCACTTGCATTTCAACTGCAGAAGTCAGCTTCTTTTTTTATTCGTCCAAATTTGTAACAAGACTCCTTGAAAATTAATGTTTTTCCAAACATATTCGATGAAAGGTTATGAAAGCTATTTAAAAAAAAACACCAAATTGTGTTCTCTCTTCGTGTTGTTTGTGGCTGATTTGGATTGACGCTGGCGTTAGAGAATCATCTTCATCATCAATAACATCATCTTCCTCATCATCTGAGATAACTTCCAGAGAGAGAGAGTTGAGTCAGGACTCCACCCTGCAGATTATCGCATTCACTTCCTGTAGCGGGCCTTAAATCAACTATACATTGATTTTATTACAAACGTTTTTTACAATTATTGAAAGAGATCTCGCACAAAAGTGTTGAAAAGAGTCTTGTTATTCTCTCAACATTGAAAAAGTTAACACAAAACAATTCATACAACACCCTAGAGGTTCTTCTTTTGAATTTGTGTGAATCATCATCTCTTGAACCACCCACATTCAACACTATCCAACTACTTTTTCTGTACATATTTTCAAACTCATCAGTGTATATTCTAATTCTTCAACAACAACAATAATAACAACCACATCAACATGGGAAATACAACAACATCTGCGAGAGGAGCATCTTCACCCTCTGTCGTGAATCGTTCCATGATGATCAACCAACAACAACAAAATCCATCAACCACCACATCCACGTCGGGTAAAAGAGAACAATTCAAACAAGTTTCTATGAAGAAGAAGAAGAACATGATAAGAGCAAGTACCACCTCGCAGCAACCTCACCACTTCTCTGTATCCTCATTGCCAGCAGAGACTGTACCTCACCACTCCCACACCAATCTCATAAATCCCTTCAATCACCCCAGGCTCTCTCTCAACTCCAATATTCAAGCTCTCCTTCCATCTCGGTACGAAAGAAGAAGATCAAAACACCTCAATCTCCAGAGAGAAAGAATCACCGAGGTAAATCCCCATCCCATCATAAGAAGAGTGAGGAATCACAACTTTCAAAGACCACTACCACTATGGCTACTCAAACTGCACGATCTAAGGGTTCTAAAGGAACTAATGCTGAGTCAGCTATGGATTTTCAAACCAAGCCTACACAACCTGCTAACGACAATCCTTGCAACTGCGACGATGAAACGAGTCTTTCATTGGATGAATCGGAAATTATTGAAGATGTTGAACAAGATATGGAAGAACGATCCAGCATGTTCCGAAGATTTAGTAGTATTCTAGGCGATGATGAAATGCTCTTTGATATGTATTGTGGAAGTAGTAATCCTCATTCCATGATGAATACTCAAGATGAAAATTTACTTGACAATGATTATGAATTCAATGACGATCCACCCTCTCCTCATGCTCCCACTGGTTTAACGCCACCATCGTGCTGTGTTTCATGCTCCATTTGCGGAAGTGCCAACCACACGACTGCCACACCTCAAGGTCATCACATGAGCAACGCTTCCACGCCTCATCATCATTGTTGTGGCTATAAGACTCCATCAGCAACGACGAGCACGAGTGTTGTTTCTGCAGGTTCACATTCTTCATTGAGCCTCCATCAACATTCAGCAAGTAGTAGTTCATTGTCAACACTGGTAGGACAACGAGCAAGAGCTGTTGGAAGTCATGTACATTGCAACTCGGCAAGTATGAACTCCTTGTATTCTTCGTCTCATTTGACATCTGGAATGCATGCAGCCATGTCCTCACCTGCCCTTACAAAGCAATCACCCTCGTATAACGATCAATCCATTGCAATTTTGAAAGACTTAATAAATGTAAACACTGGTCTCTGACCTCGATGACAATAATTCAAATAATATATTAAACAAAATTAACTTGTTTGATTTTTCAAATAATTAAAAAATGCAGAGAGAGGACGGAAGAATGATCGAACTCTTGAAACAATGTCCACACATTGCAAGTTTGTCGGAGGAGGAACAACAGGCCTTGATCAAACAGGAGAATTTTCTGAATCATATTCCTCATCCGCACGTGTCTCTAATATTGAAACAACATGATGATAATCAAAGCAATGACCATGTTCCAAAAACTTGCCCATACTTTTCGTCCAACGAAGCAGTGTCCGAGGCTTCATCTTCTTCAACAAGCAACAACCAAGAGTTGAAATGTCCCTATCAATCTGTTTTAAATGGAGAGCAATCTGCAATGAAAGCCTCTGATTTCAAATGTAACAAATGTTCTGCCTATTTGATTGGCTGCATGAGCTCCAAAACAGAATCCCTTTGTAAATATTGTTATCAAGAGTTAGTGAATACCAACGAAGGACAACACTCAAATTATGAAAGTGATGATTTCAAACAGCACCTAACAGACAGTTATGTAGAAATATTATTTGAAAGAAACGAGAATGAGAGGAGCAAAAACAACAATTCGGAGCTAAACGAAACTGAATTGAAATTACGAAGAATTGAATTTTATACTAATTTAGCAAAACAAGAATATGCACTAAACAAAAATTGTGGCCCCTATTGGATGGAGAAAGCAAGAAGCATTGCATTTAAAGACATTTTCATTGCCACACATTCCAAATGTGAATTGCATCCAAAACTATTGATTTTGTTTTGTGTTACATCCGGCTATTTGAGCGACATGTTGCAAACAGTTTCTACTGACTTTACACAAATTACTGAAATGTTGGAAGAAACTATTTCTACAGTTAATAGTGCAACAAGTGTACTACATAATCCATCCACCAATGATAGAGAAGAATTAGCCAAAGTCCTCTCTGTAACATCTATCAAATTGGGAGACGTATTTTCGTACAAAATGAAAAATTTAGAACGAGCCAAGCAAATTTATGAGCAGCTCATTTCGAACAGCCTAACTGTGGAAAGTGTGGTAATATCGCATGCCAAAATTGGAGACATGCATTTGCTCACAAGAGACAGAGAGCAAGCCTTGCAGTACTTCACTCGAGCTTTGGAGTTTTTAAAAACGAGTTCTGCACTTGACGACAAGAATACACCTTTGTACCATTGGATTTCATCAAAAATTCAAAAGCTGACTGATGAATCAAGGCTTTGAAATGCGCAACAACAAATTGAAGCCAGTCTTTTCGACCAACAAATGACTTACAAAAGGAATTCATAAAAAAAAATAAGTTGTTACAATTCTTCTGTAATGATGAATCCAAGACCTGGTAACCCACCAAGTGGCGATGCAAAGTCTCCACAAGGAACTCCCTATGTTGGAAGTAAAATTAGTTTGATTTCCAAAAGCGATATTCGTTATGAGGGTATTCTGTTTAACGTGGATACCGTTTCTAGTACTGTAGCTTTGAGAGATGGTATGTAATCCGCACATGTGTTCTTGTGTTTTCTAACAATCATAATTTCTATTTGTCTATTCATCACCACTATTGTATCAATGCTTTACGATCCTTTCATTTTGAATTGTTTTTAAATATTAATAATTATTTGGATGATGATTACATAATACATCATACAACACCTTCATGATGATGATGATGAACTGATACAACAATACCGTATCATAATTCCCATAAATAATAGTCAAAATGTTTGGTACTGAAGGAAGAAAACAAGGAGAACAAATTCCTCCTCTCGACAAGATCTATCCCTTCATCATCTTCAAGGGAACTGACATCAAGGATCTCACAGTTTGCGAACCTCCTTCTCAACCACCTCAACAACAGCCACAACAACCAATGATTCCTTCATCATCAAGATTACCGCAAAATGAAGTTGGTGGAATGCCATATCCAACACTTCCAATGGGAGGAAATAATCCTCCTGGTTTTCCAAATCCTGGAATGATGCCACCAAACATGAATCCTTACATGAATCCATACTTTTATCCTCCTTATGGTGGACCAATGGGATTCAACCCAATGGGAATGCCAAATCCAATGGTAAATATGCCTCCTAAAAACGTTCCTCCACCACAACAGCAACAAACCCAGCTTCCACCAACGCAAACCATTCAACAATCACCAAAACAACAACAACCGGTAGTTACAACCTCTCCTCAGCCACAAGAGCAAGTTTCACAACAATTAAAATCTAGCGAGGTTGTTTCTCCTGTGGCTACTACAGCAACTTCTCCTGCTGTTTCAACAAGCGTTCAAGAGGATGTTAAGCCAGTAACAACAGCACCAACCACTACCACAACAACAGCCACTGCTGCAACAGCAAGCACTTCCGATAAGCCAGCAACAACGGGTGCTTCCAAGAAGGACAAAAAAGCATTCGAGGAGGAGTTTGACATTCAAGCTAATCTTCAAAAGCTTGACAAGAATGTTATTGCTAAAGAATTAGAGGAAAAGCATATTCACAAAGGATACGACAAATCAAGTGGCTTTTTCGATACAATTAGTCGTGAAAGTGATGAAAAGAAAAATAGAAGAACCAAACAAGAAAGACAAGAACAACAAAGACTTGACTTGGAAACATTTGGAGAGACCATGTCGAACGGAAGCGGAAGAGGCGGTCGTGGTGGTAGCAGAGGTGGAAGAGGCCGTGGTGGTAGTAGAGGAAGCTCATCATATCGAGGTGGAAGAGGATCTAGTACCAGAGGAAGCAGTAGAGGAGGTAGAGGAACTTCAAGAGCTGAATCCAATGAACAACAATAATTTTCTTTCTTGACATGTTTTCACGAATGTACAAAAAGAATTGAACTAAGCATTAATATAAATTCGAATTTGATGTCAAGAATACTGTCAAAGAATTTTAAGTTCTCTGCCATTTGAGGGTCTAATGTTTCTCAGAAAAGTTGACCAAAACATCATCCGTTTATGGCTCGCTTAAAGGGCACCTGAATGGGCATACATCTAACAACTCAACCATTGGATACCATGAACACGATTATTGGTGAGATTGATCAAATACCCGACATGCGACAAGTTGAAGGGACAAGTAAGCCATAGATGAACTGTGAAGATGTTTGAAAAATGGAAACTCAAGAGAGTTCGGCTGTTTCATTTTCATCCTGACAGATGAATAGATTTCATTGCTCAACGACATCAAAATACTTCAAATCAGCAAGGGTTCACTTTAAACGTGTAGAGAGAGAAAACCTCAAGGCTCTGATGGTTCATTGACGGACACAATTGTCGCATCCTCACCACAAACAAAAAACATCATGTCCAACAACCAAGAACCAAGTCATGGAAAGCACACCTTTTCGAACCTTGTATATCCCATAGTTCCTCTCTACTTGTGGATTTTGATGATAGATTTCAGTCGTTGTATATCGCAAACGCCATTTTCTTGTATGAACTCTCATGTTGTTCCCATCAATTATTCATTCCTTCTTCCCTCTCATGTTCCTTTGGATAGTTTAATCCATCTTCAGAGATGGTTCGTATCTGTGAATGTGTATGTGAAACGACTCGTTGTTTGTTATTGTTGTTGGAAGATTGCCACTTGGGACACTGATGGAATATTAGCAATGAGAGGAAATGTTAGAATAGTTTTAATGAAGATGGTATTTGGAGTGATAATGTGGGCAGAAATAGCGTTTGTTATGGATAAGGATCATTATGGGATTTTGTTGTTCATGTTATGTCAAGTCTTACTCGTTGCAAGATTTATTCATGACATTTGGCATTTGATGTCCTTCGCTCCAAACCACAACAACAAACTGGTTGCAACATCATCCACTGAATCGGATCCAGCGCAAGACTTGACAACATCAAACACTCTCCACCACTCTCCACAACAATCATTTTCCTCTAGCTCTCTTTGGCTGTGCTGTCTTGTCATTTGTGTTTTTCTATTTACTTTCCAATATTTGATGATTCATTACATTTACACTCCCTTACAGGCAACAACGATGAAAGAAACACCTTCCTCAACTTCAAATCATCTCCTTTTTGGAATTTCATTGTATTGTTTTCTTCTTGCTTGTTCGACGAGTTTGAGCGTCATTTCTTTCTTCCAATCCATCATCCACACGAGATGCTTTATGTACCATGAACTACGAGTTTCTCAGTTATCTTATCAATGTTCCTTGTTTTCCATGTTGGGAATGATCTTGTTGTATATGTGTGATATTTGTGTTGGATTTGATTTGGTATTAAAGAAGGGGAGTAATGAATGGTTATGGGCCAATTCTTTCATTTGGGTGTTTTATGTTCCTTCCTTGATTTGTTTGACGTGGAGTAGTTGTGGTTGTTATTAACGTTGAGGTTCACAAAATATTTTTTTTCCTAACTAAGGAAGTGATCATTTCAAGTTCAATAAAAGAGATGAATACCATTTGGATAAGTTTTTTAAATCATTTGGAATAACAAATAAAAAGACCCGCATTTCCACATTCATGAAAATTCATTCATAATGGGATATACGACCTTTTCATTATAAATTGCTCCAATATCAATCCATTGCTAAAAGAGTCCAACGAGGTGTTAATATCCGAAATCTCGTTGGACTCTTTTAGCGATTACGTGATATCAGTTCATTTACTATTCTGCTGCTTCTTCGTGAGAGAGAATACGTCGAGAAAAATTCACAGCAGCTTTTAGCATGGACGGAAGACCTCCACACAACCATTTGCCTTCTTCAAGTCGAGTGGAAAGAAGAAGAACAACAACAACAACAACACGACTTTCTCAATTCATTCTTCCAATTCTTCCTCTCTATTTCTATATTGTGTTCTTTGATTTTAGTCGCTTCTTCTTGTCCATGAACTTGTATTCATCATCACATCTACTGGCGGGGAAGTGGATGTCTCAATTAAGTTCTTTGTTTTTTCTCCAAGATCATGATAGTTTCAATCCAAGACTTTTACAACAATTTCTCCAGTCGTATCATGGGTATGTGAAACGACTCATTGTTCTGTATTGTTGTTGCAGAGTTTTCTTTACGCTTCGAAATGAAAATGATTCTTTTGCACCATTCATCATGAAAATGGTATTTGGAGTCATCATGTGTGCAGAGATTGCCTTTTTGATGGAACACGAATTGAATGGTATTCTATTGTTCATGCTTTGTCAACTCTTATTAATAGTTCGATTTCTTTATGACTTTTGGCATTTGTTCGAGAAAAACTATTCTCCACCCAGCAGCTTGATCAATTCTTGCAAGGCAGAACCATCCATCATGGATCCAGCTCTAGTTGTTTCCAATCCACCCAAACATGCTTTACACACATTCGTCATCACAAGAACCAACCTCTTCTCCTATTGGTCTTGTTGCATTCTCATTTGTTTCATTCTATTTACAGTGTTGTTCTCCATTATTCATTATTGTTATGCTCCCTTACTTGTTGAAAAATCTGCTTCTTCCAATAGTTTACTTTATGGAATTTCATTGTATTGTTTTCTGTTGTTTGTTCGACAAGTTTGAGTGTCATAAATTATTTCATTGCAAATCAGTGTTCTTGTTTGTCCGATTCTGAATATTCTTCTTCCAGGATTAACATGATAGGAATGATCTTGTTGTATATGTGTGATATTTGTGTTGGATTTGATTTGGTATTAAAGAAGGGAGTAATGAATGGTTATGGCCAATTCTTTCATTTGGGTGTTTTATGTTCCTTCCTTGATGTGTTTGGCGTGGAGTAGTTGTGGTTGTCTTGACACAAAAGAACAAACCTTGAATGGTAGGATGATCAATGAAAAAGAGATTAATCATTCTTCCTAACATTGAATAGTAAATGGAATAATTGCAATAAATAATACATCATTTAATGTCATCTCTATTATTAAGTCAATGACATTCCAGCTATTGGTGAGCTTGTTAAAATTACCTTAATATACGGCATGATTTTTGATATTCTACTGTACAAGCAGACCCTTTGCAACTTCTTGACTCGCTTCCTTAGAGACCATGAGTTCAATAAGCTTGAGAGCGAAAAATACTGCAGTGAATGGGCCTTGCGATGTCACCACATTTCCATCAACAACCACTTTCTCGTCATGCCAATCATAGTGTGGCATCTTGTCTTTCAAAGATGGATAACAAGTCACTTGTTTCACACCATCTAACAAGTTATGTTTAGTCAATACGAGAGCAGGACTGAAATTTCATCAGATCGGTTGAACACAAAACACACATTGTGCAATATAACAACCAATGAAATGATCATTCTTGAGTTCTCTATTTCATTACTCACCTTGCACAGATTGCAGCAACAATACCGTGTTCACTCTTTCTCTGTTTGGCCAATCGATCCAATAATTTAGTATTTTCAGAGAATATTTTAGCTCCTCCCATACCACCTGGCAAAACGATTGCTCCATACTCTTGATCCAGTACATCATCAAAATGAACATCAGCCTCAACTTTACACCACGAGATCCGAGCACTCGCAATGATGGATCATGCTGTTGTTGTTGATCATGTACTTTGGCAACTGTAACTTGAACATTTCCTCTTCTCAAAACATCAATAATATTTACTGCTTCCATCTCTTCCGAGCCTGTTGCGATGCAAACAAGGGCATTCATGAGTCGGGAAGAAGATCGAGGTGAAACCATTTTTTTGTATGAATATTTTCAATATATAATAATCGGTACTTTTTATGGACATTTCCAAAGCTTGAGAGAGTTCATAGCACTAAATTTCAATGATTCTTATGGAGTGCCATTCTTAAATATTTGCTTTATTATAAATCTTTAATCTTGTAAATTATTTCTTCGTGTTCAAGTTAAAAAAATGAGGCTTGTGAGGTAGGTGCAACTTTTTTTTTTCGGCAACGATGATCACTAATTATTGATGTTTTTATATCGGATCGGATTTGTTGATGATTAATAATTATTTTAATGATGGAAATTTACATTGCATGATATTTACGATGATTTTCTATTGATGCACTGTCATTTATTTTGAAATATATAGATTCCTTATGAAATTGAGCGGAGAATCGGTAACGATTGAATTAAAGAATGGAACAGTTGTTGCTGGAACCATCGTAGGTGAGTAATATTCTAATTCCGATATTTATTTCGTTAATTGTAACATTATGATGTGTCCTGCTCAACCTTACATGATTCAATATTATGATGATGACAACAATTTGACTTGAAATTATTTCAATCATAATTTAGGAGTTGACATGAGTATGAATACACATTTAAAAGCAGTCAAGATGACATTAAAAGGAAAAAATCCAGTTTCTTTGGAGCATATGAGCGTGAGAGGAAGTAACATTCGTTATGTAATTCTACCAGAATCTATAAATTTGGATAACCTTTTACAAGACACGACAGTTCATCCAAAACCAAAAAGGAGAACAGCAGGACAAGTCCAGAGAAGAGGCGGTGGTGCCTCATCTAGAGGAAGAGGTGGAAAACGAAGAGGAGGAATGAAAGTGTAAATGACATTGTGATTCTAATAATCTACTAGCGTACCTGAACAAATTTCAATAATTTCAATAACAATACCCCAATACAATACCCAATAACGATACCATATGATTTATCTTGAACAACAACCAAAGATTACGATCTTATTAAGATGCCAGCCTTGATTGGCTTTGTTAAGCTAACCGAAATGTCTCTATTATCAAGAAAACACAATTTTTAACAGACTTCCTTTTCGGCTTGTGAATTGTTTCCAGATGGCATTTGGCAAGACAACTTTAAAAAGAAAGAATAGCAAATTCTCCATGATCCCGCCTTTTCGGCTTTTATGAAAAGGATCTTCAGTTCGGGAACCGAAAACTTCTACTGTTTAGCCAACCTTTCCTCTAGCGATTTCAATGGGATGACGGTCGCACACCACACCCATCCATGCAGTCTTCCAAACAAAATCAACACACACCACAACTCCATCATTTCACACGCAACCTTCCACTCGTATCATCCCGAACGTACACAACCAAAAAAATGAATCAATCACACAAAGCTGCAACCCATTTGATACGAAAGGTTAATCAAAAGGCATCGACCACCTTCTTGAAATCGTCATCATCAGCTTGCCAAAAAGCTTCCTTCTCAAGTGTTGCTTCCAAGACTCAAAATCCACATTTCGGTATTGTGGGTATGGAAACCTATTTCCCTAATCGTTTTGTTTCTCAATCTGCTTTGGAACAACACGATGGAGTCAGTGAAGGAAAGTACACGGTTGGATTGGCACAATCTAGAATGGCCGTTGTAGATTTGGAGAGAGAAGATACAGTCTCTCTTGCTATGAGTGCTGTTAAGCGTCTCTTTGATAAGTACTCGATTGATCCAAAGCAGGTCAAGAGGCTCGAAGTTGGTACTGAATCTGCCATTGATAAGTCCAAATCCATTAAGAGCTTTATTATGCAAGAATTCCCTCAAGTTGAATACTCTGAAATGGAAGGAATTGATACTATCAATGCTTGTTACGGAGCAACTAATGCTCTCTTCAATGGACTCTATTGGCTCAATTCCGAATATACCACAACCAAGAAGAATGATGTTTACAGTGTAGTGGTTGCTGTTGATATTGCTCAGTATGATAAGGGTCCAGCTAGACCAACAGGAGGTGCTGGTGCTGTGGCCATGTTGCTCGGCCGAGATGCTCCTTTGAGTTTCAGTGATTTCAGATTGAAGGCTTTCCATATGGAACACGCCTATGACTTTTACAAGCCAAAGAAGACAAGTTATTTCCCAACAGTGGATGGACAATATTCAAATATTTGTTATTTGAAGGCTTTGGATATTTGCTATGAGAGATTAAGATCCCGACATGAACAACCAATTTCTGTGGCTGATTTGGACTATTTGTGTTTCCATGCTCCGTACAATAAGCTTGTTCAAAAGTCCTTTGCTCGTATGGTTTACAGTGATTTTGCTTTGGCTGAGGAGAGCCAATTGGAGACATTATTTGCCAAGTATGGAGTTAATGATGATGAAACCAAGACAAAGATTAAGCAATTTGCTAGAAGTCTACCAAGAGAAGAGACCTACAATGACAATGAATCTAGCAAGTTCTTTATTGGTCTTACAAAGAAGATTTATGAACAAAAGGTCGGAGCAAGTACTTACCTTCCAAGAGAGTTAGGTAACACCTATGCTGCCTCTTTATATGCTGGTTTGACTTCTTTGGTTGGTTTGAAGGGTCAAGAACTCCAAGACAAACGCATCAATTTGTTCTCTTATGGATCTGGATTGGCTGCTGCAATGTTTGAATTCCAAGGAAGAGAGACGACTCACAAGAAGCACAGATATCAATTGGAGGATATTAAGCATATTCTCGATTTACCAAACAGACTCAACCAAAGACAAGAGATTACACCAGAACAATATTCCAAGACTATGGATCACAATATGGACGTTTACTTGAAACATGATTTTGTTTCCACTACACCAACTGACTACATTTCATCTGGTGCTTATTATTTGGATAGAGTGGATGACAAGTACAGAAGATTTTACCTTAGAAAGGAGTAAGATGTTGTAAAGTTAAGTGTACAGTAGGGGAGAGGTGGTGTTCATCTTAGCCTGAACAACACACTTTCTAGATTGTTATTACCATTATTTATCTAAGCATGATTTGTTTTAACAACAATTCGTAGAGAGTTGTATTAATTTTGATGACAAGTTGTCACATTAAATAAGTTTGTTTTGAGTTGGGTGTTTTATGTTTATGTCAATGAGAAGAATGGATGGCACGTGCAGTTGATCATTTGTCAACTATCTCAACAACAATCAACTATTATTTGGTTTCTGATGAGGGTGACATTAAAAAATACCACGAAATCCTTATCGAATAATATACAATGAAAAATGTAACGACAATAATTCCAACTAATTGCCACATTTGTTTCCAAGTTCTCACTTCAAATACATGTTTCATGTGCTTCATGACTCCTCCCATTCCTGCTTGTGTTTCCGATGCATTAGCAGTGGTCCTTTTCAGAGAATTTACCTGCGAAGTCACTTCATCTCGCATTTCCCCAGCAATTTGTTTTAATGCTTGACTTGATTTTCCCATTTCCAATGCCACTTGATCAAATTCCGATTCTTGTAAATCATCTTCTTGCTCACTTATTGTTCGATCCCGATATGATGATGATATTGGATTATTCGTTTTTGATTCCGATGAATTATTTTGAGAAGATGTTGTTGAACCAAACAAGGATGATTTTAACTTGCTGGTTGAAGTTGTTGATGGAGACATTTTTTTCATTTTGCTATTTTCAGTTCGACTTGACGTGGAATGCACTTGGCAACGTCTCTTCAATTTTACTGCATTACATGGTGTGTACAAAAGACTCCCTTTGACATGGGAAAATCACAAGCTGCTTGTAGTCCAACAATATTTACAATTCTTCAACATTGGTCTCTACCACTTGACCTTCGAGCGGAGTACTTGTAATATCTAAAGTTTCTTCATTGTCTTCATTCACTTGACCAGAAAAATCGACATGAATCTTGGAATTTTCCTTTACAGTTCCTTCCAACAAGAGTTTTGCAAGTGGTGTCAATAAATTGCTATGAATGGCTCTCTTAGAGGTCGAGCACCAAAATGATAGTCAAATCCAACGTGAGCTAACCAATCCTTTGCGTTTTGACTCACTTCTAAAAGCATTCTTCGTTCTTTGAGTTGTTTAGCAATTCTAGAAAGTTGAATGTCTACAATTTTCTTCATATTTTCCTCATTCAATCGATTGAAGAATACAATATTATCAATACGATTCAAAAATTCAGGTCTGAAATAATGTTTAAACAAATCGTTCACTTCCTTCTTGGCTTCACTTGAAGGAACACCTGCTGGGAGTGAGGCAAATATTTCTGAACCAACGTTGGAGGTCATAATAACAATGGTATTTCTGAAATTGACATGATTTCCTCTTGAATCTGTGAGAAAACCTTCATCCAATAATTGTAACAAGACATTTAACACGTCTCTGTGAGCTTTTTCAATTTCATCAAATAATACAATTTGATAGGGTTTTCTTCGTACAGACTCGGTGAGTTGAGGACTATCCTCATAGCCAATATAACCTGCTGGAGCTCCCAATAATTTAGAAACACTATGTGACTCCATCAATTCAGAACAATCAATTCGAACCATGGCATTCTCGTCATCGAATAAGAATTTTGCCACTTGTTTGGCTAATTCAGTCTTACCAGAACCTGTAGTACCACAGAAAAGGAATGAACCGAGTGGTCGATTTGGATCTGTTAATCCAGCTCTCGAAATTCGAATCGTGTTGCAAATAGCACGAATAGCTTCATCCTGACCAATAATGTTCTTTGAGAGATGTTCTTCCATTTTCAACAATTTCTCTTTTTCACCAATTAATAAATTTTCGAGAGGTATTCCAGTTCGACGTGAAATAATTCGAGAAATGTCAGCTTCCAAAACAGAGTCACTAATTAATGTGAAACCTGTTGAGACTTGTTCAATTTCCTTCTTCAAATCTGGAATGGTCTTGTACTGTAGTTTTGAGGCAGTTTGATAATCTGCTTTACGGAAGGCCTCTTCGAGCTGTTTCTCATATTGCACCAATTGTTGTTTCTTTTCTTTGGTAATTCTTAATCGATCTCGTTCTTCTTGCCATTGTTTGGTAAAGAGATCACTTTGTTTTTGCTCTTCCTCAATTTTCTTTTCGAGTTTCTTGCGGCGTTCAATACTGGCTGGATCTTGTTCATTTCTCAAAGATTCCAACTCGATACGAGAAATAATGATCGAACGATCAATCTTTTCCAAATGTTCTGGTTTAGATTCTTGTTGCAATCGAATAGAGGCTGCTGCTTCATCAATTAAATCGAGGGCCTTATCTGGTAGAAATCGATCAGAGATGTACCGATCTGACTGAACTACAGCACTCACAATGGCATTGTCACTAATTCTAACACCGTGATGAGCTTCGAGATTAGCTTTTCTACCTCTCAACATTGCGATCGAATCAATGACTGTAGGTTCGTTCAAAAGCACTTGTTCGAAACGACGAGCAAGAGCCTTATCTTTTTCAATATGCACTCGATATTCGTCCAAAGTGGTTGCACCAATACAGTGCAGATCACCTCTTGCGAGTGCAGGTTTTAACATGTTGACAAGTCGACGGAACCTTGTGCATTGCCTGCATTGACAATCATGTGAATTTCGTCAATAAATAAAATAATTTCACCTTCATATTCTCGAATATCTTTAAGAATTGCTTGAACTCTCTCTTCAAATTCACCTCTAAATTTTGAACCAGCAACCACTGCTGCTAAATCCAGTGCAATTAATCTCTTTTTCTTAATGCTGTCTGGAACTTCTCCCTTGACAATTCGTTGAGCTAGTCCTTCAACAACGGCCGTTTTACCGACACCAGGCAAACCAATGATCACTGGATTATTCTTTGTTTGACGTGACAATACTTGGATGGTTCTTCGGATGACATCATCTCGTCCAATGATGGGATATAATTTTCCTTTTCTAGCCTCTTCAGTGAGGTCAATACCAAACTTTTTCAATGCTTCTCCCTTCTCAAAGCTGGTTTCCCATGGCATCTTTCCACCCATTCCACCAGCACCTCCAAATTTAGGGCTCATGTTCGTATGAAAGGCTCTCAGCACTAGTCCGCAATCGGAATGGAGATCGTTCGAATCAAATTTGCAGGATTACTATTTACATTGTATAAGAGCTTGATGTTATTTTGCAAGATCTTGTTAGCAGAAGCAGCAAGCTTAATATTGGATAGAAATTGTGCGTTCCTGCTACTATGCAGTAACGATGATGAAGATGACGAGGAGAAAATACGTGAGGTATGTTTGAGCATTTTTTAAATGTTGGTTTGGACTATTTTTTGATTGGAATTTAATGTCGTGTGGATGAATTGGGTCATGCATGGATGGAGCGACAAGAATGGAAAGCTCGGAATTGAAGATTTCCGATGCATAAATTGGATGAGTTCAAAATGAGGAGCTGTTTTAATGTGACAATGTGGACTCGGAAACCAATTGTCTTTTAACAGGGTGAGCACTATTCTTCGTAATGAACAATACTCTTGTTTGTCAATAAGAATGCACAACTTGGGAAGAATTCAAAAAAAATGTCGTCATCTTCGAACATTGTGGATGAGCAGTCTGGCAAGAACAATGAAAAGGGATTTTTTGCTTTGATCCTTTTTTATTGGTGACACTGTGCTGATTGTATAATTCGATTTCAATACAGAGGTATCAACTGATAACATCTGGATAACACATACTAACCAGAGTGAAACGAATTTTTCGAGAATCCCTCATTGATTTCAACCCTGTTGAAACACGAGCAATTCAAGGATCACACAGCCCTAAAAACAGAAAATTTACATTCCCTTCCAAAACGACGATGGTCTTCAAACTAATCTCGGATAATGTGAAAAACGAGATTTTCAATCTTGATGGTCTTCAGGCCAATCTCGGAATACTCAGATTCCGTACACCTTCTAAAAATAAACCTCTCACATCAAAAAAAATGACCAAAGCAGACGTGAGACCAGATTTGAATTCGGGTCTCGAGCAACCTACAACCTCGACCTCGAAGAAGGAAAAGAAGAGGAAACCCTATGTGAAGAGAGCATGTTTGAGTTGTCATTCAGCACACGTGGCTTGTGATTCAGAGAGACCATGTAGGAGATGGTAAGTTGAGTCAAATTCAATATTTCGATTTGAATATTTTTTTTGATAACACGTTCATTGAAAATATTTTTTATTTGAAATTAATATTTTGTGGTTCACGCAATGCAAAGTAAGAAGAAGGGAATACCTTGTGTCGATTACATACCCTCCAAGAAATCCAAATCAAAGGCTTCAACTTCGGATGACGAGTCCGAGCAACAACAAGTGCCTGAACACGACCACCAATATTCCGAACCATCCAACAACAACGCCGTAGGAGATCATCCAACCACATTACCACATGATACAGTATCATCAACAACAACAACCAATACAAATGGTACCGCTGAACAACACCCCCGTCCATTCTCATCCCCCGAAAAGTCTCCCACCACCCGAACAAGGAAAAAAAAGTCTCAAGAAAATGCTGTGTTGAGAGTGGAGGCACCTTCTTCCAATTTTTTCATAGACAGTGAACATCCAACAACAACATCTTCATGCATTTCAAACCCTTCTGCAAAATATGAGAGCAGTCTTGCTGCTTCAAAGTCCAGCTTGGTTCAACATGCATTGTCCTTATCGGAAAAACAAAATCAAAGGAAAACACTACCTGTTGTGGAAAACCAAAACCCTCCAGCACCTTAATCATTGAGGATGACATTGAAAATCCATTAATGGCGACTTCTCCTGTGGGTAGTATCGATGCCTTATCAATGATGGATGGATTTTTGACACCAACAACAACCACTCCTCAAAACTCTACGTCACACGCAACAGGAGTTACTAACGTAAGCGCTACGACAAATAACTCTGTGGATACGAATGGCAACAACACTGACACAACATCAACCAAACATCTAGTGTGATTTATCCATACTTTTACAATCCGTGGTGGTACATGCATATGGCTCAACAAAACGCTGCTCAAAACGGTACAACCACCAATTCTTCCCAACAGCAGCCTCAACAACAAGTGCTAGGAATTCCACCCTATCCTGTATTTTTTGCTCCAATTCCTGCCTCGCAAATCGGTCAACAACCATTTGTTTACAATCCCTCTTCACTTCCAACAAGTCAACCCACACCTACTTCACCCATGCAAACAGATTCTGCCCCTTCTCCTTCCACAGCATTTCCAATATTTGTTGATCCCTATCATTTATATGGCTCATCTTTTGTTCCAAAACCAATTACCATGTTAGAAAATACTGATGACGGCTTTACTGACTTGGTTCCAAACTCTTCACAACCATCTCTTTCTAGTGTTGACTCTAAAACTAAATTGGAAGACTTGGATGTAAATAATAATGGCATCGTTGAAGAGGTTGCAGGAATTTTACCACAATCGAACGATCCAACTAGCAAACACTTGACTACTAATGATATTCATGCAGCAACTACTGACAACTTGGAAATATTTGATGATATTGATTACTTTGACAATGATGTGGACCGAAACAATAACAACAATTCTGATTTTTCTCTTTTCACATGGCAGGATAGTCCCTTACTCGATAAGAAGAAACCAACAACAACTAGGCCTGTGAGTAATAGAGCATCTAATGATGATGAGATTATTGATTTAATTACCTCAGAAGCATCTTTGCTTACTGAAAGAGCAAAAGAGCAACAGATTTCAAATCGTCAAAATGGCAATGTTGTTGCTAATAGCAACACGAATAACACTGGTTCATCCTCGACATCTAGCAGCACACAAGACCACCAATCATTATCCTTAACAACACCAGAGGAGATTAATTATGTGATCAGTCAAGCCCCAGAAAATTCATTGATGAAACAAAAATTAGGAGATATCCTTAAACAGATTTGGCAAACACAAGAAAATCAAAGCAAGGAGATTAATGAGCTGAAGCAGCTCGTCAGCGAATTGAAGAGAATGATTATTTCATAAAGGTGTTACAATTTTGTTTGTTATTAAATTCATTTAATTTTGGTCACACCTGTGGTCATCCTTTTCTCAAAACTCACCACAGTTAAAACGTTTGAAGTTAACAAGTCTGGTTTTATTGAGGGACATTTTTCGAGATCCTTCTACAAATTATTTCGAACATCAATAACAGTATTCTCAATCTGTGTTTACTTTAACAACACTTCGACATTGTGCTAGCATAGCTCCACAGAAACGCATTTCAAAGTGAAGATTTGAAAATGAACCAGATGATTAGGTTCATTTTCACCTCTTCACTTTTAAAAATGAATGAAACTTTCTCAGGTTCGGAAATTTTAAACTTCGGATAGCATCACCCAATTACAACCAACATCAAAAAAAATGTCTCAACCTTCTGTTAATTTTGAAAATATTGATCAATACTTTGCACGAAGAAGCCAACTCTTTGATGAGTTCAAGCAAAGAAGAAGAAATGAATTGGGTGATAAGATTGGAAAGGATATTACCATCACTCTGCCCGATAACTCTACCAAGCCGGGAAAGGCATATGAAACCACTCCTCATGATATTGCCATGTCCATTTCGGCTGGTTTGGCTGCTAACGTTGTGGTTGCTAAAGTGAATGGTGCTCTTTGGGATTTGGGAAGACCACTCGAAGGAGATTGTACTTTGGAATTATTAAAGTGGGACGCACCTGAAGCAAAGGAAGTCTTTTGGCACTCCTCTTCTCACGTTATGGGTGAAGCCTTGGAAGATGTCTTCAAGTGCTTCCTCTGTAAAGGTCCACCATTGGAAGACGGAGGTTTCTACTATGAAGCTTTTATGGGTGATAAGTAAGTAATATTGTGTTTTTATAATAGTAATGGATGATGATAGAACATTATCGTAATGACGATGATGATGATGAATTTATTTTGACACGATTGTATTATTATTATCATCATTGCACTGAATATTCAACATTTATTCACATATTGGATTTTCATATTCATACAATCTTCACATCATGGTTACCATGTAAATATTTACACGAGTTTAGAGTCGTGTCTGAAAGCGACTATGACAAAGTGAAGGAAGCAGTCACTAAGATTGTTAACGAAAAGCAACCATTTGAAAGACTGCTCGTCACCAAAGAAGAAGCCCTTCAATTGTTTGCTGACAACAAATTCAAGGTCGAAATTCTCTCCGAAAAGGTTAAGGAAGGAGATTATTGCTCTGTTTATCGTTGCGGAAGATTGATCGATCCTTGCAAGGGTCCTCATCTTCTTCACACTGGAAAAGTCACCACTTTTGAGGTCACTAAAAACTCATCATCATACTGGAGAGCTGATGCTTCCAAAGAAACTTTGCAACGTGTGTATGCCATGTCATTCCCTGATAAGAAACTTCACAAAGAATGGCAAACTTTGATGGAAGAGGCTAAGCGTCGTGATCACAGAAACATTGGAAAGGAGCAAGAATTGTGGTTCTTCCATCCATATGCTCCTGGTATGGTATTCTTCTTACCTCATGGTCAACGTTTATTCAACACTATCCAAAGCATGATGAGAAACGAATACTGGAATCGTGGTTATTCCGAAGTTCAAACTCCAAACGTTTTCCACAGTGATTTATGGAAGACTTCTGGTCACTGGGACAAGTATGCTGAAAATATGTTTGTTTTAGAAATTGATAAGGCTCAACATAGCTTAAAGCCAATGAATTGTCCAAGTCACTGCTTAATGTTTAAGCATAGAAATAGATCATATAGAGAATTACCAATTCGTTTTGCTGACTTTGGTGTTTTGCACCGTAACGAACTGAAGGGAGCCTTGACCGGTATGACTCGTTTAAGAAAATTCCAACAAGATGATGCTCACATTTTCTGTAGACCAGATCAAATCAAACAAGAAATCATGTCTTGTTTAGGTATGATGCAGGATATTTACAAGATTTTCGGGTTTGGATTTAAACTTTTCCTCTCTACTAGACCAGAGAAATATCTTGGAGAAATTGAACAATGGAATCAAGCTGAAAAGCAGTTAGAGGAAGCATTGAACGAATTTGGTCACTCGTGGCAAAAGAATGAAGGAGATGGTGCTTTCTACGGACCAAAGATTGATATTTTGATTTCTGACGCTTTGAAGAGAGAACATCAATGTGCTACTGTTCAATTGGATTTCCAATTGCCAATTCGTTTCGACTTGACCTATGCTGCAGAGGATAAGACTGAGACTAGACCAGTCATTGTGCACAGAGCTATCTTTGGTTCTTTAGAAAGATTCTTGGCTATTACTACTGAACATTTTGGTGGAAAGTGGCCATTCTGGCTTTCGCCAAGACAAGCCATTGTGGTGCCTGTTTCTAAGAAGTGCAATGAATACGCTGAAAAGGTCCACAAGACTCTCCATGATGCTCGCTTCTACGTTGATGTTGACTTGAGCGATAACAGAATTGACAAGAAGATTAGAAATGCTCAGCTTGCTCAATACAATTACATTTTGGTCGTTGGCCCAAAGGAAATGGAAACTGACTCGGTGAACATTCGAATCAGAGACAGCGATAAAGAGCTTGGTGTCAAGACTATCACTGAAGTTCTTGAAGAATTTAACACCAACAAGAAGGAATTCAAATAAATTTTAAAATGCTGTGTTCCAGAAGAACTTTTTCCGCGTTGTTTAAAAATGAGGCAAATCAAAATTCGACTTGACCTTTTCTGCGACGTTGTTCTTGTCTTGCTTATCATTTCAGAACTTGTCATCTTGTTAAATGAAGAAGTGGACGCAAAAACCTTCGGAATGAACAATAATAACCATACCGAATTAATATTTGAGTTCAATAATACATTACCCTCCTCATCCGTAGTTCCGTTTTTGTTCAACATCACAAAAGAGAAGGAAAATGACAATTTGAAAATATTTGGTGGATGCGGCAGCTTTCCATGTAATTTCATGATCATCAAAGGACAAGATTATTTGGAATTTTTGAAAAATCCATCTTTGGGGCTTTTGAGAAAGAATGCCGCTCGCTTAGGACTTTTAAACACCACTAATGTCGATGATACCTTACTCTTTGTGGGAGATGTTGGCCTGTATGCGTTCATCGTTGTGAATTCTAATGGCAATGATACATGGCTCAGTGTTAGGGCTGATTTCAAATATAGTTATGGAAGGCATGTGGTACTTTTCTTGCGACAATATTGGTACATTGTTCTGATCACTGGCTTGGTCATTGTCGTCATTGGCCTCGTTGTTGCATTTGTTGCCAATAAGGCGAAAGGAAGAGAGATGCTCAATGGAATGACCTCTTACTCTAAAAAGAATTCCCAGCAAAAGAGAGCCTTACTTACTGAAGAAGATGCTCTTTCAGAGTCATTTATTGAGATGGCTACCATGGATTCTATCATCACACATGAAACAAATCCCTCCTCTCTGGCCTTAGATTCTACAGGTGATAAGAAACACAGCTTATAGATTAGGAGTAGAATACCTAATATCAGTTGGTATGTGTACTAAAGAGATTGGTCTTTCATGGTGATCTACCAGATCCTCCTTGTTGAGTACCACCAGAAGTGCCTCCTTGGTTGTTAGAACTACTTCATGAGCTTCCAGATCCCTCATTACCGTGATATCTAGTACTACCGCCAAAGGTCCTCCGCTTCTGCTTGGACTGCTTCCAGAACCACTGCCTGAGCTACCGTGAGCTTCCTCCACCACCACTACTACCACTCCTGGATGACGATGCACTGCGAGGACCAGGCTCTCCAACGTAAATTTCATCACCTTTTTGAATGGCATGAAATTGAATTTGAGTGTCACCCTTGTAAAACTTTTCCATAGGTGTTCCAATCCTGACACCACTCATTGCAAAGATGATTGCTGGAATTTCAGTTGGATGATAAGGCAAACGGATTGTGTCTGTGAATGTTTCATTGGGAATATGCAAAGTGACAATTGGAGGATCATCTTCCCATTTGATCATGATTTGATTCAGAAAATGTTGTTTACAATACACCAATGGTTCGAAAGGACTTGAATGTCTCACAAACTCGCAACCATTATTGAGGAATATCTACAAAAGCGCTTCCTTAGAATAATTAATCAGAAATTGTCAAGCACCTACATACCACGTTAGACGCAAAGTTAAAATCTCGCTGATAATACGTTAACACAAAATCCAACAATTGATCATTATTAACATCCACAATATATCCAACTTCTGCTGTGTCACCATTACCTGTATAAACAATTGAAGTTGGAGCTATTCCATGCAGACCATAGACGCTAGAAGCGCTGAATAGTAATAACAATAATAATGCACAGGGAAACAGCCATCGTATGATGGATGGAATAATGGTAGACAGGCTTGCAATTGAAGAAAGTGACGATGGTAGCATGTGTTTGTTGTAGGATCGGGTCACCATCACAACGTTGCTTCTTTTTAAACGCTGACGTTCCTTTCACGCTCGAATCATAAGTTTTCTCGGTGCTTAAAAAGCCATATTTGGCATCAATTTCAGACAAAGTAAGACAAGGGAAGGGTTTCGAAAGTTAACAAGAAGGAACAACTACCTTCTTTGAGTTATATTGAATTAGTGGTGATGCCCAACCTTTCCGTGTGTCACAGGGATCACTCCTGTTTGTTGTTGACCGCCTGTAGCTTGACCGCTCGAGCTCGTGACATCATAGGGCTGCTGTTCTGTATTTCCATAGTAATATGCACCCATTCCAGTTCCAGTTCCGGTGTATGGTAGTGTAGTATAAGCATCTCTTGATGACGAGGCATCTTCCGCGTTTGAGCTTGGCTTTGTTGAAGTAGGTTTCAGAGGAGGACCTGGTTGACCTACATAAATTTCATCTCCTTTCGAAATGGAATGATAATGAATGGGTAAATGCCCCTTAAAAAACTTTTCCATAGGTGTTCCAATCTTGACGCCACTCATGGAAAAGATCAGAGCTGGTATTTCAACTGGGTGATAAGGTAAACCTAGTATGGCAGAGAATGTTTCATTGGGAACGTGGAGAGTCACAACTGGAGGGTCCTCCTCCCATTTGATCATTATTTGATTCAGAAAATGTTGTTTACAATACACCAATGGTTCATACGGGTTTGAGTGACGTACGTATTCGCATCCGTTATTGAGGTAGATCTATTCTCATATTCATTGAGTAGAAGTTTCAAAGTCAGTCGGAGAGATTCATGCATTCCTTGTTCTAATCACACTTACCACATTATTTGCAAAGTTATAATCTCTCTGATAATAAGCTATTACAAAATCCAACAAACGATCGTTATTCACGTCGGTTATGAATCCTACAACAGAGGTCATTCCATTTCCTGTGTAGATAATCGATGCTGGAGGTGCATGATGCAAGCCCAAGACTTGTTCATATCTCGTCACTAGGAAAAATAACATCATGAAGAGGGTGAGTTTAAAAAACCAAGTACTACAAATATATTCTTTCCAACATGCACCTGGCCCATGCTGAGATGGTTGTTCTGAAACCGTTGACGCCAATAATGGACTTTTGAGTGTTGTGCTAATGTTCATCGAAATCAAAGAAGAATTATCTTCTGAATAAAGCCAAGTTTTTTTCAAGTCCAAGATCGTTGGTCCTTTGGTGTTTAACAAACGACATGAAAGCACAAAGTCAAGTGTGAATACACATTAATGGAATATTGTCATGGTTTTCATTACAACACACAACCATTTTTGGATCTCTTTCAGAAATAGTCAGCCCTTACAAGATTGTAAATTGTTGAAAATGAGACATTTGGAAACATCCGTTCCTTGATGTTGTAACGTTAATGGTATTGTACCGAGCATTTGATCTATTTCCTCAAACCATTCAAGGATTGGTGCTGTTAGTATGAGAAAATGGCGTTTTCCCATGAAATTGAAACAGAGATTAGTTATGACACATTTTTCATTACAATCATCGAATCCAACTAAAGTCACTTGTCAAACTCAAACTGTCACAGAAAACATCACAAAAAATGACTCGCTCCCTCCTGATTGCCTTGTTACTAACCCTCCTTGCTTTCACAGCTGCCAGCATCCACGCAAGAAGAACTCTCTCTGAAGGTGCCATCGACACCATTGTCAACACATGGGTCAATTCCGTCACTGACAGAGCTTCTTTCGATGAAGAATCAGATGCAGCAAGCACACCAGGTCAAATCGCTGCTTCCTTTTCCAACTCAAAAGTTGGTTCTTGTTATTCTCAAGCTCAACGAATGGGTAATCCATGTTACGATTGCTCCTCATTGGTGTATTTGGCTTATAAGAGCGCAGGTAAGAATGTTCCAACCACTACTCGAGGATATCCTGGAGGTTTGAGAGATGTGACTGGACAAGCTTTACAAACTGGTGATATCTTGTGGAGAAGTGGACATGTTGGTATTTATGTGGGTGGAAATCAAGTCGTGAATGCTGAGAATCCAAAGAGTGGTGTCAAGAAGAGAGATTTGGGTTTTTATACTAAATATTTGGGTTTCACTCGAGTGTATCGTGTTTAAGTGATCAATGTGATCATGAATGATGATTATAATAATATATTAAACCACTTGATGTACTGTATCCATTGTAGTAATATTATTATTATTATTAGTTACACGAATGGTTGTTGTAAAGATTGCAAACATGGATAGTGTGTTTTTCTCAATAGAACTGTTCACTCATCAGACAGATCCTAAAAGATTGACTCTTCCAACAAATAAAACGCTTTGAGTGGGAATATGTGAAAGCATGAAACAAAAGGGTCGATCCAACACAAATTCTGGCATTGTTCTTGTAGGCCTTGCCATTCGATAACTAATTCTCGCGACAGTCACGGCTGCTGCTTCAGTGCCAGATTCATCAACTTTTAGCATTGCTTTGTGATAAATCTTATCCACCCATAATTGTCCACCGTTCAATAGAGATTCTTGTGTGAGAATGCCTGAAAAATTAGCTCGATCCATGTTAAAACTTGTTTCCATGTTGAATGGAGATTCTTTGAGGATGGTTGATAGTTCTAAGGTGTTAATTTCTGCTTTGAATTTTGGAATTTGAACGATCCTTAATTTAGTGGTAGAAGTTTCGAATAATTCTGATAAATTTTGTCCATTGTTGTTACTTCCATCAGGTTGATCCTTGTTGATCAACTTGTTGGAGATCCATCGAATGAATTCCTTTTCATTTTCTACACTTAATTCCACAGAAGATTTTGGAACTAGGAAGAGCATTTCAAAATCCTCATTGCTGTACGGAAGTCTGAGCCATTTGTACAAATCGTTTTCTCCGTATTTTTCTAAAGTTCTTCTTTTGGTCATGAACTGCACAGAGATCTCTGAATCTTCAGTTGTTGATCCTGTAGTTGATAACTTTCTAAATCTTCCAGAGATGGTTATTTCAGGATTAAAGGCAACTTTCCATTTACCAAGAAAATAAATGGCATTAATCAAGAGTAATTTCGTTTGGGATTCAATTGAGCCAGGTTGCAACACGTCTCTAAGTAAATTGCGAGTCTTGTCTGAAATCCATGAATTGATCGAGCGACGTTCATTTTCGTAATTTTGTACAAAGTCACATTTACGAATTTCAGATTTAAATTGTGAGACAATGGTGTTGGAAAAGTCTTGTGAAATATCAAAGGTTTGTTCCACAAAGAGGCCATTTGCAATGGATAACTCTGAAGATGTTTGGGAATAGCTGGAAATAATTTCTTTCATGGCTTCTGGAAAGCTTGCTAGATTTTGAGAATTGAATTGAGATTGATTCAAAGAAAGAGCATGTAAAAGTTCTTGTTGAGTGTCACCACGAGATCCAGTTACAAGCATGGACAGAACCATAAAAAGAGAGAATGGAGAAAGCACCATGTTGGATGTGAGGGATGACGAAGAATCTATTTGGGAAGATGATTGTTGTTGTGATAATATTGAGTTGAAGATGTTTCCTGCAAATGCTTTTTGAGAAGAACCAATCATAGAGAGCAGTGAAGAGTGTGATGATGAATCTTGCTGACATTCAACATTCGTTAGTGTCCATGAAAGGATGGTGCATGTTATGACGAGTACGAGTATGGATAACACTACTTGGGGAGTACCTTTGTGTGAAGACATTTTGTTTGTACGAGAAATTAGAAATTAGAGAAATCGATTCTTGTGGAGTACAAATTTAGTCATTTGCCAAAATAATGGTGATAGAACCCTGCTAGCAATTCCTCCAACATGTGTGTCTATATTATTCTACTTACAAATGTAATTATGTCCAATTTAATATTTCCAATTTCAGCTACAATATTAATTGCTTAATTGTTAAATCCTTAAATTCAATTGAAACTCCATCTTCATTCGTGGGCGAGCAAGCAAAAATTCCCAATTGAAGTATGGTGTTTTCACTTTCTGTATTGATGTCAAAAAGATGAGCTATTCTAAGTAAATGAAAAGTGGCTCCATCATCAAGACTATATTCCACTTTAACATCTCCTTTCACTAACTCAACGCGAATAGTAAACCATGATTCATTATCAAAATGTACTGGGCTAGTTGACCAGTCACTGAAATCTCTTGTAACAACAGCACTTGCATATTTTACATTATTCACAAACTCAATACCAGTCTTGATCCAATTTTTCTCATCAACTCGAATCATAATACCAGCTTGATCATATAATTTTTGATAATCTCCTTTAAATTTTACTTGAATTTCAAAATTCTGATTCGTCTTGATATCATCACGATTTAAATATAAAAAGTTTCCATCATCATGTATAAAATCGTAATGAGTTTTTCTCCAGTAATCGCCTTTCGGAGAGGTTTTCATCTTAATCTCAAGAGACTGATCATCTTTCTTGATAGTAAGATTTTCTGCAGCTCCAGTCGCCCATTTCCATCCCGATGCATCAGAGGGAAGAGCTATATTTTCACTACGTGTAAAGTGGTGTTGAATTGGCATATTGGTTTTTCTATGAATATGCGTCCTCCGTACAATTTCTTGTTGAGCGGACACATAATAAACATTACAATGACAAGAAACTCACCGCTTTCGCTCAATTTTTTTGTTCATAAATAATTGGTGGTTCCAAAGGCACTACAGAACAAGTTGAAAAAAGAGAATTCACTTTTTCATATCTGCCGATTAAACATGAAAATTTGTGTTACAGGCGCATCAGGCTACGTTGCAGGTCATATCATTCAGCAATTGTTGCAAAGAGATCATTCTGTACTTGGGCTTGTTAGAGACTTGTCCAATAAGGCTAAATATGATTACTTGTTCCAACATGTGAAAGAAGGAGGTGCCACGTTGGAATTTGCAGAGGCCAAAAGTGAGCAAGATTATGATCAGGTATTTCAAGGCGCCAATATAGATGTGGTTATTCATACTGGTATGTTGTCATTTCTGATACTGTAACTGTGTTATTGAATGAAACATTACTTTGAATATTTGTCATTCATCATATTGAACTGCTGTTATCGCATAGCCACTCCATACTTTTACACTGCACACGATCCTCAAAAAGAAATTGTTAAGCCTGCCATCGCATTAGTGAAAGGAGTGATTGAAAGTGCCATCAAGCACAAAGTCAAACGCGTTGTCTTCACAAGCAGTTGTGGTACCATTTTGAATTTTCCCATTCCTGCAAATTCAGTGGTCACATGTCAAGACTGGAACACCACAAGCACTCTCACCAACAATCCTTACTTTTACTCCAAAGTTCTTGCCGAGAAGACAGCATGGAATTTATTCAAGGAGCATCAAGATATGTTTGAATTGGTGGTTGTGAATCCATCCTATGTGTTGGGACCACTACCATCCTCTTTTTTGAACACAAGTATGACCAATTTTAAAAGATATCTGTTAGGTGAGAATGAGCAAATTCAAACCCTCACTTTGGGTGTGGTGGATGTACGGGATGTTGCATGGGGTCATGTCATAGCCGCTGAAAGTGAACATGCTGTGGGAAAGAGATTAATTTGCAATGGTACTGTGACTTCCTTTGCAGAACTCGTTCACCTTATTCAGAAAAAGTTCCCTCAATATGGCGTCAGCAAGTATAAGGTTGATGAATTACAAGCTCATTCGAACAAGTTTCGTATTGATACCCAACCATTGGCTGAGCTTGGTTTGAAACAGTATCGTTCGCTTGAGCAAACTATTGAGGAAGGCGTTCAGTCCTTGTTTGACTTTGGTCTTGTTGAAAAGTTGTAAAAAATTGTCAACTGAAGCGGTTTTTTCGACAGAATAAAAGGGAGTTGGCAACGTGTCTAATTCGTCCTGCTTTTAGTGATCAATTCAAGACAATGCGTGTGGATGGCTGATTCTGTCTTGAATAAGTTGATTTTGAGAAACAACATATATCACAATAACCTTGGGAAGCAATGATTGATGCGGCTATGTATTCAACAATTCATGGCATTCCAATTGTGTCATATAATATAAATATTCCATTGGAAAATTAGGGGCAAGAACAACCATTGCTAATTACTAATTTGTGGTGTTGTTCTTCAACGTCCTTATTTCTTGGGATTTTTCTCTTGATGGTAAAGGTGTTACCAAACCAATCTTTCAAACCGATTCGGAGCTATTACTTCATGAGATGACAACAAGAGCAACCTGTTACCTCTTCCTCTCTGAGCGTTAGGAATGGCAAGCTTTGGCCGTAAGCTTCACCTGAAATCGTTTTCTCATGCTAATTGTAGATTGTTGTAAACTATTCAACTGTTTAGGGTGTAACCTTAAAACAACCACTCTCTGGTTACATCTTTACAAGTAGAGTCAGTATACTTTCAACAAGAGGTTGAGGCTCGCATCTTTCTTGAAGAATCTCTTTATGTGTTATGCAATTCCAAAAATGTCCCACCTGCACCTTTTTCTTGCAAGCTTTCATCACGTGTTCCCAGCACCATACAAATTGAAAGCTTTCCAAACAAGCACGCGCACGCATTGTTGTGGCCTTTTCATAGAACATAAATTTAAAAATTTCCGACACTTTTCGAGAAATCCAACCACAACGGCAATTTATTTCTTTTGTTTGGATTTTCGTCTTGGAGCTCTTTTATGGGCTTTTTCAGGTTCATTACGCAGCTTGGACAACGCTTTCTGAATAGTATTCAGAGCTATTGTATGGATTTTTCGATCTTGGTTGATCCGGAACGACCTGATGAGAATCGATGACGGCTCAATTGCTTTGAAAAGGTCATTCGGTGTCTCAGAAATTTTGTCATCATTGACAGAGTATTCAACAACCTTCAACGGAGTGTGTGATACAATCATTCCTACACCATAAGCATCATGTGAAATATTTTGATCAAAAGCAACCCATTCTCCGTATTCGTAATCTCCAACTAGTTTGTGTGGTGGTTTAGATATGTGTTCACTTGGAATTGTTGCACAAAAGGTGGGTGTGAGATTATTGTTGGCATTTGTAGTGACACAAGCAGAAGATACTTGTGGCGTTATAATTCTCTCCAACCAAAAATCTTCGGGTTTTGCACTGAGTTGATGATTAAATATTGATTTTCCCTTTGACTCTTTGTACTGTCTCATCCAATCTTTCGAAGAGTCTGCGAGATGAGGAAACAATCCTTCAATGCCTTGTAATATTTCATCACTGTTTTCAGTCTCAATCAATGCAGGTTCGCCTTTAGGAATTTGATTATGCACAAATATTGAATACCAAGTGTTGGCTGTTTGATCTGGTCCGTGGAACACCGAAGACTCATCACCATTGTACAACTTTACCTGCAGTGCAACATGACCCTCTTTAGTTTGGAAGATCCTGAATCCATGATAATTTGAAATCCCTTCAAAGTTCATCACAACACCATCAAAAAAAGTCGACCAATCAAACATTCTCTGCAAAAAGGATGCTTTTGGTCTTGTACTTCCGTCACAATACCAAGTTTCAATCTTGTCTATGAAGTTTTGTGGTGTTTCTACAACACCTCTATCGTCCTTTTGATGCAAGTTCTTTGCATAAGTACTGAACATTTGATCAATGTCGGCGTGGGTGTGACCGACAATCATGGTGGAAATAAAAATTTCTTCAAACCATCCATAATGCACAAGCATTGCAAGGAAAGCAATTGAGTATTTGTTTTTCGCTTCTTTGGCACAATTGTCTGCTTGAACGAAGAGTGTTCTAGATCTGTTATTACTTTCGATTTGTTGTCTACATGCTTCATATAAAACAGTGCAAGCGAGATTAGCACCGCCTGGAAAATGAGGAGGAATCAATTTCAACATTCTGGTGTTGGCTCCATGTGCAATCAAGCCATAACATCCCATCTTCAACTTTTGTACATTACTTGACGCACTTTTTGGGATTGGATACATTACTGGAAATTGAATCGCCTCTGCTCCGTCAATTATAATACATTCAATATCCGAAGGGTTTTGTTGTGCTTTTTCTCTTCGATAGTAATAATAAGCCCGTTCTTTCTCATGATGCTGCTGATGGATTTTAATTTTTTCATCAAGAGCATTTCGTCCCTTTGTGTCCTTGAGTTCGAGTTTTGCTTTCTCCTTCTTAAATTGCAAACAATCATCACATTTTCCTAACCTCGTTGACTTGGGTAGAATTATTGTAGGAAATTCTTGTTCAATAAGATTACAAAAGTTCACTTTGGTCTTGTATGCCGGTGCTTTTTTTTTTGTCATGTCGGCGGAGTACTGTTCAAATATGTCGTTCCATGAATTGTAGCACGGTAAATGTATTTCGGTGTTATTGGGAGCAAATTGACCATCTCTTTCCAACAGAACTTGCATCCAAGCAATGGCTTCCGATTTTCTGGTTGTATGTTTTTTGTTACCCGTATTCCCATGCCAACCCGTACTTGGCACAACTTCATTACGGATTGCTTTTTTTGCTTGTTTGAGCTTGAACTTGCTAATGCCGAACATTTTAGCAAAGCATTGAATGCAACAAGGTTTGCCATTAAGATACAGTGTTGAACCGTTTGCGTTTTTCAACGAATTAAACACGAACATCTGTTTGGCGTTTTCTGTGGACAAGTTTGAATAGCGTGATCTGAACTCTACAACATCGTCTTCGGAAAAATGTTTGACACAACATGAGGTTCGGTCTTGAAAGACCTGTTTAACTGATTCCGAGCTTTGTAAATCATGATTTTTGATCTGCTTTTTCTTTTTCGACGGTCTTCTTTTGCGAAATGTGTATTTGCGTTTTTGGCATTGATTTCTGTCTCTCTTTTTTGATATGTTATTCTGTTTGCTTTCGTCGTCGTTTAATAATGTGACATCAGTGCTAGAGGTTGCTACAGCTGTTGTTGACCTTGCTTGTTGTTTCGCTGCAAGTCTTTCAAACATTTCACTCATGTCTTTCATTTTTAGATTTTGCGGTGTATTTTTGGCCTTTTTGGGACAAAATTAGCTCAAAAAAACTAAAAATACCAGGCAAATGTCAGAATTAACAGCAAACTACTTGCTGAGTCGACCAATCGGCTCACTAGACGACACAAAAGCGTTCCAGCTTTGTGAAAACTCCACAACCAGCAGTAAAATTGAGAGTGGGATGGTTGTTCAATTTAATTCGGCTTTGTATGGTGTGTTTTGTTTCACGACAAACGGTTCATCAATCCCCACAGCCCTCTGTTTTGACATCGGTCTTTTGGAGGAAATAGATACACACAAAGAATGTCGTGATAGATTTCATTTCATTTCTGTTGACAAACTGGCTGTAGTGTCGGATCCGCAACAAGCAACATTGTCTGAGGAGAAATTCTCAAGAATTGAACCTTTTGTCTTTAATACATTTAAAATACAACACGAGACTGTAAGAGCGGAAACCACTCACATTCCTGACCCTTCAAGAATGACAACTCGTAGTATGTCAAAGCAAGCACAAGATGTCGAAAAAGAACAACAAACTACACACAAACAACAAACACAAGAATCAAATCCAACAGAGAACGAAAAAAAGCAGAAAAGCAAAAAGTCTACAAAGAAACAGCCAAAAAAAACATCATCAAGCAAAACGAAGAAAAATGAGATAAATGATGACGAAGTCGAGCCACAGAAGAAGAAAACAAGGCCAATACAAGAAACAAAGGCAGAATTGAAAAAACGTATTCAGCAGTCGGAAGAATATATTCAGGAGCTGAAAGAAGAATTGCGTAAAGAAAAGCAGAAAAGAGAAAAACAACAAGACGAAATTGAAATACTTGCACACACTATCAAACACCTCACCTCCGAGTCGAAAGAGCCAACGAACGAAAAACAACCAACATCCAATAGCACAAATAACGTATTGTCATCACAACCCACTCTATCAACACAACAACCTCCGATCGTTGTAATGATGCAACCACCGCAACCACAACAATCACCACCTGGATTTTTGCCAGTTATGCCTCTACCACAATTCCAAGAAAACGCTTACACTGACTTGTGGTACAAACTAGGTCTTGTACCAAGGTGGCCCTTTCAGCATTAGTTGCTGTTGTTGTAAATTATCGCATTATAAGCTTAACAGACAACACCTCCTCACACTACACTGCTTCAAAATACCAAATCAAACAAATCTCAATCCTCTCACACTCCAACAATAACAACAACCACAAAGGTGTAATAGTTATATTACTCCTATTACAAACGATTGCTGTAATTATCTTCTTCAAATTAGCTATTGTTGTCAAGAACTCAATAAATACTTTAGCTCTGGTTTATTTTTCAATTTCAAGAAAACCGTTCAAAAATGAAGGTCGGAAATTTTTAAATTTATGTTATAGATAGTTTTGCCATGATCGTGCAATGATCTCTATTTTAAACGTCGCCAATGGACCACGACAACCAACGTCAAGGGCAGTCAATAACTGCACTCTGAGGACCATCTTCAACACACAGAAGAAAAAACCGAAAGATCGAAAGCTCAATAACCTCTCACTGTTGTAAATTATTCCCTTGTACTATTAGAACATGATCAGAACGAACGTGAACTGGTCATCATCTTCACGCATTTTGTGTGTACTGTTGTTGATTACTCTCCTGTGTTATGTGAAGGCAGAAAAACCTGTCCTCACCGTTGAGTCACAACATAATCATCATGATGAAGAAGTGAAACCAATAACAACAACAACCGCCACCAATACTCTCACAACTGACACTTCCGTGAACTCGGCTGCGTCTGTACAATCACATTCCTCTTCCTCCACTTCCAAGGTTAAGCTATTATTCTCACAATATTGGTCACCATTGAAAGCTGGCTCTCAACCACACATTGATGACATGCACGGATTTGAATTTGTGTTGACAGAACGAACTGGACAACGAAAGAGCTATAATGGTGTTTTGCAGATTCATGCCAGCAGCACTCCACAATGGGTCAACGTCGATGTCTTTGCTGGTCAAGTGTCATATCATTTGAACGTGTTGAGAAAGACAGCTTCTTTTAAGGTCATTCAAAACACTTCCAAGTTTTGTTTCTCGTTGAACTTTATTCCTAGAAACAATACGTTACTTGCCAAAGTTGCTCAATTTGCCACTTCTTTACTGGCTGGTCAACAAACCACCTATCGATTTTCTCAAAATAGTGTCAAATACGATGCCTTGATCAACCAACTCTGTAATAATGCTTCATTGAAGATGGATGCCTTTGTTTTGGGTGATGACGGTTTTGTTTCATGTGCTCCTGCCGTATCCTCATCCTCTGTTGCAGTGAAACCTCAATTCTTTATCACTAGAAACGTATTGATCAAGGTCACCAAGCAGATCGAGGGTAAGGCGAGACAATTGGCAAAGAGATGTTTGTCGTTGGAAAAGTTCGATCGACAACTGGCCATATCCTTGGGAGATCGTTACTTTGCTGAATTGTTGCAAGACACCGTTGACAATCGAGAGACTATAACTGCAGCCTTCCCAAGACCAACCTTCTGGTTTGAATCGAGTGCTGAGGCTTGTGAATTCCCTTACATGGCAGACTCATCCAAGTGCAACAGTCGAAACACTCAACCTGGAACTAAGGTGTGTATTTTCGTTCATGGTGCAGGTGGTGTGAAAGATCAAGCTCCAAAATACAATTCATTCAAAGATTATTGGGGTGATATTGAACAATGGACTCCTCAATGCTCAAAGAGAGTCTTTGCAGTGAGGAACACTCGAGATGTTGGTTGGGATGATCGAAATTTGCAAAAGTATTATTGCGACTTGGCTGTTCGAGAAAGTGGACTCAATCACACTCTGAATGGTGTTCCTCAAGTGAAGAATGTCGTCCTCTTTGCTCACTCACAAGGAGGTTTGGTCATTTCAGCTGCTCTCAAGAACAAACTCTGTGCCTTCCATTCATCATCGAGTTGGTACTCTGTGTCGACTCCTTTCGATGGTTCTGATGTCGTTGAAAAGTTGATCAAGTATTGTGCTGCTTACTCAAAGGGACCATTCAATCCATTGAATAAGGATTACGTGTTTGGTTATTTAGCAGCCAAGTACGGTTATTGTAATCAAAAGACCGGTCTTCCCTATCCAGGATACATGTCTTTGGCTCCAAATTATGTGGCTAAGGACGGAACAACCACAAGCTCTGCCATGAACAATTTCTTAGTCGCTCGTAACATCAAACCCAATGGAAGAATGTGCGGAACCAGTCCAACTGGTCTTCTCTCTCGTTATTCCTTCGTGTTGACTTTGCTTGTGGATGCCACTCAGACTGAACAGCCCAACGATGGATTTGTCGAGTCCTCGAGTTGTACCAAACACTCCTCTCAATCATCCTATTCTGCTTCGTTTAGTTCCAATCATTATCTTGCTAATTTGAATCATGCTGATACCTCATGTAGAAATGGTAACGGTTGGTTCTCTCGTTCGAAACAACCATGCTTGTATTATAAGGATAAAGTGTAAAAGTTAACACTTTATCTTGTTACACGTGTCGGAGAGATGTATAGTTCATAATTGAAAACATTAAGAATCACTCAGGATGACATGTTTTTCTGAACCTTCAACCCCACTTTGGAAACCTGACTCCATTCAATTCTCATTCCATAAATTAAGAAAGAGATGAGAGATGATCCTAAGGTCTTTCATCTCTTTCAACATCTCAAAGCAATTGAGCTCTCTGCTGTGGTGTACACAACCGTAATTCAACAACCGTAGCGATTCATGTTTTTATTTCTTTGCTTCGGTTTCTGTATTCATGTTTTCCCCAAATTAGAACTTGTACAGTATTCAAAGTTGTTGTGTCTGTATTTACTCTTCTTTTAGTAGCCGTAGTAATAGTATTCTTAATGTGAGACCTAACGCTAGAAAGATACATCTTTCCTTACTCACCTCCTCTCACTTGCCAACCCAAGTCACATCTATCTCTATTTGAGCTGCACTTCAACAGAGGACAGTTTATCCCTTATCAAGCATGACTGTTCATGGGCCATGTCCAAAAAAATAAAATTCAAATAGCGCTAGCAAACACCAAATGCCAACTTGTGTTGCTTTCTGAGGACAACGTTATTCGTGAATTGCATCTCCCTCCTTTCGCTCTCTGTAATTGTTTTAAAAGCGTAGAGGTTTCTTTTTGTTCGAAAATATTCAGAGTATTTTCCCGAAACGAGCACATACAATAGCGCACACGAGAGAGAAAGGCTTTCTTGTAGCAAAGCTTTTTGAAGGACCATCATAACTGTTGAGTAACAACAACAACAATTTAAAAAAACACAAACATCAGCATCAACCCACGTAGTCTCGCTAGCGAGTCATTACAATAACAACAAGAAGAACAGCAGAAACACCCTTCTTCGGGATACTGCTCTCAACAATTTCTACAACAAGGGGAATAGCTCTCTATTACGAGTGTTATCCAATTTATTTGTATAACAACAACGATATACAGTTTTATTTGAAGAAGGTCTCTTCAGGTAGTTCCTAACTCTAACACACAATTATGGCTCTTTCAAATTTGTTGATTTCATGCTGCCTAATAGTCATGATGAGCATGGTAGTCATGAGCTCAGAACATGCTCCAAGTCTCAATGTAAGAGGTACACAAGCACAAGCCTCTACTAGCTCTGTATCACAATCCACTCTCAAACAACTCTTTCCACAATATTGGTCGCCATTGAACCCATCCGTTCAACCACGTGTTGATGATATGAAAGGATTTGAATTTGTGTTGACTGAAAGAACTGGTCAACGAAAGAGTTATCATGGTGTGTTGCAAGTCCATGCAAGCACTGCTCCACAATGGGTTCAAGCAGATATCTTTGATGGTCAACTCTCATATCATTTGAACATCATGACAACTGGTTCCACTTTTAAGGTCGTCCAACATAACAACAAGTTTTGTTTCACGTTGAACTTTATTCCAAGAAACAATTCCTTGATTGCCAAAGTTGCTCAATTTGGTTCTACTTTGCTCGCTGGTCAACAAACCACCTATCGATTCGCTGCAACTTCGACCAAGTACGATTTATTAATTAACCAAAACTGTAACAATTCTTCCATGAAGATGGATGCTTTCATCATGGGCGATGATGGTTTTGTGTCATGTGGTTCTCCAGTTCCTTCGTCCTCTGTAGCTGTGAATGCACAATTCTTTATCACCAGAAATACATTCATTCGAGTGACGAAACATATTTCAGGAAAACGTAGACAATTAGCAAAGAGATGTTTGTCATTGGATAAATTCGATCGACAACTTGCTGCTACTTTGGGAGATCGATACTTTGCAGAATTGTTGCACGACACTGTTGACAATGGTCAAAGCATCTCTGCTGCTTACCCAAGACCAACTTTCTGGTTTGAATCAAGCATAGAAGCATGTTCTCTTCCTTACATGGCAGACTCAACCAAATGTAACTATTACAACACTCCAGTTGGAACCAAAGTTTGTATTTTCATTCATGGTGCAGGTGGTGTGAAAGATCAAGCTCCAAAATACAATTCATTCAAAGATTATTGGGGTGACATTGAACAATGGACACCTCAATGCTCAAAGAGAGTCTTTGCAGTGAGAAACACTCGAGATGTTGGTTGGGATGATCGAAATTTGCAACAATATTATTGTGACTTGGCTCGCAAGGAAAGTGGATACAATGTCACTGTGAATGGCGTTCCACAATTGAAAAATGTCATCTTATTCACTCACTCACAAGGAGGTTTGGTCATGTCAGCTGCTCTTAGAAACAAACTCTGTGCAATTGACGGCTACTCCTCAAGTTGGTACTCCATTTCAACTCCTTTCCAAGGATCTGGAGTGGTTGCCAAGTTGGTCAAGTATTGTTCTGCTTACTCAAAGGGACCATTCAATCCATTGAATAAGGATTACGTGTTTGGTTATTTAGCAGCCAAGTACGGTTATTGTAATCAAAAGACTGGTCTTCCCTATCCAGGATACATGTCTTTAGCTCCAAACTTTGTTGCAAAGGACGGTACTACTACAGCTACTCTCTACACAGCTCAATTATCCTATACTTTGAAACCAGAAGGAAGAATGTGTGGCACTAGTCCAATCGGTATCATTTCCAAGTATTCCTTTATTTTAACTCTCTTGTCTGAATCAACCAACATTGCCAATCCAAACGACGGTATGCTTGAAGGATCTAGCTGCACCAGCCAATCGACCACAGCCTATACTGCTCTGTTTTCTTCCAAATTCTATCTTGCCAATTTGAACCATGCAGACACTTCATGTAGAAACGGCAATGGTTGGTTCTCTCGCTCTAAACAACCATGCTTGTATTTCAAGGGTAAAATGTAATAAAAACGAATTCAATTCCATTTAATTTGAATACATGTTTTATTGTAAAGTAGTGAGCATTTATTCTTTCGACTTTTGTTTAAGGAGCTTTTTGCCCGAATCCTTTTGAAAATGGCTTATCGCCAAACTTCTGGGAGGGCTTGAAGGGCTTTTGGTGTGAGTGAGTCTTGCTTGCAAATTATTCAAATATTCTCCATAGCTCAGTAGTTTCTGCTCGTGATACTGAAGCATGTTCTTACTTTCAACAACCGTTGTGTCGTCTTTCATTAAAACACTGTATTGAGGAATGGCTCCTTTAAGCTCTTCATAGTACTTTGTTGCGTTTGAATACTCTTCAGGAGTACTTTGGTGCAAGAGGTGTTTTACATTTAACCTTAGTTTTTCTAGCTCGTTTTCACACTTGGATTGTCTTTCCTTAAGTCGTGCCATTACCATTCCACTTTGTGTTTGAAAATACGATTGTCTTTCTGTTTCTTTCTTAAGAGTTTGTTGCACATCCTCTCCTTAGCAGAGTATACCTTTTCATACTCTTCGTCGTCACTGTTATATTGAGCCAAACGATCGTGTTCCTTGTTCAGAGATGACATAAATTGTTGGAAAGATTCTGGCATATCTTTTTGAAAGTTTTGGAAGAGTGAAAACTTCTTATTTCGGGCAACCATACTCAGTAGCATTCGTTCATCCTTTTTATCCATTAAACTTTCAACGACATTCATCACTTCGTCAAAGCATTCAAACTGTTCAATAGCCAGCTGTATCACCAATTCCAAAGACGGCGTTAAATTCTCCAACCTTTTTCTATAAATTAAAAGGTCTAGCTCCATTTCCTTCTCTCGAGTAGTAATTCCACATCCTTTATCAATGTTGAGAACTCTTTTGTCAAATGTCTCTCCTGTGTTAAGGTTGTGCCTGTACAATTGTATATCCAACTCTCTTGATAGAACCTGTTTTTCAGTTTGTAGTTTTTCAACTTCTATTTTCAGCATATCTATTTCATTTTTCATAATTTCATTTTCCTCCTTCATATCTTTAAATGTAAGAGTGGAGTTTGTATTTTTTTCTTTCAAAGTCTCAATTTCTAACAGAGCTGTCGTTTCTTTTTGCTTCAGTGTCTTATTGGACTCCTTCAAAATACGATTCTCTTGTGACATGCTTTCTAGCTGCTTACGAAGATTTGAAATTATCTCTTCCTGCTGTTGAATTGTTCCCAAAGCATTCGTCTTGAGCTCTTTCTCTTGATCTCGATCCAGCTCCACTTTTTTAATTTGATCGCGCAATCTACTCAGCTCCGAGTTGAAATGAGTTGTGATCTTTTCCTTAGTTTGAAGCAATTTAGACAATACAGAATCAAATATCGTAGATCCACAAGAAATATTGTAATTGTACTTTTTCTTCCATCGTCCCATTGAACATTTGGAATCATCTGTTCGAGGGGAGGTAAATACTCATTCATCGGTCTCGAACAAGAAGAAGGTGATTGTGCTTTTTTCATCATTCCATCCTCCGATGATTCCTCCCGACTCGTTCTCTCCTGTTGTTGAATGGAGGCGTCCACTTTTTCCTTCAAGGCTTGAGGCTGCTGAATGAGCAGAGGACTTTCACCTACAAGCTCTCCCTGTGCGATCATTCGTTATTTTTTTTCCTTAATTACTAAGGTTACAACACTCATGTTCGAATCCCAACAAACGAACGGAGTGATATTCTTTCAGAATCATTCTCATGTCTTCAAAGATGCCCAATCGACTGGGATAATACATGTATTTTATCCAATTGTGGAATTCTTCCAAATGATGCTTGGACCTTGTTCTTCTTTCACATTCAAACATGATTGGAAAAGAAAATTAATAATTACAATCGCATGCTGAGAAGAACTCCACTTGTCTTCAATTCCTTGCCTTTTTCAAGGGCTCGTCAAAATCAATTTCTTGTCTTTACTCAACTCAAATTCAACATGATTATCATGTTAACCTGATGAATGTATATGCTAATATGGACCACGCAGAACCAACCTCTCACACACCAACCACCGTTCCACGTGCAAGCACATCAGATCCCCTCTTACAATCGAAAATGGAGAAGGAAAAGGTATTAGAACAAAAAACAGATATGATTGCAGATGCTGTAAAAGCCAATGCAACTCCAATGAATGAAGAATTGAGAAAGGCACATGAATTCACTCCGGAGAGTCTATTCAATCGAGAATTGTCCAAAGATATTGATGAATCCATGACCGAAAAATTGAATCAAACCAGAATTATTGCCAACATGGACAAAGGACAGGATCTAACCAAAGAAGCAGGGGAATGGGCCAAAGAGCAAGCAAAACTAGAGAGAAAGTTTGGAGTTTCCAACACGAATCCAGACAATTTAAAAGGAGAGGAGTATGAACAGTCGATTCCAGGAAAGATACGAAGAGGTTTCAAAGCGGCTAGAAGGTGGGCTAAAACGTTTTTGACAGGTTCATAATTATTGTTGGCCATGAATAAATGATGTCCATCATCGAACTGTAAAGTTGAAGATCGCATGTTATGAACTTGATGTTCCTATCCTCTCTACAGTATTTCCTTAATGATTCTTAATGACAAGTACGACCAAAATTTGATCTATTCTAAGAATTTCTGTTGATATATCTTCTTCAATCACTGAACAACACTCTAATTCCAATAAATTCCTTTCTATTCATAACCCTCCAATGGTTATTAATAATTGAATGGACCAAAACAATGACGAAGTCTGTTCTTTCAACTCGAGATACTCACTCTCGCTCAAAGCCCTCAATACAACGCTCGCTCCCTCTCAGTTCCTGCGCCAAGATTCACCCAGCAACCCAAACGTTGAAGTTCCAACCTGATGAATATTTTTGGCCTGACATTCACAAACCGTTATTGTTTACTGCACCATATTTATAAAGAAGCGAAAATGAGCGAGAAATTACACATCAAAAAAAACATCAAAGGACAAGAGCCTCGCAGTTTTTTTGAAAGCAACTCTCCAGCACAACAGTCGTTCCATCCGAACACAATCTCAACTCACAACTACTCTCGAGGAAACACAGAGTAATGGTTTATATCCAAGTTGCTTTGGCTAAAGACATCTTCCACTTGCAAAGTAATGGTAAAACATTATATTATCACCCACACCATTTAAATGGATCCACATTACTTGATGACCCAACCAAATCAGCTTCTGCCAGAAGTTGGAGCGAAATGTGGAACCATTTCTTCAATTTCAAGCAATAAGAAGTTGCTCGTCAATCTTTTACTTTACATTATCACTTTAATTTATGAATCATTGATCGATTTGATTCGTGATGATGAATTATTCAATGTTTGGGATGCAAAAACAACAACAAATAAACTCCTGACATTCAAAAGTGAAACTAGTCCGTTATTATTTCGTTGAACAATACTATTCAGTGCCACCTCCACCAGCACCCGAGCGAGCAATATTGAGAATGTTCTTGATACGAGCATTCAACTCTGCAATTTGATTCATGATGGATGTTTGTTGTTGAGAAGAACCTTGCTGTGAGACACTACTGGCAACACTACTACGCTCCATCGCCATCTTCATGAGACTGGCAGTGTAACGAATACGTTCTCGAGAAACATCGACGTCAATCTTGCTTGGGAAGCGAGGTATTTTCGTGCCGACACAAATACAGAAGGGTTGGTCATTGGCAATGGCGAGTAAGGACATGGGTGTCACACCACCTGGTAACGTCAATAGAACCGTTTCCATTCTCTTGAGAACCTCATTGTAGTAGGAAAGTTGTTGCGAAATGCTCGAGCTACTTCCAGCACTTCCTCCACCGCTTGTGGTGAGTAGAATCCGATTCAAACGATTCCAATCTAAATGAGGTACATATAAATAGTCAGTTCCCCATGGATCTTTGGGTACCTTATTCAATTCACCACCTTCTAACAAGTCTTCCAAAGCAAGGGGATACTTGCCATGTCTTGTATAGTATAGAACAAGTCCTTCTTGAAGTTTGGCTAAATCTAGGAGAGCATTGCTGACTCTACTTTCTTCATAAACTTGAGCAAGAACAGCTCCTGTAAGCCCAGAAAATGTCACAATAATGGAAATGGCAATCAAAATTTCAATCATACTGAGATGATGAACTGAAACCTGAGGAATGGAAATTTTCAAGTCATGATGATGATTCAATAGTCCAATGCCTTTCGTTTGCTTTAGCGCACCGGAAATGGATGACAAGTATGTACCCAATACATTTCGTAATATTGATGATGAAGGATCTTTCATATCTGAAAGTGCCATTCCTGTCACAGAAGCAAGAGGTAAATAAGGTAATAAATTCTTAAAGTAAGAGGTTGGATTTTGTGAGAGTTTTTGTTGTGCTACACGCCAGTACAATTTCAAAAATTGAGTCCATCGTTGTGGCTTGTCAATGGCCTGTTGTAATTTGGTATGTCTTGTAAGATCTTGCTTGTCGCTATGTTCATCTAAATGTTGTTGCTTTGATTGCTGAGTTAAAAAGGTTTGGATAATATAGGTTATAAGTCGTATTCTTTCCCTCCACAAATCGGAAATATGTTTGTTGTTGCAATGTTCATGAAAATTATTATTATATTCACTATTAAAATTATGCTTGATTGTACTATTTCTATTATGAGATTTGTATGGATTGTTAGCTTTTTCGGGAAATAAATGATTTGCAATTTTATAAATTCGTTGTGTTTGTTTTTCATGAGATGATTGCGTCGACCAACGTTCTTCTTGTATTAATTCATGATTATTATTATTACGATCCGGATGATGATGACGATATTTATTTAATCCCATCGGAGAGAATGCTTGATGATGAAATTGTTGTTGCATCCTTGTGGTCGGAATTTTTTTCTCATCCTCACTTTCATCAACGACGAATATTTATTTCCCGATGAAAAACCAAGTCGACTTGATCATCATAAGGGATTGATCAAAGTTATTCAAACTCTCAATTTCTTGTATTTAAGGGTCGAATGAACTCTTCAAAAAAACTTTATGTAAAAGATGATCACTCTTTCCTTCTTTTAACTCCTCTATCTCTCTTCTCAACAATGTTTCTACCCTTTCAAACTTCTTTTTAAACAGATCTGCACCTCTCATTGAAAACTGACGTTTCCTCGCCTCCCTAAACCCAAATCCGAACGATCAGGACGACAGCAACTCATCAAAAAAAAATAATTCGAACAATATTTTGACAAGTCATTGTTGTTGATTGCAACACATTGTTGAACGGTAAGTCACACCTTTCGATCCGATCTTGCCTCATAACACGATCATCATCAAAATTATTTGAATGCTCACAAATGATCACGCTGCATATGTGAACACATATCGATACGTCATGACACGCTTGGAATGATCATCCGATGATCATTCGAAATAGATTTAAAAAAAACACAATTCTGTATATTATATTTAACTCTATTCTTGTTGATCCACAAGAGTAACAACAACAACAACAAGAATCATCATTTCGAATCCAAATACTACTCTTTGACAAGTGTCATTATTCACATACATAGCATTGATCCAATTCGAATTATTCTTCTTTGAAAGCAACTGTTAATCCAATTCAATACATTGAGTCGTATGAAAAATGTCATCAATTTCAGCACAGGCATTCCTCGTTCCACTCGAACTTTCACCAGTTCCTCTCTCCAAGTCTATCAACATACATCGATTGCCTCCTCTTCACTCATTTACAATTATGGAGGAGAAGATTCGAATGGTTTCTGGACCAATCGATTGAGTGTGTTAAATCTTGCCACAGTAACTGGTACAAGTGCCATTAAAAAACAATACAGTGCCAAGCTTAAATCTTTAGAATGGGAGAAACCCAAATATAATTCATTTCCTCCCAAGAAAGATGGACATGTCATGATGTTGAGTAGTGGCACTCCAAAGAAAATATTTCTATTTGGAGGAAATGACAATCAGAATATTTCTGGAAATAACAATGCTCTCTATTCGATCGATTTGGAGAATTTAACATGGAAAATTGAAATGAAACATCAACAAGAAGAAAATTCTCGACCTCTGGGAAGATCTCATTCTGCATTTACACAAATTAAGAATTGTTTGTACATGTTCGGAGGAAAGATTACTGCATTGCAATCATCCAATTCTACTGATTCAACACAGACGGTCTCGGTCAAAACTTTGGATGATTTTTGGGTGTTTAATTGTGAGAATTTAACTTGGAAGAAACTTTCGAACAAGTTGTCAAATTCTTCAACTCTTCCAAAATTAACTGGAGCTACTTTGTGTGCCTCTTCGAAGGGTACTGACTTGTTCTTGTATGGAGGAGCCTGTGGTAAAGAATACAGTAATGAACTGTACAAGTATTCTGTTAAGAATGATTCATGGGAATGCATCACTTCCAAAATGAAAGGTGACATTCCCAAATTTGGTAGAGAACGTCATGCATGTTGTTTGATCTCAAAATCCAATGAAATGCTCATTAGTGGAGGTTGGATCTTTGGTGGTGTGAGTTCACAAATTCTCTCTCTTCATTTAGATACATTGATTTGGAAAAATGTGAATATTTCGATGGGATCAGGATCCAACAATGCCTTCGATTCCAAATTATTACAACGATATGGACATTCAATGGTTGCATTGGAAGGTCCAATTCAAAACAATTCAGAACAGTTTATGGTCATGATTGGAGGAAAGGATTTGACCATGAATAATCGTTCCGAAGTAATTTTGATTGCATTGAATTCCAAAGATTTGACATGGACCAGTGTTTCACAAAGTATTGGACAGAAACAAGCGTCTGAGAGTGCATTGAGTGAGGAATGGACACGTTACGAGAAGGTCAGTGGATTCTTGCCAGCCACTCCCATGTCCGATGATTACTTGTCGAGTATGTTGGGAGTACCTTCGAGTTCGACATCGACTGCATCCGTCACGAATACGACCTGTTTGAGTGGTGCTGGTGCTCAGACACCTCCTGCAGTGCCAAAACGTCCTTCCTTCTCAAAAGCAAGTACAAGTGGCAGCGAGACCAAACAAGAGAGTGAGGTTGTTTCATCCATATCCAACAATACTCCACCCTCCATTCCAAAACGTCCAGTGAGAAAGGAGGAAGACTCAAAGAAGACAACGATCACAATTGAACAGACACAAGAACCAAAGAAGACAGCAGTGGTCAGTGAGACGAAACCAGCAACAAGCTCATCTTTCAAGACTGCCAAAACTGCAACCACAGTTTCATCGGATGCTATTTCTGAGAAATTGCAAGAAGCTGAACAACGTCCAAAGCTTGAACTCGCAAAAAAGCAAACTAGAATGCAACAAAGAAAACCAAAAACTGTCAATGCAGATTTATCAAAATTGGATAAGGTTACCAAAGAAGCAACTCTTGACGTTCCAGATGATTCCAAATTCAAAAAGTTGGAAATTGAATCAAAGAAAATTGTCACTCCATCCACCAGTGAAGAACAGCCATCAGAAAGCAGTACAGAAAACAGCTCAACCCAAGATAAGAAACCAAAGTTTGGTGTTGGAATGGGAGGTGGTAACATGATGATGAACGAATTGGCATCCAAGCTCAATAAGAAAAAATAAATTTATAGGAGCGCTGATTGTACAAATATTAATTCTTCAATGAGATGACAATATTTTCGTAATTGAGGTTCGTCATCCCCTAGTACTTCTTTTCGTGGAATAATTTTAGCTTCTTCGTTTTGGATTTGATCATTGTTGTAGAGTTCTTGATATTTGGCGTAAAGTTTGTCGAACTTTTCTTTGCCGAATATTTGCTCATTCTGTTTAATAAGGCTGTTGACACGATCTTCCAAACGTCCGACCACAGGAATGTCATCGTAATCGGTCTCTTCATAATAATCTTCTTCTTCCTCTGTTTCGTCTTCTTCGCTGTCCCCTTCTGTTTCATATTCCACTTCTTCTTCGCTGGATTCAATTCCTTCATTGCTGTCATCGCTATCTCCAAACATTGTATCCTCTACTGCGCCAGCTTTATCTTCATTGGATGCTCCATTATTTTCATTGTTATTGCTCATAATTATGCTCTCCTTCTTTCGTTTGAGAGTTTCAATTTTCTTCATGGTCAAGTTAATCATTTCGGTATATTCCTTTTCAATTTCAGAGTCAATTTCAGCTTGTCGTTGAAGTATGGATTCCTTATCAAGTATTGATGGTATCTTGGGTGGCTCAATAGCATCTTTCTTTGGTGCCTTATCAAGTCCCACAATATTGTTTTGATTGTGGAAAAGGTTGAAATGTTGATTCTTTGCTGCAACTCTGCTTGCATGATACTCAACTCTGGCTTCCTTGAGTTTTTGTTTTTGTGCTTCTTCTTCCTTAACCTTCTTTTGTTGCCTTTCAAAAAGAATTCGTTCCTTTTCATTTGAAAATGTTGGAGGTTTTGATGAAGGTTCAAACTTGGAAGGAAGATTAAGCCCTTGAAATTTTTTGCTAAACTCTTGGAAAGAATGATCTTCTTCTTTCTTCGGTTCTCTATCTTTTCTCATACGTTCTAGGGCTTTCTCAATTCTCATTTGCTCTTTTTGAAGTTTCATAATTTCAGAATCTATTTTCTTTTCACGTAAAGCGACATCATTGTTGGATGATTGAGGTCTGGATGGTGGTTGTGGTTTTGGTTGGGGTTTGGAGGAATTTTTTCAGGAACGGGTGATTGATTTCGTGGCTGTGGTGGAACAATTGCTTTCTTGGCGACATTGTAGTTGGGGTTTGGAGGAACTATGGGTTGTAGCACAGACAAGTTTGGAACGGGAAGGGGGTCTTGGTTTAGAGCCTTATTATTTAAAATTCCAAGCTCAGTTAGTTGAATAAATAAATTGGACATTTCGCCGTCAAGAACAGTGTCTTCTACTTGGTCTTGGGCCAAAGTTAGTTCGCCTGTGGAGGTGACTGTGAGCATTTGTTGTCGAATATATTTTACAATAATAGGAGTGTTTAAAATTTCCTTAAGAGTTGGTCTTTTGCTAGGCCTAGTTTGAAGACAGCTGTTAATTAAATTCACAAGCTGACTGCTGTAATGATGCACATTCTTTACAGGAGCATAGTATCCTTTCTGAATATTCAAGAACAGTAGCTGAATGTTTTTTCCTTTGAAAGGGAGAGCTCCCTGATTGATCATCTCGTACAGTATCACTCCAAGAGCCCAAACATCTGATTTGTAACTGTATTTTGAACCATTACATTGCTCTGGACTGTGGATAGCCAAATCGTTGTGTTAAAAGAGCCGGTCAAAAAGATTAATTCTACTACTTACCTCATGTACAGAGGTGTACCGATCGTTGTTTGTGCCATTTGTTCGCATGTTCTCATTCCAGCGTCATCAAAGACTTTTGCAATACCAAAGTCACCCAATCTTGCATTTCCCTTCTCTGTTAGAAAAATATTTTGTGACTTTTTCGGAATTTAAATTATCAACAAAACATTACAGTGACACAACATACCTTCAGGTCTCTATGTAATATTTTTTGGGAGTGAATGAAAAGAAGGGCCAATGCCGACTGGACAAATAATTTCAAAATTGTTTTTTCTGGAATTCTTTGATACGTGTAATTTTTCTGAATGAATGAAGCTAAATCGCCTCCTTTGCAATAGCTCATCACAATACAAAGATTGCTTTCGTCATCTATGAAAGAATCAATGTATCGGACGATGAAAGGATGTTGCAGAGCTTGAAGAAGCTTGACTTCTTGTTTAGCGTTATTTTTTTCTCTCTGCGACACTCCTTTCAGAGCAATCTTCTTCATGACATACTTTTTATCAACGTTGGACACAGGATGCACAATGAAAACGGTTCCATAGCTTCCGCTTCCAAGCTTCTTTTCCATAACATATTTGTTCATTTCAATTTCGGAGGGGTTGAATAATTTGTTGATGATTATGATTTTGACTGAAGCAATGTATCGATAATTAAAAACTTATTCTTCGATACAACAATTTTTCTAAAGCTTCAAAATTGTATTGATGATGAAAAAGAAGGAGGTTGGGCTAATTTGTAGATTTTTTTGGCGGTTTGATTGTCGTCACGTTTTTAAATAGAATTTATTTAAAAAAAATTATAACAGCAGGAACGAGAGTTTTGTTTCACAACCGATTAATCGAATATCGGAAATGGAATACTTGGGAAATATTTACGGAAAAACAATATCGTATTATAACAATGGACTATATGGAGCTTCCTCATCACCAACAAATGTTTCTTCAACGGTTCCTCAAATTTTGTCGAAAGACGTTTTAGATTTATATTCGAAAGAAATGGCTGATATTGCCAAAGAATCATATCAGTTGGATTTTAGTAGAACTCCTCTGAATAAGAATGTTGTGCTTTGTTTAGGATCTCAATCATCAGGAAAGTCATCACTAATTAATTATTTATTTTCAAGCCTTTCAATCCGAGAAACCGGTGAAAATGCTATTGATACACAGTTTACAATCATTGAATGCGTGAGCGAGAAGGAGTTTGTGTCACTTGTGGGTAGCACTAGATATAACAAGCTGATGAATGAGCTAAATAGAAAAACGAAACATGATCCAAATTTTGATCTTTATGAATGGAAAACAAATCCAATGGAGAGGCAGCACACTGACGACAGAGAAGATCTTATCTATCATGAGCTGTCTCACACAGACAAAATGAACAGATACAAACAATTTTATGAATCTAACATGAAATCAGTTCTGATCAAGCATCATGAATTAGTGAAAGCATTTATTGTAAATGCACATTTCGTTGACGGAACTGAATTGGAACAGCTTGAGTCAGATATTAGGAAAAAAAGCAAATCGCGTGAAAAATCATCTGTTGAAGCCAAGCAGCAAAAAAAGAAAGAGCAAGAAATCCACGATTTTATAGACAACTTGTATTTTGAAGCGAAAAAGAATACTCAAAAAGATGAACCTGAAGATTGGCAAGTAGTTGATCCTAAAATGTTTTCCACAAACCAGAACGATGAAGATAACTGGCTTGTAGAGAATTTAATTTTTATTGATACTCCTGGATTCAACGGTAAGCACACTTATATTGATGGTTCATGCAACATGACATGGTTTTTGGTAGGATCTATGAATTGTGACATTGAAAAGTTCCGTGCTAATATTGAAGTACTGGAATTCTTTTACAAACAATCATGTAGGTAATCCCATCCCTCAACTAGATATAACGGCTCATCAATTTTACGTTGACAGCACTTGTTTTATTTTTATTAAGCCCTAACCATCTATTAAGTATTGGAAATTCTCTCTACATGCTACAACTCACTATTATCGACCATGAAACTCGAGAAAAACTGTACAAAATTGTATATAATCAACTTCAATTGACTAGCTCGACACCGCAAGACGAGCAACCAAATGTACAACAGTCATCATCAAGCGGAGGCGGTATAGTTTCCGCAGTCGGTAAAACCATTTTGGACACTTTATTAATGGGATGTTACTCTGCTTTAGAGTCAAATTTCAAAACTGCTCTGTCAAATATATATGGAGGAAGTTCAAAGTCTAAAGGTACTCAAGATTTCTATTTTGGCAGCTCCATTTATGAAAAATTATTTTTTGTGATTAACAAAATAGGTTAGTACC